CCATTAGATTTTATATAGCAAGCAGCTTCATTAGTTATAGCTTCGCATTTTAGTGGAAGTGGAACACATCCACTACCTGAATTATTCAAAGTACAAGAAGAATGATAGATTTAACAATCAGCATGAGTAGTTGTAGCAGATGAAGCTAAGACACATTATTTCTTATAGCATTTTCCTTTCCAAATACATGCTCTATTACCTATATCTTTGTCACAAATAGCCAAAGCTAATGAGTTTTCACAGGTTTTTTCCACACATCCTGCGCTTGTGGAATTTACTGTGCAAGTGTTTAAGAAGGCTTAGCAGAGATCATGAGTAGTGNGCACAAGTAGATTAGATAGCAATACAACCTGTGCCATCTTTTTTGACTGAACAAGTAGAATCTAATGCTTAACAATCTGAAAATGTCAAACCTGATCCTATTTTTAATGTACAATCTAAAGTGCAAGACGCTGAGGAGGCTGCGCTGCCAGTGTTTGTACATCCTGCTCTATAGCCTTGGCACATTGTTTAAGTACCCTTGAATGTTGTGCAAGCTCCGGTAGCAAAAGAGGATAATGCATAACATCTATCAACAATCCACTTACAATCATCAATAGCTGTTAAATTTGTGATAGTTTTATGGCATTAAGCTTATGTCATATAATCTGAACAATTTGACGATTTTGGTACACATCCTTAAGCTCCAACCTTGTAGACAACTGTACAAGTTTCGCTTGGTGTTGGATAAGCTTTGCATTTGGGATCAGTATTATAAGAAGTAGTATCAGGAGCATCTGCACAAGTGGCATTTCTACAAGCTAATCCAGTCCAAACACAATTCTTATTAGTTATTGTAAATTTGCAATTCTCTTAAGTTGTGTAAGATGTGCAAGCAGTGGCTAATGGTTAACAAGCAGTGCCTCCATTATTTACTGTACATTGATTAAATGTGGAAAAACAATTGGTGTGCGTAGTATAAGTAATGGCTGCACAAGTTCTATCAACACAGCTGCTGCCATTCCAATAGCAATCTCCACTTGCTTTAGATCCTAGTTGACAATTAGATGAAACTAATGATGAACAACTAGATGGCTTTGCCATGCATCCATCAGCAGTATTGTTAGAAATACAAGCATTATTACTGAGATAACTTTGACAAGCAGAAAAAGTAAATCCTCCTGCTGATAATGCACCAGTAGTTCCAACAGTACTAGCTGTTGTACAAGACTTTTCAACGCATGATGTAGAGGATGAGACCCATAGACAAGTCGGGAATCCAGTTCTTGTGATTTCACAATTTTCAGAAGATTTTCTAGCTGTACATGTTGTTGGTAAATCTTAACATCCTTAAATAGTCAAAGATCCATTAACAGTAGCAGGATTATTCGCAACACAAGAAGATATGTGTCCTTGACATTATGAAGTGGTTGTGAATGTTTTTGAGGCAGTTGAACAAGCTTTATCAATACATTAAGTTCCGTTCCATCCACATGCTGAACCATTAGATTTTATATAGCAAGCAGCTTCATTAGTTATAGCTTCGCATTTTAGTGGAAGTGGAACACATCCACTACCTGAATTATTCAAAGTACAAGAAGAATGATAGATTTAACAATCAGCATGAGTAGTTGTAGCAGATGAAGCTAAGACACATTATTTCTTATAGCATTTTCCTTTCCAAATACATGCTCTATTACCTATATCTTTGTCACAAATAGCCAAAGCTAATGAGTTTTCACAGGTTTTTTCCACACATCCTGCGCTTGTGGAATTTACTGTGCAAGTGTTTAAGAAGGCTTAGCAGAGATCATGAGTAGTGTTAGTTGATGGAGCATTCACACATGTTTTATCTTTACAGCTTGAACTTGCAGTATCCCAGAAACAAGTTTATGCAGAAGAATTCTTAACACAAGCAGCCTCTAAGGCTATTGCAGCGCATGTAGTATTTGTAACACATCCACCTCCCGTTTTTGTTATACAATTATTTCCAGTTAGATACGCTTCACATGCATCATTAGTTGTCAATGTTGTTGGGGCATTGGTACATGTTCTATTTTAACATCCACCACCTGATTTAACAGTGCAAGTAGATAAATAAGAGGTACATAAATCATGAGAATTATTTGTTGTAGGTGCATTGGCACATGTTTTTTCTTTACAAGTTGTATCCCAAATACAATCAAAATTGCTTGAGTTTTTAACACAAGCTGCTTGTACATTAGCAACAGAACAAGCTCCATTAGCAACACAACCACCACCTGATTTAGTGATACATCCTGTTACAAATCCTCCACATGCTGAATTTGTTGTCATTGTAGTTGGGGCATTTGCACAAGTCTTATCTACACAAGCAGTTCCTGTCCAGTAACAGTCACCACCTGAACTATTTTTCATACATGATGCTAAAATTGTTGCAGCTGCACATGTAGTTCTAGTTACACATCCTCCATTTGCTTTTGTTGTACATGTTCCATCAGTTCTAAATGTCTTGCATGTTTCATCAGTTGTCAAACTAGTGGGTGCATTATCACAAATTCTATCTTTGCATGCAGCTCCATCCCAATAGCAAGCAGTTATTCTTAATTTATTCCAAACACATTAAATTTCTAATGTTTAATCGCTGCAGTTATTTCCACTATCGACACATCCACCTCCTGTTTTTGTTGTACAAGTTGAAATCTAATCTCTGCACTCTTTATCTGTTGCGAATGTTGTTGGTAATTTCTCACAAGTATTAGCATCAACACATGTGTTGTTTGTTGTATCCCAATAGCATAAGCTTCCTGCAGGATTTTTGACACATGGGAGTTACTTTTTGTAAGTACTACAAGCATCAATTTCAACACAATGAGTTCCATCTGTAATACATCTACTACTTATTGCTTAACATTCAGAATCAAGTGTTTTTGCAAAAGGTGTACATCCAGTGAAAAATGTACATTTGCTCTCTACCCAAGCACATGCGGCATAGTTTCCACAATCAGTACATGGTTTAGCTTTAGGGCAATCTGCTTCAACAAATGTATCACAATATGCTGCATAAGTCACTGTTGGTAATACAGGAGTTGTTGAAACTCCGCATGTTTTCTTTGTAGTATCCCAAGAACAACCAAGTGAAATATTTTTAATGCAATCTCCTTCTGATAACAATTATGCACATGTGCATGATGTTATACTGTATGTTTGACTTGCTACTAAAGCAATGAACAATGAGAGTATGATGAATTTATTATTCATGAAAAGTATTAATTCTTAATTAAAAATAGATATGGCTAAAAATGGCAAGAATAATAAATATTTTAATTTATTGAATGATCTATTAAATTATATAAGGTTTTGTATCACAATTTAATTTTAAAATTAACCATCATCATTAATTAAATTAGTGAAACTTTAAAAAGAGGAGAAAAGGCGGGTGGCCTCAATTTCATTCACAAAAAACAAAAACAAGAAGAATAATATATAAAATATAAAATAAACTCTAATGATGAATAGTGGATTACAAACCAAATCAAATGTCTCTATTTTTTTTTTAAAAATTTTTCAAAATATACTAATCATAAAAAATACAATTTAGGAGATTTTGTTCTTTCATATAAATTAGGATAAGTTTTTTATATAATTTTAGAAATTTAATTAAGTATGAGCTTAACACCAACCTATGTTATGCTTCTAATTAATGTCTTAATTTTATGAGGAATGAAATTCATGTGAGAAAATTGTATTAGTTCAATTTAAATAAAAAATATATTTATAATGTAATTATGGTTGGAATCACCTGATTAGGCTAACACTTCCTCAAATAGCGTATTTTTGAATATAATACATTTTGTTGAAAAATTGAATCTAAATGGATGATTTTTTTTTTCATTTTTAAAAATTTTTTGAATTTGATTCTGGATACTTCGAGATAATATTTATATTAGATATGTTATAGGTTTGAAGAAATACATAATTTTCTTACAATAAAGGGATCCCTATTAAATATCCAAAAATAATTAGCCAATCAGATTAAGAATATTAAATAAGAAGTTAATACAGATATTAAGCATCGACTTGAGATATCAAGATTTATTTATTTATTGCAATATTTTAAAAACATAAAAAGGAAAGGTTTCCAAAGTTCAATTTGCTTTTTCAAATTTTATAAAATGTCGAATACATAACTTTCTGATGTTAGGATGATTATATATATAAAAATCAAATTCTCATTCAAAGTTAATTTATAAAAAAGAATTAGGAGTTAATAAAACAATTAATATTGAAAATTAAAACTTATCTCAAAATAAAGTGGACATTTTGGAGAAAAAATATGCTTAATTAAAAGTAAAGTGGATTAGAATACAGATATAAATCTATCAAGATGGATAGCTTTTCTAATTGATGAGCACTAATTTATTAATTGGAATGCAGGAAATTATTGAAAAAGTCTTTCCTCACTTAATCATTTCTTTATTTATGATTAATAAATACAAAAGTATGGAATAATTCAATTATTTAGAAAAATTTTAGGATTTTGAAATAATTATTAAACCAAAAGTTTTACTAAGATTTTTCCTAAAATTTAATAAATTTCACTAAAATAAATGGATTAAACAAAAAATCTTCTAAGTGAAATAACCATGGAAAGCAAAACTTTTGTGATTCACTAATAAATATAATTTTAAATTTCTTCTTTTATTTTATTATGATTAATTTCCATAAATAGATTATGAAAAAAACAAGATTTTCTCTTATTAGTGATGTATTTAAATTTAATTGAAATTTATTATTAATCTAATATAATGATTTCGATTAAATATGTATAAAATATAAAATATATATAAATATCAAGTTTTTTAAAATATTGCAAAATATATTATCATTCAATAATTCAATAAGTAATTAATAATACATCCTAGATATCCATATAATAAAATCAATGATACAACATCTTCTGCATTTTATTAATATTATTTGGCTATTATTAATATATTTATAGCAAAAGGAGTACCAATAGTATAAATAATTAGCAAATATCATTCATTATTGATAATTTATCTAATAATAAAATAGTAATTAATCCCATTAAAAAGTAAAGATATTAATCTATTTGCTACTATTTAAATAATTGTAGATATCTTTTCTTATTACGATGAATTATTAAAATAAATTAAATATAAGTTTGATCCAAGAATCATTAAGTCGGATGGTGTCGTTTGCTTTTGAAATTGTTTATAGAGATAAGAATACAAAACTATGCAAAAATGTATCATTTATTAAGTCATCTTAAATTGGAAAAATAATTAAAAAACATAATGATGCTAATACAGATATTAAAAGCATATTCCAAAAAGACATTTCTGATTTTTATTCATTTTTATTTCTTATTATTATTCTGGTAAAGCTATTCTTAAATAAGAAAGTTCAATTTCAACTTAATTCTAATCATTTTCATGTTATTCTAATATTCGTTTACCTATAGACCATGTTAATGCATTTACTATCTCAGTTTAAATAATAATGTTGGATACTAGTTTTAATTCATTTTTCTATAAGATAATTGTGGTTAAATATTTGTCGTGTGTGGATTTGCAGGTGGTAAAATAACGATTGAATTTAGCTTTTTTCTTTAATCCAATATTTATTACTAACAATTCCTTTTCTATAATCAAAAAATAAGCATTAAATTTTGTAATAGTACTAGGTATTAATTATACTAAAGAACTAATTGTGACTGCTTTAAGAAAGTTTGTAAAAATTAATGATGGCAGAAAAAGTCTTTCAACTAGCCTGGATAAAGTTGTTGTAAATTATTTGTTCATAACCTTTTGATGAGTTAATAAGGCACCACTGCCTGCTATGGCTAGTACACCAAAGTTTGAAACTACGCTCGAATAATATTTATTAAAATCATAAATAAATTTTAAAGGAACAAATTAAATTTATCAATAAAGACATGATTGTGATGAATCAATAAAACTATCTTCTGAAAACAATGAGACAGAAAAGTTTATTCTATATTGTAAAAAATTTTTAGAAGGTTTTGTGTTACTCTATGTCAAAACTAATTAATTAGAAAAAAAATCCATTTATACATTCACTCCATGAAAATAAAACAATAGTTAAAATATTTTGAATTTTATTTAATTAGTACCATAATAAATTCTAATATTGCCAACATAAAAATTGTAAAAAGAACATAGAGTCTATTTTTAATTTCTGAAATTAAAAATAAGTTGTAGCTTTTTAATATTTAAGGACATGCATATTTAGAATATGTGGTTTTATGGTATATTTATGGCATTATAATTATTTTTTGGTGGATTTTCTAGTAACTCTTAATTAGGTTTATAGAGAAAACTTAAGAATAATAGTACAGATCTTCCTTACTAGTAATAAATTGGAATACACAGAATTGAATTCGTAGATAATAATACATTTAAAAAAATATGAAAGTATTATAAACAAAATATGTCTAAGTATTGCTCTTAAATACATAAGACCTATAGTTTGTTGATTTCTCAATAAAAAGAAGATATTTAATTAGATATTATATTATATCATGGTAAAAAGTTATCTTCTACCCCATCTTAAAACTATTCATCATCTAAGTTTTATCTTACATTTGTCTTAGGATGTGATTATTTATTACCTCTCCTAGTAATAATATATAATTATAGTTACCTTTTATTGTAAGGGAAACTAACAGAATTATCGTCTCCTTAAGGTAATCGAACTTATTCATCTTCATTAAATTTATGTCTTGACCTTAGTATTCTTCCATCATTTCCATTTTCCTTTCTAATTTTCTTAATTATCCTGCATATTTTTCATATGTTAATCCCATTTCTCTACATAATTAAACTAAGAATCTAAGACCTAAAATATATTTAATAATCAAAATAAATTTTTTAGTAATTTCCTAATGCAATAGTGTTAGGTAAATTTTCAGCCCATATACTAAAATAAAGTTAGGTAAGTATTAATCATTTTACAATCAATTCAAGTGAAGAATTGTGGATTTAATATTGAAAAACTAAAGATAATTTAGAGCAAAGCATATATTCAAAAATTGGATGAAATTCCAATTTTTTCAAATTTAAATTATAAAATTGCAATTTGCAGCTTATGGAGAGATGCACCATTAAAAGAATAAATTATTTTTTTTTCCAAGATTATTAGTTAGATTTAATGTTTAGTAATCAATCAAACCAGAGGATAAATGTGAAAAGTATTTCTGATTAAAATTCTCTCATTATTTAACATATAGAATGGTTTCTAATAATGGATCAAATTTTTCAAATGGAGTTTTCATTTTTGAAGTTGAAGAATTCAAAATTTTTATAATAAACAATATTTTATACTATCAGAATAAGGAAAAATAAAATGGTTGCCTTTATTTTTTGATCCAAAATTTTATTAATTAAATAATTAATATCAGGGATTCAGATTTCATTTAGAAGTAGTGGAGGTGCGATATCAATTTAAAATGTTGGATTAAGGATGAAAAATTGTAAAATTTTATCTAATTATGCAAATAAATTCGGAGGAGGATTGTATTTGTAACAAAAAGACTCTGATTTATAAATTGAATCAATAATAATTACTGAAAATAAGGCTGTGGATGGATGAGGAATTTATTTCGACACTAAAAAGTACTCTTTCCTAGTATTAAACTATTTACATATAATTATTATGAGTAAGATTTCATTGAATTCATTTTTAACAAAAAAGTTAAATAATCATTTACAAAGTTTGAGATAAGGAAATGAGAGATTAAAAATTTTAGAATAAACTTAGTGAAGATTTCTTAATCACAAATTTAAAATCAAAGAAAAATTTTAACCTCTGAGGTAAAAACCACTTAAGATTTGGTTTTTGAATAAAAATACTATTAAAAGATAGACACTGAATGATATTTTTTATAATAAAAAAAAAAATATGAAATCGTTGTTTGTTTTTATATATAATTTCGTTATAAATAAATAAATTTTTGGCTATTATTACTATTAAGGGAACGATCATTTATGAATTTTTTTATTCATTGCATCTTACTCCATGTAATTGCTGAAAATTTGAAAGGGCAAAACCACTTCTTTAACTCTACCTACTTTTTTTCAAAAAATTCATGAAAAAAAAACAATTACTAAATTTTATTAGGGAGAATTGTTTAACTATGGCACTGAAAGGGAAGTGTGGGCTAGAATTAAAGCAGTATTGATCAACCTCTTTTACCAAATCCAAACCCTAAAAAAATTTTATCAGTTCAAATTCTGTGAAATACATTCCAACAAATTCAAATCCTTCTCATTTTTATAAATGTGTGAATTATTACCACTCTTGTTGGTAAGTTTTATTTTCCAATCTATTTTTGAAGACTCATGGTTTTATTAATTTTTTTCCTTTTATTACAAATATGAAAACAAAACAAAAAATCTTAATTTAATTTGAACAAAAATAATGAAGATATTCTAGTTACTCATAATTTTAAATTCTGCTCCCCCATCATGCGAAACTTTATTACAATATGAAGATTGTTTAAGTGATTATTGTAATTGGGATTCGAATGAATCTAAATGTACAAACAAACCTTGAACAGAATTCAATTAGGAAGATTGCTAAGGTGTTCCGGATCCTTTTAATTTTAGTTGGAATTACCCCAGCCGTTAATGTGAAACATAAATTAATTCGTATTCCTGGAATTCTGATATTAAACAATGCGAACTAAACAAAGTAGTTAGTTGGATCACAGGACTTCTTTATGGATCAGTCTTGTTGGCTATAATACTAAATTGATGATTATTAAAGATCATTTTATTAAAATATTGTTAAGAATATATTGAATATATCAACAAGATTATAAAAACAAAATTTTTATTTATATCATCTCATCATGTTCATCATTGTTTTTTCCGAACCAAATAAAGGAACACATTTAGTTTTCAACTTCTTAAACTTTTTATGATATTGAGCTGTGTTCATGAATTGGATCTCAAGTTATCCCTTTTTATTTTGGCAATTACTTTTTTTGACTTAATATTTTCTGTTGATTTTGTAGACTTATTTTTGTTGAATATGTTTGAATCTTTAGATAATTGCTTAAAAAGACTTCTTTCTAAAAAAAAGTACATTATACCTTTATCTCAATTTCTATATTATAAATTACGAGTCAAAATTTATTTTAAATGCTGCTCCTCTCCTCTTGACTTCTTATTAGATCTAACTTGCTTGAAAATTTGTGAATTACTTAACCAGATCAAACCGTAAATTTTGCAAATATTGTGCATAGAATCACAAATTTAAGAAGTTTTAATCTATTTGTCTTGATTTGAGCTGATTTTTTAATTAATTAATTACCTCATATTCAGTTGATATTTTGTGTTAGAAGGCTGGGGGTCAATAATGGATTGCATTTAAATCAGTTTTTTTTTTGTAATAATTTATTGAATAAATATCTATTAAAAAGGGAGGAGTTTATTCAAATCAGAAAAATTACTCTAGCGTAGTATGTAATTTGGAAATTATATTAATTTTATTTATTATGAAAAACATATTAAAATTTATTTAAATTGAGAAATGAGATGTCTAGCAATGAAAATATTTATTATGTTGATAGAGATTTTAATGTTAATTTCGAAAATTTTAATTATTAATATTAAGAAGTAAGTGTATATTTTACATTACTATTCATTTTCAAATATCATCAAGAATAGGCTTAACATAAAGTTAAACTATAATTAAGTTTTCTATGTTAGAGATACTTTATTGTATGAAGTCATTATTTAACTAATTTTTTTCTATAAAATACATAATTTTAAGGATAACCTAAATGAAAAGCAAAATTGATTTATTCTTCAATCATTTGCAATATAAATTTATAAATTTCTAATCTTAAATTTAAGTAATTTTGTTTTAATATCCTTTGCTTTTTTCAAGTATTTAATGATCGTTCTTTATGTGTAAAATTATTATTGAAAGTCTAATAATTTTAATATAAATCTATATACAAAACATTCTGTTTAAAAATTTTTGAGTTTAAATAGAGGTTTAGTTGGTATTTTTTGTTGTGAAAGTTTTAATTTTAAGATATAAGCAAATTTATTTAAATAGTTAAGCTGGGGGGTTGTTTAGAAGAGGTATTTATAAATACAAACAGGAGGCGATGACTAAAAAAAGAGAGAATGTAAAATAATTCAATCAAAAAAAATTATAAATCTTTTCATTGTTAAATAAACATCATCTTAAAGAAAAATTAAGAATAAAAAACAAATACGGATAATAGAAAATAGGATAAGAATTCATTTTTGTGGTAGAAACAATATATGGGAAATTTAAAAGGAGGTTATTAATATTAAACTAAAGAAAAAATTATAAGAGAATTAATGGAACCAAATGTATAAAATAGTCTGAATTTAACACTTTTTAGAATTAATTTTTTTTTAAAAAAAGAACTAAAATGAGTAATAACAATCAAATTAATAAATCAATATACTCTAATCAATATTTACAAAATGAAGCAAAGTAATCACATAGATATCATGCTAAAGGGAAATAGAAAAAAATGAAAGCCCATTATAATTTAATAAATTTTAACACTTTATTTTATATATAGGAAAAAATCAAAATAAAATTAGATTAAACTTCTAATTTAATTTCAAAATAAAAATACTTTTTAGATAATTGAAAAATAGTCACCATATCTCATCTCTATTTTCACTATGCAATTTTCTATTTGAAAATTTATAAAAATAATTTTTTCTGAATTATTTTATGTTTAATTAAAAATTATAAAAATTTTAACATTCGTCCAATAATTATCAGATGAATTGTTTTAACAATAACTTTACGCTTCAATAACAAAAAATCACAAGAATACAGATTATTCTCAAAATTTGATAAATTAATCTTACGAAATGGAAATTTTTATATAGGATAATTATTTTATGATGTTGATAAGCTTATCTTTTATCAAAATGGTCACAATAATACATTCGACATATATCATTGGAACTGCATCATTTTAAGAAAAGTTGTTCACTTCATTACATCATATAAAAATAATATAATATATACATTATTAATAAATAAATATATAAAAATTTTCGGATACAGTTTTGATTTGAATAATATAAATAAGATCTTTAAATATTTTTCACTTAAGTCCAAAGATAGAATGGGAGAGAACAATATCTTTTTTTTGTTAATATTAAGTGGAATTCTTTATTAAAGTAATTCTATAAATATTGTTAGCATAATGTGCTTGTCCAAGCTATTGCTAGTGTAGTGGCGGCAGTTCAATATGCAATACTTGTAACCCAGATTACTATAAGAGTGGTAATAATTGTTATGCATGTACAAAACCATGTGCAACCTGTTCAACAAATGCTACAACTTGTACTGCATGTGTTGATACAACAAATTAAGTAATTTCAACCTGTGCATGCAATAATGGTCTCATAATGAATACATCAACCTATTTGTGTGAAAACTGTCCAAGTAATTGTAAAGTGTGTAGTTCTTCAACTATATGTACTTCGTGTAATGATAATTATTGGCTAAATGGAAATTCGTGTAGTCCATGCATAAAGCCATGTTTAAATTGTTCATCAAGTGGTAGTAATTGTAGTACTTGTGTTGATACTACAAATCAAACGCCATCTTCATGTAGTTGTCCATCTAATTATATAATGAATACTTCAAATTACTTTTGTAATTAATGTTAATTTCCATGTGCTACTTGCTAAACTACAGTAAGTTATTGTTTAACATGTGCTTCAACATACACTATAGATTCAAGTACTCATACATGTTCGTGCTAAAATAATCAATTTGAGGTAAATAGTACACCTAAAACATGTCAAAATTGTTCAAGTCTATGTTAGACTTGTACATTATCTGCAACTAATTGTGGTTCTTGTGTAGGAGGATTACATAGACATCTAGATAATAATTAATGTATTTGTGATAATGGGTATTATGAAAATACCACTTGTTAACCATGTTAATTACCATGCATTAATTGTACTTCATTATCAGTATGTACATCCTGTAATGATTCTACTTATCAATCAGGAACAACTTGTTAATGCTAAGCAACTTATTTTATGAATGCATCTTTTATGTGTTAAAGTTGTGTTGCTCCTTGCTAAAATTGTACTTCTGAAATGTTATGTACATCATGTATATCAAATTATTACAAATCGGGAAATACTTGCATTTAATGTACTTCACCATGTTACAATTGTGTTGATTTTCCGACAAAATGTACATCATGTGTTAATACAAATGTAACGCCAATCAATAATGTATGCGGAAGTTGTTCTGATGGTTATTTCACAGATGCATCATTAAATTGTTAGTCTTGTATTCATCCTTGTACAAAGTGTTAAACAAATGGTAATCATTGTTTAGAATGTGCAACTACTTTTGAAATGAGTACTACTACCCCAAATACTTGTGTTTGCCCAGCTAATAAATATCTAGTAGTAACTAATACACCTAATAATTGTTAAACTTGTACATAACCATGCAATACATGCTTAGGAACAGCAGTTCACTGTTTATCATGTATTGATACTCATTAAACTGTTGATGGATCTAATTAATGTGTCTGTAATGTAGGGTTTTTTATGAATGGAGTAAACTGTGGAGCATGTGTAACTCCTTGCCTAGAATGTTTAGGAACTGCTAATTACTGTACTGAATGCAAAGATATACGGCATTATAAAAATAATGGACAGTGTATTTGTAATTCTGGTTACGTAAATGATAATGACTTTAATTGTATTCCTTGTTAAGATCCTTGTTTAATTTGTTCTGTAAATGATACTCATTGTGATAGTTGCAGAGATTCTAATCATTAAATTAATGCATCTTATGAATGCATTTGTAAAGACACTTATTATTCAAATGCTATAGATACATGTGCACCATGTGTGCTACCATGTAAATTATGTGATAGTAATGGATGCTTAACATGTATTGATACTAATTAAATCATAAATTCTTCGAAGAATTGTATTTGTAAACCAGGATTTTATGAAGTAGGCTTAAATTGTTCATAATGTGCAACACCATGCAAAACTTGTGAAATCGATTAAAATCGTTGTTTAACATGTATTGATATTCATTAAACTCAAATCAGTAATTAATGTATATGCAATGATGGATATTTTGAAGTCAATCATATTTGCTAAGAATGTTAACCACCTTGTAATAAATGTCAAAATACAGATGATTATTGTCTGTCATGTGTAGATATAAATCATGATCTAATAAATAATAAATGTGTATGTAAATATGGATATGGATAATCAGGAACTAATGGAACAGCTTGTTCCCTTTGTTAATAACCTTGTCTTGATTGTTCAACAAGTGTAAATACATGTCTCTCTTGTATTGATACTAGTATATTCCACCTTGATAATGACAAGTGTTTATGTTAACAAGGTTATTTTTCTGTTGGAACAAACTGTGTATAGTGCTCATCATAATGTTCCACCTGCATCGATGTATCTAATAAATGTTTAAGATGTTCTGATCCAAATTCAGTGTTGAATCAAAATGATTGCAATTGTAAACCAGGCTATTATTAAAATAATTCTATGATTTGTGAAGAATGTTAACTTCCTTGTCTAACATGTATTTCTAATTCTAATTATTGCACATCTTGTCATAATCCAGGAATGCAATAAGCAATTGGAGGATAATGCATATGTATAGATGGATATTACATAATCAATAATTAATGTGAAAAATGTAATTAGATTTGTAGCAAATGTGATTCATATAATAATTGTACTTAATGTATAGATGGGCATTATTTACAAAATTAAAAGTGTTTAAAATGTCAAACGCCTTGTTAATCCTGTTTTGATGAGTATACTTGTAAAACCTGTACTGATAATTATATTATGAATAATCTAGGAATATGTATTTAATGCATTTAAAATTGCAAAAATTGCATTGATTCATTAAGTTGCATTACTTGTTTTGATTAATTTTATTATGGAAATTAATCTTGTATACCATGTTCTTAGAAATGTTAGACATGTGAAAATGATTCAAAATTTTGTACTTCCTGCTAAAATACGAGTCAAATTTTAATAGATAATTAATGTCATTGCAAGGATGGTTATTTTGAAGAAGATTTAGATTGTAAACCTTGTGATTAACTGTGTAAATTATGTAGAAGTCTATCATATTGTACAGAATGTATAAAATCAGATCATGTTGTTTTAGAAATGAATTTATGTGTTTGTTAAGATGGTTTTTATTTAGAAAATAAATCATGTTAATTATGTGATAAAAAATGTCAAACTTGTACTTAAAAGTCTGATGATTGTTTGACTTGTAACTCTTAAATGAATAGAGTAAAATAGTAAAACGCTTGTATTTGTTAAGATGGATATTTTGAAAACGATAATAAGGATTGTTGGCCATGTAATTCAGATGAGGGAAAAATTATTAAGAATTGTAAATATAAAAATTGTAATGATAAAGTGTGGACATATGAAGAAGAGTGCGATGATGGTAATGAAGAATCTAGAGATGGTTGTACTAATTGTAAAATAGATGAATAATATTCATGTATAAATATATTACTTTAACCATCATTTTGCTTTAAATGTGGTGAAAACTGTTAAGAATGTTAAATAATAGAATCTAATAAGTTATCTGTATGTACTAAATGTAATCAAGGTTATTTCCTAATTTAAGATAGATGTAGTTAGTGTGCTGAAAAATGCTTAGATTGCAAGAATAGTGCTTCTAATTGTATAAGTTGTAAATACCAGCAAAATTAAAAAGGGGAATGTTAATTATGTCAAAGTGGTTATTATTTTGACGAATTTAATAAAAAATGCATTTCTAAATGTGGAGATTCTATTAAGACAGTAGAAGAAGAATGCGATGATGGTAATTTATTGTCGGGAGATGGATGCAATTAAAATTGTAAAAAAGAAAAGAAATTCATTTGCAAAGATGGAATATGTATTATTCCAGAATATCCTGTTCCAATGTTATTTAGTTATGGAGATATTTAATTATATAACAACATCAGAAAGTTTAAATTAGAATATAATTTATTTTTAAATATCCCTTAAGATAATGAGGTGGAAAAAATGATAAAATTATTCATAAAAAAATAGACCACTCTTAATCCTATTGATTGTCCATACGAAATGAAAACATAATATACTTTGAATAATTCATCAAATATTAGTTTTTCAATAGATTTCTAAATTTTCTTTAATAGAAGTACAACAAAAGAAGAGTTTTTGATTGAATATCTTAATCCTTCATATTTTCTATCAAGTCAAGGGTATCCATAAATATTATCTGAAGTTTCAACTACGATTCCAGAATATATTTTTATAGATTAAGCACAAGTAAATCAAGTTGAGATGGCTGGATCTAGCAATTCGATATTATTATATATTATGGCTGTAATGGCTGGAGGAGCAATCTTATTTGGTGGATTAGATATTTTTTATAATCTATTAGATACAATCCAAATGTTATCCTACTTAAAATACATTAACACTTAATTTCCTTTTAATTTATAAACATTTTTTGACTTCTTTGGTTTTGCATAACTCAGCTTTTTCTCTAAATATTTAAATCTATAAGAATTAATTGATCCTTTTATTGATTATGAAGATCTTAAATAAATACCTGAAAAAATTTAAATTGATGGCCTAAACTCTCTTTTCGTTATAAATGGATCTTCCATATTATTTGTATGGCTAACACTTATAGCTGTATATGTATTCAGTAAATATTTACCACATCTATTGTTTGAAATTAAATTAAAATATTATAATGAAATACCTGGATAAATTGATTTTGCTCTTAAATTTAAGTTTTGGATCTTGGCTATCAAAATATTAATTATTCAATTATGTTTAACTGTTGTATAGGAATTCTTCTACAGTGGCATTTTAAGAACATTTTTTGCAACTGCTTATGATTATTCATTTTCAATGACTCTTTAACTTTTTGCCTTAGAGTTGGATTCTTAAAATGCGCTTGTAAAATTCAGCTCCTTTTTAGCCATAATAGCATTAGGTATCTATTTTTTTACTATTTATGTCATTACTAAAAAATGTGGAAACTAAAAATTTTCGATTGAAGAATATTAATATAGACTTAAATATATGTCACTTTTTGAAGGAATAAAATATGGTAATTACAGTAAATATTTTTACTCTATTAGTCTGACTAAGAAATTTTTATTCATGCTAATTCTTATATTTTGTTATGAGTAACCCTATTTTCAAGTATTAAATTTAATTCTCCTCTCTATTATAGAGATATTATGGTTAACTCTTTTTCAACCACTTGATGATCTGAATGAATTTATAAAATAAACTTCATGCGAGATTAATAAATCTATTGCTCTCTTTTTAATTTCAGGATTAGTTTTAGATTAAGAAGTCAAAATTTTTAGTGAAAATATTCGATCAATTATAGGATGGATTTGCGTAGGAAATATAAGTTTAATTTTAGTAATTTAATTGATAATTGATGCTATTTAATAATGGGTTTTCTTAATCAAAAAATACAAAAAATTTAGAAGACTGGTCGAAAAATTCTATTAATTTTGGAATCCTCAAAAATAGAAAGCTGATCATTCAATATTTAAGTGATTTAATTATAAATTTTAATCCTTTTTTAATCAAAATAAGTTATTATTAGTATAAAAGTAACTTTTAAATATCTAATTTTTATCAAAATCTTTGTCATAATAAAAATTTATCGTATCATACCCTTTTCATCAACTATTATTTTTAGTTTTTAAGAGTGAATATGAAAATAATTCAAAAAAATTCTTAAATTTTAAAATAGATCTATTTTACTCTTGGTTGTATTTTAATCTTTTTTATATGTATAAATTATACTACATTAATATCCAAGTTAAATTAAAATAAAAAGGCAATCAAGCATTTAACATTTCTCTCTAGAATAGTAGTAGCTGATTTTTTTCTATATCTAAAAGAAAAACATTCAATTATTATTACAATATTTTAACCTTAGAATCTAGATTACTTCTATAAATATATGGTATCAAATCTTTGATTATTAATTCATTATTTAAATTTCAAATTATTATTATTTTAAAGTAATTAAACATTTTATAGTCTAAATCATCTTAGTTATATCATTTTTATAATTAGCCAGTATATTGGGCTTTTCTTATACGCATTCATATAATTCTTATTAATGTATTTTTCATAAATTTAGTCACTTGCACAATATAAACCTGAAGATATTTTTGCAATTGATGATATATTATTGTTCTTTCAACTTATGCTGAATCACTTTTTATAATAATTTGAATTAATAATTAAGATTAACAGATATAAATTATTTTCATGAATAATATAGATATCTGATCCATCAATAGATTAATAATAACCTAAAATAGGCATCTAGTTTCTTATTTGAATTTTGTTCTCCAGCTTAATCTATTTTCGATTAATTTTCAACTAATAAAAGATATCAAATTATGATGACTGAAAAATTTAATTTAATACTTTATAATCTAAAATAGAGAAGAAAAAAATAAAGCTTTAATCAACACTGAATTAATAGATTAATTTTATTTTTATTAAGTGAAATAATTGAATAACGATATTATCACTTTAAATTACCAAAAAAGAATGGAAAAATTGAATAAAAACAATCAAAATAATAAAACAAGTAAATATTTTTGTTAAGAAAATAATTGATCATTAATCAAAAAATATATATATTATATGAAGGAATAGTTTTAATTTGCATTACATTAATATACAATCAAAGTTGAATGATCCTGAAAAATAACTTTTTAAAAGTACCTTCGGTTTTATGATGCAAAAAAAATAAAAGCGTCCAATTTTAATACATAAGGGCGTTAATTTCTTAGAGGAATATATAATATATTTTATATATAAATTAAAATTTATTCCTATCTATTATTTTAAGCCTTCAAAATACATGTCCGTTAGAATCAATACCATAAGATGAGCTATTTTAAGATACAGGAAATTTATCTTGAAATGCCTAGAACTACTATGAGTAAAAAAATTACATCAATGTTAAATCAAGACAATCTGTTGGATTGTAATAATGAAGCATGACTCAGAAAGTTTCAGCAATCAAGAATATTCATCCAAAAAATCCATCTAATATTTTACAAAGTAAACAAAGTATGGAAAGATTTCTTTAGAACTCATTAAGATATTCCAAAGTATCTGATTAGTATTTCTTTGATAATCTAGAAGGAATTAGTGATGCAATAAATCATTTTGATGACCACTTCCTAAATTTCTCTTCATCGATTAGTACATTTATATTATGATGGTTTCTGATATTTAATTATCATAAAAATAACAATAAATAATTTACTTTATTTGAAATGGACTTAATTTTTTATGCATATGAAAATATTGATATTATATTTAAATCATTTAAAGCCTTTGAGTAATTGTGGACATGAAATTTTCATCGGTTAAATGCTTTTTTGTATCTCAATTTGTTTAAATTATAATTTATATAAATAATTTTTTTACATATCTTATAGAATCTTTAAAAGTTCTCTTTATTTATTATCTGACAATATGATATTCTGATTAAAATTTATTTATGGAAATTAATTTATATATTTATTATATGGTGCCTATATAAAAATTAACTTCTTTATTGATTCGTACATTCTCAAAACCTTTATCTAATTAGATTAAACGATATGCTTTAAATAAACATAGATCTCGGAAACCATCAATTATAAAAACGTCTTTTATTTTTATAGGAAACAAATATCATAATTTAGAGAAATATTTAAATCGAAAATCAATAGGAATGAATAATTAAGAGGTATTTTTTAAACCATTAAGTGATGAAGCAGCATTAACTAAAGGTTATAATTGAATATATGTAGGTTCTGATTTATTTGCTGACATATTTGTTTATGCTTGTATTTTAGGAATACCCTTGATAGAATTGTATAAATCTTAAAAAGAATCAGAAAATAAGTCACAAGATTAAGATATTGCACTTTTGCAAGTTTAAACTGTAATTATATAGAAAAAATTAGAGTCAATAAATAATTTGAAAGAGTCACATGAGCAATTCGAAAATGAATATAGCAAAATTGTAGCAGAAAATAATTATATAGAAAAAACTCTAAAGCATTTTTAAAATGATATTAGCGAGCAAGTTTAGCACTTAAAAAAACAATTATAATCTTGAAATATATATTATAATGAAAATTTATTTATATTAGAATATTAACTATTTCAATATTATTTTAATTATCAAATTTCAATGCTATTTCTAGATTTATCACAACTAATTATATCAGTTAATATTCCATCTATCCAAATACCTTTTTTATATACTCCTTATTAAATAAAGATTCCTTAACCATGTTATTAATTATTTTCCCATTCTCCTTCATATGAACTTCCATCAGTAAATTTATATTTTCCAAAACCATGTTTTAATCCATCCTTCCATTATCCTGAATAGTAACTACCATCAGGATATTTATATTTTCCATTTCCATTTTTCTAAGCATTATACCATTCACCTTCATAAATACTTCCATCTTAATAAGTTTATTTACCAACACCATTTTATTTATTATTTAACCATTCTCCTTCATAACAACTCCTATCTTATTATTTGTAAAATCCTTTGCCATTCTTTTAATCATTTTTCCACATTCCTTTATAAAAACTCCCATTTTTGTATTACATTTTTCCTAAACCATTTTTTTATCCATTTTCCCATTTTCCTTCATAAACACTTCCATCCAAATAATAATATCTGCCAACTCCATGTTTCTTTCCATTCAACCATTATCCTTCATATTAACTATTATCAGTATTAACAAACTTTCCTTATCCTTACTAAGCATTACTTTGCCATTATCCATCATAATAACTACCATCTTTATATTTGTATTTCCCTTAACCATGTTTTTAATCATCCTTCCACATACCAAAATATTAACTACCATCAGAATATTAATAAATTCCTTTCCCATTTTTCATTCCATTACTCCAATAGCCTTCATAAGTACTCCCATCAGGATATACTTATTTCCCTTCACCATTCTATTTATTGTTTAACCATTAGCCTTAATATATACTGCCATCTTCAAAAACATATTATTGTCTTTACATTATATGGATTATAAAGGATAAAAAAAATAAACTTAATTTACCTTCATTTGTTTATTCATTCAATTATAATTATAGACATTAAACTTTAAATAGTTTTTCACATGTTTACTTTGCACTTTTAATCAACTTTTTTATTCTCTCTAGACACTATCATATTAAAGTGAACATATAAATAAGACATATATATCATTAAAATATTTTATAAGCAAAAAATATTTTATTAATAATATAATTCATTTGTATTTTGAACAACCAATTATTTCTATTAATTTATGCTAAGTTATAATCTTGTTCTAAAAATAACATTTAAAAACAAGTTGAATTATTAAAGAATTTTAATTTATTTTATAAACAATTTATAATAATAGAGATATGCAAACAAAAGCAGAATATGAGGAATTTGAAATTTAATAATGTTTTGGATGTCCAGAGGTAAAAAATCATAATTTAGTATAGTACAAAGTTAAAGTTGCAAAAAATTAGGAAGGTCAATAGTTTTTGCTCAATTTTTTTGACATTTCTTAAAGAGATTAACTTTAAAAATTATAAAATATTAGAAATTTGGAGCATCCCTCAATTCTTAAAATAATTCAGATTAGAGAGGAAGGAAATTACAAAGTATTATTTAAAACTATACAAGAAAAAAAATGGAAGTTAATTATTGAGATCATGTGTTATTTATGAATATCCATAAGGAGGAGAATTGTATGAATACATATTTTAGACTGGAAAGTTTAATGAAACATAAGCCAGAATATATTTTAAATAAATTGTTGAGGGTATATTTAATGTTAAAATTTAAAGGATTAATTGAAGTTCATAAGTTAGGATAATTTCATGGAGAATTAACAATAGACAACATTTTTTTTAGTGATGCAAAATAGATAAAGATTGGTGAATTAGGATAGAGCTAAATAAGAAAAAAAAAATACAGTAAATTTTAATTACATACTCAGTTTATGAAGGTTCAAAATGGACAGAAATAAATAATAATCACTAATAAAGCAAGGATATCTTTGCTTTAGGCATGATCTTATATTCTTTAATGTTTGGTAAGCCTCCCTTCTCTTTTGTAGAAAATAATACATTCTTTAATGCCTTATAAACATCACCTCATAAATTTTGGGAAAAAGTATAAAATAATTTTTAGGATGTGATTATAACAAATCATTTTAAGTATCAATTATTTTTAATTATATTAGAGATCTTATATAAGGAATGTTAACAGAAACTCCAAATAATAGAATGTCTTTGAGTGAAGTTTATAAGCATCCATGGACTTAAATAAACTCTGAAATTACAGAAGAGATGATTAAAGAGTTTAATTCAAAGTAAAATATGATACAATAATTCCTTATAAAAAACCGTTTAAATCGTGAAATTCGAAAAAGCCAAATGTTGATGAATAATGATAAATAACAACGTATAAAATATAATACCATAATTAGTTCAAAGAGGAATTGGAAATTTTTATAGATCAAATGAAAGGGATACATCGATTATTTAAGATAATTAAATTGAAGGAAAATAGATAAAGCAAATAGCTGTAATTATAAGGATTTATTCATTTTAGATTAATTTATTGAAACCTGATAATTATGTATTTAGTTCAATAAATCCAGAAGAAATCATGAATTCAATAAGATAAAATTTAGAGGTAAAACCATTTAATTTACAATTAATTAATGGATTTTAATAAAATAACTAATTTAAAGTAATAATAAATAGAGATATATAGATAATGATATAAAGTGAATTAAGGGTTGAAATAAAAGTTTAAATATTACAATTAGAAACAGAAGAAGATATTTTGTGTTTTCACTTTACTAGATTAAAAGGAGAGTTTTAAAATTATCTTGAAACAGTGAAATAATTTCATAAATTAATTGATGAAAACTTAAAAAAATTTCCATAACTTAATGAGTAAATTATCTGAAATTATTATACATTTCATGTTTCAGTTGTATTAATATGAATACATTAAAAATAAAGATTGATATCAGGATTTTTATTTATATTCTGCTCTTGTTTTTAGTTAATCATCTTCATTATTATTTCTATCATCTTTATTATCTCTATTATTTCTATAATTATCTCTTCTTTTATTATCTCTTTTTAATCGTCTCTTCTATTTTCGTAATTTTTTCTGTTATCTCTTTTTCCTCTATAGTTTCCCTCTGGAGAACTTCATTTATTTCAACAGATTAGATTGTATTAACTTATTATATAAACCTAATATTCTTCTTCTTACAACTTCAGTAATAATAAAAGCTTTTGTAATATAATTATTAATAGCAATAATAAAGATAGAATGAGTTAATCTTCTTTACGAGTACCTTATAATAACCATAAAGCTCTTCTTCTAATATAGCTTGATGATTAGAAACGATTTCTAACTCTAATTACATTCTCTTCAGGCTTTTTATTATCAATTACATTCTTTTCATATTTTCTTTGGGTAGACATACTAATATTAATACAAATCTTTTTTTTTGATAATAATAAAAAAATATTAATAATTCATTAATTTCTTATTAGAGATTATTATTAATAACCATACTCATAGCTACTAGAATAATATCGAACAAAGATGTGTATCAATATTCTAAAAATGGAAAAATTTTAATTATTAATTTTTAAAATTCAAGAACATTAAACATTTGATGAAATATTATTTTGAGAAACAATTTAAGATATAGAAAAAAAGAATATTTTTAAAGCATTAGGAAGATGACATAAAAGATAATATAAATTTCCATTAAAAAAAGATTCTTTTGGAGATGAAGACTTTAATTATTGAATTCAATTTCTAAAAATTATCTTTTGACAGAATTACTAAATAAAATGATAAAAGAATATTTTTTTAGAGAACCTCTTCAGAACATATTGTCTTCAATAAAGATAAGAGATTAATTTTGAAGATTCTTTAGAAATCCCTTCATAATTGCCCTGAAAAATTTTCAGAATTAATTAAACATTTTGGGTATTGTTTTGAGTGTATAAGAGAACTTATATTCTTATTACATTTTTTTCTTTTTATTTACTTTATGAGGTTAAAAGTTTATGAGCAACTTAAGTATTATAAAAGTAAATTATATATAGAAACCCATATCAAATGTTAAAATCTTTGTTTATCTTTGTTTCTCAAATTATTAAAGAGTCCTTTCAATAATTTTTTTTATTTTCCTTTCGAAATTGCTCTACAATTATTTAAATTTTAATCTAATTGATTCTCATTTTTCATTAATAAATCTGGTCTAGTCTAATTTAATTCTAAATTTTATATACTTCTAAAAATTTACATTTTATTTTTGTTTAAAATTATTTACACAAAATTGAATAAAAAATATAACATATTTAATTTACTAACCAAATAAATATATATTTCGAAACTGAATTATGAAATACTTTCAAAACATTAGTTATATGTGTAGGGTAAACATTTTAGAGGATTCGAAAATAAAAATTAGATGAAAATTAGATTGCTATGTTTTTTATTGGATAGGATTTCTAAATTTAAATAAAAAATAAAAATATATTTTATCATTTATATAAATAAATTATAGAACTTAATAAAAATTTACTTCATTTAGGCATTTATTAATTATAAATATTTTTTGATAATCTAATACTTATTAAAATATTCATTTACAATATATTTTCAACAACAAATGTTATTTTTTCAAATAAGTGATTTTTTAAAAAACTAATTTTGAATTAAAGTGATATAAGATAAAGATAAAAATTTCATAAATGAGTATTATTAAATTTAAGGGTTTAAAATAAACCTATATGTTTATTATTTATTTTATTTGGAATTCTTGAGAATTGTCTAGGAGTATTTATATTATCTAAATAGCAGAAAAATGAACAACATTATTAGTATGGAAAGGAATAGACCAATAAAATATCCCTCAAATGATGTTTCAATCAATTGGCCCTCTTTTTAATCTTGTAATATCAGTCAATAGAGATTACATTTAGTGCAGGATCTAATAATTACACATTCTATAGGAAAATATAGTGACACTGAAAGCGAAAAGAATGAGATTCCTCAAAACCTTATCAAACTATCAGAATTACAATATTACCACCAGGAATATGATAGAAACTAAATCTTATAGAAAAATGAAAATTTTTGGATAACAAAATTTATATTTTCTGATTTAATAAAATCAATCTTATTAGCACTTTCGTTCATTTTACCATATAGTTATATTGATGACTCAAAGTAAGATCATTTAATAATTTAGATATAAATCAACATAAACAAAAATAATCATTACTTTTTTGATATTAACTTTATATATGATTTCAATTATTTTGAAATTATATTCATAAATGCTCAAACATCAACTGATGTAAAAAAGCTTGAAATAGGTTATCTATTTAATTGTATTTACAATCAGTACTTTCTTTGAAGATGCATCAGTTTATGCATTAATGTCAATATATTTGTTTGTTATGAATTTTGGGATAATTAGAAAATTTCTTCAAATATTCAGTCATCTTAATTATGAGTAAATTATAATGATATATCTTTCTTAGATAAGTGAACTATATACAAATGATAAGTTGTATCTATTTTTCAATTCATTAATTTGGTTGTTTATGGATAGTAGAGTAAAATATAAAGAACTTAGAAAACATTTCATATTTAGATAGTATTTATCATTCATTTATAATATCCTTACTGTAAATTTAAGAAATTGAGATTGAAAATAAGTTGTTAATAATATTAAATTTAACATTTAATGTAGGAATAATATTTTACATTCTAAAGTGTCTATTAAAAAATTTTACAGAAGGATCTCGAAATTAATAATTATTAAAATCATTTCGTCTCTATTTATAATCTAAATTAATAAGTTTTTAAAGCAAGTTAGTTTTAATTCATTATTCTACAATTTATACAGAATAGGAAGATGATCTAACACTTAAAAAACAATAGAGAATAAACAAAATTTAATAATATCTTAAGTGGAAAATTATTAATTAGGAATTATCGAAATTAAATTTTTTATCTCAAAATACTATAGATTTAATAAGTTAAAGTGGAAAATTAATTTAAAGTTAACCATTGAATGTATTAATAATTTGAATTATAAAGAGATTAAACACAGATATAAATGGATTATATATAATTCTTTCTGGCAGTATTTATGTGGAATTTATGGGATTCTAAGTTGGTTAATCAAGTTAAAAGATTATAGAACTAAGTTTAATTGAAATTATTAGTGGTTAATAATAAGGAAGAATAAGACTAGAATAAACTTATGCTAGGGAAGTTTTGTACTTTTTTATTGAAAAATAAGTTATTATTGATATATTGAAATAATCAAAAGAATAAGTATTGTTACAATAATAAAATAGGAAGTTTATTAAATGATAAAAGATGATCTAATTTTATATAATGATACCACGAAATTAAATTTTAGATGTTATTTTTGTGATTAATTTCATCCAAGTTTTAATTGTTCATCATTTAATATAAAGAGAAGATTCAATTATGATTAAATATATCAAGAAAGAGATCCAAGATATTAAAGAAAAGTAACTAAAAAATCTAGATCTGCTATATATTAGTAAGTAAGATGAAAATAATATTAAATAGATTACATATTAAGGAACTAGTAATATTAATGTATTTGAATAGAATTCAGATAGTTTTGAAGCATTTTCAGCTAATTCAAGTGAACATATTAGTTGTGGTAATAATGGAATTGAATAAATACCAAAGCAAGCTTCAACTAAATATATATATAAGGAGATTTTATAGGCAGATATTATATCAGATAAATTGACTGAACCTATGATAAGTAGCACATTTTTGAAAAACCTAACTATCAGTCCAGACACTGTAATAAAACGTTAAATAACAACTACAAATTAGAATTAAGGTTAATTTCAAGATTTAGATTCAATATTTGATATTGATAAAATGGGAGAGTTTCGAGAATATAAAACAAAATTCAATATTACAAATATCATAACACTTCTGAATAAAAAAAATAATTGATATTTAATTATTAAATATATATAATGACTTTTTAATTACCTTAAGACAGATCAGTTCAATAAATAGAATAGAATTTAATATATGAATGATTATTTAGAGAGAGACAACATGTTTAAAATTTGATGATCTCTGAAGAGTCGGAAAAAAAGATATTAATATCAAAATATATAGATTTAATAACTTGTTATAATAATCCCAAAATCAAACATATTTTCTTATAAATTATTAGAAAATGATTGGATTTATTGCTAGGCAAAAGAAAAAGATATAAATGCATAAGTATTATAATTAATTGAAAATAAGTTATTCCTAACAAAAATGTAATTGATAGAGTAAATACAAAAGTAAAGGATTCTAAACCAAAAGAAATTAGAGGTGTATCAATTTGAGATTATAAAACAAGATAAAAAATTAGTTTCTTCTAAATTAGAGATTAAGTTAAGTTAAAAAATTATTATTCATTGATCCAGAGTTTAATTTTTTATGATGGAAATTTTTAAGGTTTAAAAATTGAAATTTGAAGAAATTTAATTAGAAATTGAGATATATATGAGAATGTAATAATAATCTTAATTTATTATTAAATATTTATAGAAGAAATTAATAAAGTATCTAATACTTTGTTCTCATAAATATTTTAAGTAATATTGTTAGTGTTTCTAAAAGATAAGTTCAATTAATTGATTGTTTAAACATTTATATATATAAATTGAAATTTAATTTTAAAAATATCAAATTATTAATGTAAAGAAAAACGAGGGGATTATATTTTATAGAGAAGATACTTGATTATAAATAATATAATGGTTAGAAATATTATTTGGTCAAATGGTAAGGATACAACAATAGAGATTGTACGTGGGAAAAACCAGAAAAGATACCAAATTTAGCTTAATTTATGCATTAATTTGAAGAAAATATAAAATAATATGGTTCAAATTTTTACCATATTGAAAATGATGAACCACCTAAATTAGAAGATTTTATTGGAGCACCAAGCTTATCAAAATAAAATAAGTATTAATAACAATAAGAATAAATAAATAAATTACAAAATTAGATAGATGAATTAAAATAAGAAATTAATAAAATTAAGAAATAACAAGATGAAATAGTTTAGATAATAAATAATACTTAATAGATTGAAAAATGTTAATAAATTAGTTAATAACATGATTCTGAAATAATTTAGGAATCAACATCAGAATAATCACAAAAAAATACTGAAATAAAATAACAATGTGAAGGTGGATTTGAATTTGGAGATTAATTAGAAAAGATAGGTTAAGCAGTTGAAATTAAAAACAAGGGAGAAAAGATGTATTATTTGTTGTGGTAAAAAAGACCTAATGGTAATTGTAATTATATTAAAATATAGGTATAATTCCAAAAAATAGATGGGTTGATAGTGAATATCTTATGAAATATGATATTAAGGCTTTGTGTTACTATCTTCAAAAAAAATTATAATGAATTTAGTATTAATATTTCATTTAGTTATATAAAAATATGTATAAATAAAGTCCAAAAATAAAATCAAACGATTACAGATTGAATTAGATACATAGAAATTATGTTGCTGGTGATTACAATTTAAATAACTAAAATTAGTATCATATTTAGTAATCTTTAAATTCTTAAAATATTATTGCATAATATAAGAATAAAAAGAATGAAAAGAAACAATAGGTAACAAAGAGAATTAAAATGGTTGATCCATTTTCTAATAATTATTAGCGTAATATGTAAAATTAATAGATTAAATTTAGAAATTCATTCGCTTATGTATATGAGGCAGGAGGAATACCTTGTAAAATAAATTACCATGCTCATGGGAATATGAAAATCTAATGGATTCCAGATGTTAATATTTAAACTTTGCCATATGATCCAGTATTGGTTACATGTTTTAATGGATTATTAGATGATGTTTAACCTTATTTAGCAATTGCAACAACTGCAATTCAATATATGCTATCAAATGAAGTAATTATTTAATTAGAATAAAGGTTGCATAAGAAAAAATTATCTCACTTCTTCCAAAATTAGTATTACCATTACGAAATGCATTAAGTTCTAAAAGTGACAAAGTTTTCAGTTCGGCTTTAACAGTTTTGATGTAATCTGTCATCTAAAATTAAGTTATTTGTCTAATATTGTTGGATCTCATTTAGATAAATATCTCAAATTATTTCTTGTTCCTATCTGGTAGAGATAAAATCATTCTGCTTTTAGCGAATAAATTAGATTAGCTTTTCTCACTTTGGAAAATAATGGAGTATTTTAAATTATTAATTAGGGTACTGAAGTTTATTAAATTATCAAATAAAAGATTCCAACATATTACAATTTTTGAGAACATATTTATTATTATTTATATTTATAATTATATTTTATTTATAAAACATTAAAAAAAGAAAATAAATAATGAAATAACATACTAATCCTAAAAAACCTGATTCTATTCAAAAAAATCTTAAATTAAGATAATTAAGGCAAGTTTAGTACTAATTTTTTGGATCCTTTGGTAAGTTCTTGTTTTGAAAACTCTTTCTAATAATATTTTATTTATTTATTAGAATTAGAATTGAATTTATTTATATCTTTTTTTATTTATTTATATGTATTTATAAATAAAAAATTAATTAAGATATCACAAAATTATTAAACAAATTTTGAGTTTGTTTATAGACTAAATTTTAAAAAATTGTGACTAACACAATAAATTCTTCTATTAATTCAATTCAGAAGCTTTTTAAATCAATTCCATTAAATTAATATTTAAGTTATTAATACTTAAAAGATTACTTTGAAACTAATTATATTAATTAATTATGTTAATCATATTTGTTATGATTAAATTATGTCTTACCATAATCAAATTTGACACCAATTACTTTGAACAATGGTCTATTGATATTACATCAGGTTTTCTTTGTTATGGAGGTGCAAAATATGATAATACAATATAATTTTCAGATTCATTTGTAAATATTCCTCAAGTTTTTATTACTCATGAATTATTTGGTATGCATTGGACTTAAGCATATCCTATTTCAGGCTTCAATTTTAGTATTTCAGACATTACTTTAACAGGTATGTAAAAATTTATATTTTAGACTTTGTCATACATCTTCATTGTTAATATGAAAGAAATTATAGATTTAAAATAAGATGGTTTGCAGTTGATGATTAAAGAATACAAGTTATAAGTTAGTTTAATTTAATTCCACCATAGAACTGTAGTTATTATTATGCTAATGTTAATTGCGATAAGTATTTCCTCACAATTACAAGTCTTAATGTAATAGGACCAACTGATGTATAATTAGATGTAAATTTGAATTTAATTTCATAGGTACAATTCACTCCACCTAATACAGTTACAGTAGTTATCCCTTATATCGAAGGATTTTCAGAAAATTTGAAATCTATAGGATTTTAATTGATATTAGGTATTGATTAAGCGTTTTCACAATCATAAACAATTTATACAAATTCAAACTATGATTCATTGGTTTATGATCCAATTTAAATAGACCAAGTCGAGTTTTATCCATTTTCTGGATTTGCATTTTAGAATCAATATCTTTTGGAATTATTTGTAAATTCATTAAGTGATGGTTCTGGTATCAGATATCAGATGTATGAATGTATTTTATTGTTAATTAAATTTTAGGGGGAGCAGGTTATACTCCAAATTTTCACAAAAAAGTACGAGTGTCCAAATCGATTACAAAAATGTTTTCACCTATTCTGTGTAATTTTTTGAGATTTTCATAAAAACTTGAATTTAGAGATTTACCTCGTCCAATGTTTTCAATCGAATTTACTGAAGATTAGGATGTATATATATCAAATGGATATCGTACAATTAGTAAATCGATTACCAACCTTAATTTAATAATTAAGTGTAATTGTATTACTGGGAAAAAGATATAAAGTAAATTTCTTAAATGTGAAAATTGTTTTAAAAAAAATTATTAGTTTGAACATTTTTGTTATGGTGCCATTAATTTATTATTTATTAATGCGAGATTTATTACTTAAACTAATGCTATATAAGAATTATCAATTGAATTGACAACCAATAGTTGCAAGATTACTTAATTAATATATAACCAAAAATATTAACCTATAGTAATTGTTGATATAAAAATGATTGATAGTTGAAATTATATTTTGATCACATACAAAATTAATTAATTTAATTGATAGTTTATATTTTAGTATAATGTTTGGATAAATATAAAAACATTATAAACAATTAGAAGTTTAAATTTTTGGATTAAAAATGTATAATACATATAGATATCAATAGTATTATGAAAGAATGTTTAAAAATCAATTTAAATAATAGTATAGACTTAAAAGAGGGATAATAAATTATGAAATAATATAGGAGACTACATGATAATATTATTATTATTAATTAAGATTCAAAATATATAAAATCTATCAAAATCAATCAATTTTAGTTCAATTTCAATAATAAATAATCATTCTAATAAATAGTGAATCTTTTATTTTTTTGAATCATTTATTCCAAATATTCACTTCTTGGTAAGTCTTTGATTCTAATTAGAATATCATAGTCATCAAGAGTTGACAGGATATCATACTCATTATCATCAATATCACTTTAATTCTATAATGAAAATCTAGAGTAGTTCATCATTATATCATCAGCTAATTTTTATTCATTAGAACGACTATCATATGGAAGACAATGATGTAAAATTAATTGGAGATCTTCTTAATCAGCAGTGAAATGATATTAATAATCCTTAATTTTAGTAAATATACAGATCTATGATGCATAACCATTTGTAAGATCTCCAGATTTATGTTATCCAACTCCATCATAGATTGTTGAATAATGATATTTCAAAGCGATAGCTTACGTCCATTCTTAAAATTCTTATTATGAAAATTCAAATTTATGATCAGGGTGTCTTAATATAAATTTAGGATTCAGTTATTTAAAATAGACATTAAAATCTGAATTAGGAGTAGTTATTATAATTCTCCATGGATTTAAGTAACCAAAAACATTCTCACATAAATCATCAAGTTATTCTAATTTTAAATGTTCAACAACTTCTACAAGTGTTATAATCTAGTAAGAAGATAGAATTAATACATCAAAGTTCATTTGTTTAAGTTAATCATATTTTTTTAAAGCATTTCCATTAAATAATTTAATCCAACATTCTGTTTTTCTATTTGACCTAAGACAATCTTAGATTTGATCATAAACTAAGTTATCACTTAACTAAATATCAAAAATTACGTAGCTTATTTAAGAACTTCAAGATCTATATCTAAACCAGCAATCAAATTGAAATCTAAAGAATGAGCTAACCTTTAAATAAACTTGCCATCATTGCATCCAATGTCTAATATTTTATCTCTTTCTATATATTTATCTAATTGTTAATGTCTTCTTTCCCATAGTCTCATTCCCATATTATCATAAAAAATATCATTTTCATAAGCTTTTATTTCCATTGCTCAACTATTTAATTTAGTTTAATTTAATTATTCCTGTAATTGTTTGTCTAAAATGTTTTTAAAATAAATTAATAAATAGGATATTTGAAATGAATTAAACTCTCACACTAATAATATAACACACAGAAAAAGGGAAAATGTATAACATAGAAGTAAGTGCAGACTCATTAGTATCAGAACTAGTTGCAGAATTTACAGAATTGCTTAATGCAGGATAATAAATAGTTTCATTTGTCTATAATGGTAAAACATTAGATGCAAATAAATCATTCAAAGAATAAGCAGTAGTAAAAGGAGCTCGATTGGATTTAATATTAAAACATCATGGTGGTCGAAAATGAATATTAATAGAGAATCATTTTAACTCTAATTCTATCAATTAATTCTTAATATTTTTCATTATTCAAACAAAACTATTAAATTATGAATATACATAATAATCAATCAAATAAATTAAAAGGTATAAAAATGCCATAGTAGGCAGCCATTGTTCCACTTAGTACTTAATCTTTATTTAAATTAAACTAATTATTAATACAATTTATACCCTTCCAAATTGAATTTATTTTAATACATTTATTAATAAGAATGTGTATGGGAGTAAAATCACTAAACTAATCAATGCTGGTACATAAATAATACCAAAAGACAGGATAACGAGAATTTCAAATATAACAACCTCTATCATTATTTATATGCAAAAATTACTGTAAAATTTAAATTTCTTGGTTTCTATTAATATATATATTAATAAAATTATGGTAACAATAAAATTACCAAACAAAGGAATGATAATTAATATTCCAACCATTAATTCAGCTAAAATTATTTAATAAATAATTACTTGGCAATCTACTACGAGGACCTACTGAAAAAATAGCAAAAATAAAGAAGAAAATCAATGTATATGCTAAGATAGATCCAAAATAAAATAAACGTGATAATACTCCCTATTACTGTATTATGATTATTTACATGTCTAAATTTTTGCATCTAGCCTAATTTGGTTAATAAAATCAAGACAAGAATGCAAACTGCAATATTGTAAGGTTTTACATTTTTATGCTTATTCAGTTAACTATTAAAGAGAATCATCAATATAAAAAAGATTAAAGCAAAAAGAAGTGTCCATAAAATAAACATTGCCAAAATGCTTCCCAAAAAGAATTTCTATGTTAAGAAATTTTAATCTTTTAATAAACAGGACTTGATTGATTAGGATGTTTAATCTAAGTTATAATACTTTTGTTAATTATTAATTTATTGTTGATATGGCTGTACAATTTATTGATATTATTATTAATCTTGATCTTGATCCTGTTGTCTCAAAATTGATAAAAATTTAATTTCTTATTCCTTATTCTAAAATTATTATTTTTATTGTTTCTCTTATTGATTTGAAGGTTCAATTTCAAATTATGGATATTTCACTTATTACATAATTTATTTATGAAAATTAAATTATTATTTCATTTTATGAATAACGTTAACAACACAATACAGAATTATTTCTATGGATTAAGATTATAAGAATAAGTTTTTTTTATTTTCAATTGAAGAAATAATTAACATTAAATAAATTAATGTTTGGCTTTGAATGAAAATTTTAATAAATTTCTTCAAAAAAATGAAACATTTACAAATTATTGTCTCTTTAATAAATAAGAATACATCATTTTCACATAAATATCCTTCCATCATTAAATATGTATAAGCCAAGAGTAAGTTAGCATTGGATATCAATAATTAGCTTGCTTGAGATTCATGATTTAATAGACATTTAAAGATTGTTAGGAAATTAATTTTCTATCTTCTGGTAATGTTATAATCCATTTAAATTTTATCGATATTTACATATTTCTAAATTAGTTTTCAATTGAAATAGAGTATTAACTTATGATACTTTAATATTTTGAGTAGATGTTATGAAAATATTCGGGCATTCTATTTTTTCTTAAATTTATTACTATATAATTTTAAAATTTATTACATTTTCTTATAATATAGGTTAGTAAAATAATTTTATTTATTAGAATAAATTAACAACAGTCTTTAAAAATAGTTATAGATTTTATCAATATTATTTTGTTCAACTGATAATGAGATAGCATTTTTCAAACGAGGAACACTAATAAATCTTTTATTCATTAATTAAATAAATATATTGAATATTTTTAGCATTTTTTTAAAATTATTTAGTAAGAAATATATTTGAAATGAATATTGATTTAATGAAATGATATTATATTTTTATAAATTTATATTCTATGAAAATAAATTTAGAAATAGATGGAATAAAAAATAGAAGAGAGAAATGAGGAATTATAAATGAAAAGATAGGAGAACAAAAATAGATAAAGTGAATAAAAGTTTATATGGTATGATTTTGAAGTAATTATTGAGAAAAAAGTAATGGAGAGATGATTCAAATATAATATAGATTATATTGAAATCAATTATTTTATTATTCTTGCTAAAGAATAGATTTTCTTTTAGAATTATCTTCAACGATTTATTTGACTTGACTCTTTTTTCTCATTTAATCTCTTTTGACAAATTCATCAACTTTACGAAATTATACCCAAGCTTTACCTTCCATTAAATTATCCAACTAATTCTTTAAAAGATTGAATGTACCTCTTCAAAGATCTCTTTATCAGAATATCCACTTTTTTTAACAATTTCCCAAAAAGCCATCCATTCATCTTCAGTAATTTAACCACTTTTATCAAAATCAACAGCATTAAATAATGCTTAAGTATTGACTTTAGCAAAATTAGTTTTCCAAAATTTTTGAGTTTCATCCTTATCAATAGAACCTGAATTATTGACATCAATTCTTTTAAATATTTCTAATGCTTTTGATCTTAATTGAGGTGATAAACCTTATGATTATTTTGAAGCTCCACAACCCATATTATTAATAATAATAATAATAATTAATTAAGGAATGGAAATTCTTGCAATTGTTGCCTTACTATTTTTAGTAATAGGTGCATCCCTATATTTATTAATATGTGTTGATCCAAATTCGCCAGGATTACTAGGAATAATGAATAGATTTGTATTCAACACTATACCAGCAATATTTAGGTAAGAAGTATAAGTATAATGAATAGAAAAATATTGGGAGAACGAATATTTAAAATATTCTAAGGAGCAATAAATTATTTCTTTTATTCAAATCATCCATTAGTATAGATATTCTATGTATTTGTCGCAGTAGGTGGATATTTAGTTTACGTATATTTTGGATTTTTGGAGTTATTTGATGATAATCCATATGTGTCTCATTTAGATACAGCAATAGGATCGGCGATGGCATTATTTTGTTTTTATTCATTTTTCTAAGCTTGTCGTTATAAACCAGGAATAATAACTAAGGAGAATAACAAAGATTATTAAAATGAATTTAAAGAATATTATGATAATGTTGTTTATTTAAAAGATAATTAATGCAAAACATGTAATATAATTAAACCAGCAAGAAGTAAACATTGTAGAGTATGCAATGTATGTGTAAGTAGATTTGATCATCATTGTGTATGGATTAGATAATGTGTTGGATAAAAGAATTATAAATACTTTGTTAAATTTATTATTACTCATGCTATTTTATGTGATTATGGTGCATATTTAGGATTTCGTTGTATTTGGGGAATTGTTGTATAAGAGGAACTATTAAAAGCTCAATTTAGGTTTATTATATTTATTATTTATTAATAGAGATCCAGTTACTAAATAGAGATTGTAAGCTACTTGGGGAATTATTATCAAGTATTTATTCTACAAAAATACTATGTATATTTTTATTGTCATTCTCTGTATTGTTATGGGTATTGCATTAACAAGTTTTGCACTTTATCATCTCTTTATGATTGGATAAGATACTACAACTAATGATAAAATGAAAAGAAGTGATTTCTTAAATTTCTTTGATGAAGAAACACAACGTTTAGAAAAACAACTTAAAAATGCCAAAAATTAAGAAGAAATCAAAGAAGTGTCTATTAAATTAGAATAAGTTAAATCTTGTTAAAAAAGGATTATTCCTATCAAAACTATAGGAGTTTGGAAAGGATTGAAAAAAGTCTTTAATGAACCAGATGAATTAGAACAGAAAATTAAAATTAAAAATAAAAAAAAATAATGAATTAATCATAAATGTGTGTGTTCTAAACATCCAAATTAATCATTGTTTCATGTTCTTATCTTATAAGGATTACATCAATGATCATGTGATTATCTTTTGAAAATTGAAAATTCACAAAGGTATAAATTTTTTAAATTTATTATAAAAAATTAGATTTATTCTAGAAATAAGATAATAGAAGTTTAATAAAATTTATTTGCCATATATTATAATTTATCCATTATATATTTTCTTGATCCACGAAGAATCTGGATCGAAATAATAACGCTTAAAGCAGAATCTTTTTTTTTACATTAATCTTAATAAAATTCATTTTCTCAGAGCTTAATACTAATCAAAAAAAAGATTTATTGAAAAATAGTAATAAGATGTGTAAATACATATCAATTTAGATAATAGATTAAGATTTAATTTAACTTTTTTTTTTACCTTATATATTTTTATATTCTATTTAGTAAATAAATAAATTTCATAATAGTTAGTAAAGTTTATCAATTTAAACTTCATATGAATTATCTTCATTGAGTAAAGAGGGTAATACATGATTTTTTTATTCTTAATCAATCAAATTGGTCACAGTTATAACTTCTATTCTTTCTTAATCAATTTTGAATATTTCTACATAGGAAACCTTTTTACCTAAAGTTTCTAAAATTTATACATAAAAGTTCATTTTTCTTGACATAATTCATGTAAACTTTTAAACTATCTTTTAAAAATTCTACAGTGAAAGATATTTTGTTTTCACTTTATTCCTTTAAAGAAAACTTACTTAGAAAAATAAATGTTTAATAAGAAGACTTTATACTCCATATAGAAGATTCTAATGCTATAAAATTATTCTCATCTATTTAATCTATTATTTGAAACTTTTTGAAAGAATTTCTCCATTACTTTTATTCAGTAAATAATTTATAAATTTTTTGAATTTAATTGCATTTTAGAATGTAGGAATTCTTTATTATCTAACCTTATAAATGAAGTAAACTGCAATTTTTATACTCTAAAGCAAATAAACATTTACATTACATTTCACTAATTTCCAATTATAATTTAGAGTCAGTATTTTAATTAGAAATTATGGAGTATTATCGTCTTCCAATAGAATCATATCTTTTGATGAAAATTTTCTTATTGTTTCTGATGTGCTTGCAGGAGTGATGTATTCATCTGAAGAATCCAAGTTTTTTGCACTATCAAGTGTTTTTCTTTAAGATTTAAAGTTTTGGTAAATTCTTAATACCTCTTCATCTTCAATTAAAAATTTAACTATGCTTTAATCTAATAATGGATTGCCTTCTAAATATTTGTGTAGCAATTATAAAGCATTTTTGTAACATTTATTTTATTAATTATCTTTGATGTGATTTTACAATTTCATTTGCTTGATTTATTTCATATTCAATTCACAAAATGCTTTCAAAGAAATTTCAGCAACTTCAATTAGAATAAATTAAATTACATGGATTATATTCAAAGTCTAACAATTTACTTAAGAAAGAAAGTAAACAATTGCATTAGATATGAGAATCTGAATCATTTTATATCATTTAGGTTAAACCCATAATTTCTTTATCTTTATCTCCTATAAATAAGAATTGCATGATATTGTATGATAAATATTATAGTTTTCCGAATAAAATATTTTCAAGTTAACTTATCTAATAGAATTTTAATAGTATACTTTATAATTTTCATTCTATCCTCCTTACGACTATTAAGTTTATGAATATAACAAAGTACAGTCTTTTCAATATCGTTTTATGGTTAATGCTTCTATAATTCAGGTTCTAATAATGAATCTAAATTAAATTGATCACTGCTGAGTCCATGTAATTTAATATTATCAAATCCCTTCTTCATAAATTGTTCTTTAATTTCTATAAACTTTAAAAATTCAATTGGTCTTTGTTATTCTAGACTAGAGAGGATAGTTTATAAGAATTCTAATATTTTAGCCATTAATTTACTTTGTAATGATTTCCTTCTTTCTTAAACAACCTCACTTTTATTTGATTTAAACAATTTTTTCTGGGGAAATTCATTAAATTTGAAATTAGGTTTTAACTAAAAAAATATAAATTTGATACTTATTTATATAGCTCAAGAAATTATTTGTACCTTCTTTAAATTTAATAGTCAAAATAGTCTGTGTTGATTTATATAACATAATGAACTATATGTTTTTTGTGAAGAGAGATGTTATCTTTTTCTTTAGACAAAGAGACAATTTCTATGTTCTTAATTACTTGATGTGTAAAAATCAACTGATATACGGTCTTTTCAATTTATTATTATTTTTGTTTTACCTCATCTTGAAGTGGATTAGTCACTGAATGAACNTTTGGTAAATTCTTAATACCTCTTCATCTTCAATTAAAAATTTAACTATGCTTTAATCTAATAATGGATTGCCTTCTAAATATTTGTGTAGCAATTATAAAGCATTTTTGTAACATTTATTTTATTAATTATCTTTGATGTGATTTTACAATTTCATTTGCTTGATTTATTTCATATTCAATTCACAAAATGCTTTCAAAGAAATTTCAGCAACTTCAATTAGAATAAATTAAATTACATGGATTATATTCAAAGTCTAACAATTTACTTAAGAAAGAAAGTAAACAATTGCATTAGATATGAGAATCTGAATCATTTTATATCATTTAGGTTAAACCCATAATTTCTTTATCTTTATCTCCTATAAATAAGAATTGCATGATATTGTATGATAAATATTATAGTTTTCCGAATAAAATATTTTCAAGTTAACTTATCTAATAGAATTTTAATAGTATACTTTATAATTTTCATTCTATCCTCCTTACGACTATTAAGTTTATGAATATAACAAAGTACAGTCTTTTCAATATCGTTTTATGGTTAATGCTTCTATAATTCAGGTTCTAATAATGAATCTAAATTAAATTGATCACTGCTGAGTCCATGTAATTTAATATTATCAAATCCCTTCTTCATAAATTGTTCTTTAATTTCTATAAACTTTAAAAATTCAATTGGTCTTTGTTATTCTAGACTAGAGAGGATAGTTTATAAGAATTCTAATATTTTAGCCATTAATTTACTTTGTAATGATTTCCTTCTTTCTTAAACAACCTCACTTTTATTTGATTTAAACAATTTTTTCTGGGGAAATTCATTAAATTTGAAATTAGGTTTTAACTAAAAAAATATAAATTTGATACTTATTTATATAGCTCAAGAAATTATTTGTACCTTCTTTAAATTTAATAGTCAAAATAGTCTGTGTTGATTTATATAACATAATGAACTATATGTTTTTTGTGAAGAGAGATGTTATCTTTTTCTTTAGACAAAGAGACAATTTCTATGTTCTTAATTACTTGATGTGTAAAAATCAACTGATATACGGTCTTTTCAATTTATTATTATTTTTGTTTTACCTCATCTTGAAGTGGATTAGTCACTGAATGAACTCTTTTTAATTATAGATGAGATATCTTTTATGATGGACATTACTCTTGAAATGAATATTATCGTTTAGAATGCATAATAATAAGTTTAGAATTACAATTAATATCTATTAATATAGGAAATTCATTTTTATTATATATAATTATTATATTATGCAATTAAATTGATGCATTTATTATTATAAAACTTGACATTTATCTTGTTGTTAATCTATCTAAATAAAATATGACAGATAATTATACTTGAAATGGCAATGTAATATGAATAAATGATAATAAATAATTTAGAATGACAATTTATCATGTTGTATTTCAATATATTTTAATAAAAAATTGATGTTTTTTGCCTTATAAGATTTGCTTAATATTGTAAGTTTAATTCGTCATCTCATACTATTAAAACAAAAATCGATCTTGAAATTTATGTAATATTTAAAAAAAAAAAAATGCTAACAACGGAGGTTAGTACTACGACTAACCAGAATTAAGTTAAAGATCATAAAGAAGCTGTTTTTGAGGTTTGTTTTAAATTTAAATATTTTAAAAGTATGCTCATAAATGGACTAACAGTGATGAAGAAGAACTTAAAGAATTGTTTCTTGTTCATTAGGGTAATTGGAAATGTATAAGCTCTAAATTAAATGGTCCAAGTCCCTTAGAATGTATGATGAAATGGTAAAAACTACATCCAGATCAAGTAAATGAATATCTTAATTTAAGACTCTTTAAAGACAATTGTGGTGTTAGGAAGAAGATGATTAATTAAAAGACCTTGTTCAAAAGTATGGAAAAAAATGGAGTAAGATATGCACTGTGATGAATTGGAGAACTGGAAAACAAGTTAGAGAACGTTATCTAAATCAATTATAAGGTCATATTAATAGTGAGAAATGGACAGAGTAAGAAGACAAGATGATTATCAAATTATATAAAAAGTATGGAACTAAATGGAGTTATATATCTAGTTTTCTTAATGGCAGACCTGTATAAATAATATTTATTATATTCAAATAGGAAAATATGGTAAAAAATAGATTTTATGCCAATTTGCAAAGACGATTCTAATCAGATCTAGAAAATTCTGAGGATGAATAATGTGCAGATTCTTAAGATTCTTTGAATATATCCAGATATAAAAAGAAAAAAAAAATTAAACCTTATAGATTTATTAGTGATTCTATTTAGATCAAAAAATGTTAACTTTCAAATGTTAGATCTGAAATTTTCAAAAGAATCACAAGATCTAAAAATAAAGATAATTTGAAAGTCAAAGAAGAATATATATAGGAATCTAATTAATTATAGAATCCTATTCAATAAACTATAGAAAAAGAGTAACTATCAAATTAATTCATTTCACCCTAGTAATTAAATGTAAAAGAAGAAATCATTTTTAATAATAATCAAGCAACGTATAATCCATTTATGTTATCCAAGTATTAATAAAATTTTTAAGCTCTATCATTACTTGATAAAGAAAGATTAGAGTTTGGAATAAATTAATAATAATATTCATAATGTTATGCCAAACAAAATGACACTCAAATCAATTTCTAATTATGTTAGAAATGTAGCTAATGTGAGAATACAATAGATACAAATCAATTGTATTCTTTTTAAGATATTAATCAATTATTCAAATTGTTTTAATATCATATGTTTATGCAACATCAACCTTTACTGAATTTAAAAAGTGAAGTTGATATGTCATAAATTGGAAATCAATAACCATAGCAATATAATAGCCATATATTGCAGTGACATTTCATCATTGGAACTAATGAACCAATGAAAATGTTAAACATTATATCATCAAATACAAAAAACCCAACATTCAATTAATTCAACTCTATTCTCTTCTTTTCTTTCAATATTAAATTCTACCTACAATATTATTCAATAATATCTAGTTGTCTATAGGTATTTTCTTATCAATCATAGTTATTTCTCAAACCAAAATTTCTTTGATTCATGAATCCAAAAGATGAAATGATAAACAAATAATTAATTATTAAAATTTAGTTTAATAAAAAGATATTGAAAAATAATACCCATTTAACCAATTCTAGTTATTATTTTCGAAATCTTAAAATTTCATTCAAAATAATTATAAAAGTATACCTTATATATTTTTAATCATATTATTTTTATATTATGATGATGAAGTAGATTTCTTCTAAATTAGAAAGTGAATTTAATAACAATATACTTAGTTTTTAATTAAATTACACTTTAAAAATCTGATAATTACTTACTATCTTAAAGTAAATTTGATTTGTTTTAAATTTATTTGATTTAGAAAGAAAGCTTTTGATTAAATTGAAGATACATTATTGTTATCACAAAATTTTCGTAGAATAATAAATATAGAAATACAGTGTTTGTTTTGATTAATAAATAAATAAACTCAATCAAAATATATTATTAAAGATGATAAATTTAATTATTAACCTTTACTTGTTATATAATATGAAACCCAAAACAGTAGAATCTAATAAAATGAGAAGGCCTTACATTCAATATTTATAATATCTTTGCAAAAAGAAATCATACATAAGAATAGATCTTATTTTTAAAATCCAAAAATATTATAGACTGGGTTACTTATTATGATGATAAAGGGAGTGTAATTCATTGAGTTTAAGAAAAAAAGAAATTTAGAAAACCAAATATACTTGTTTTTAGAAACTATAAAATAAATTGAATACTAAAATGAGAGATTTTTATAATAAAGAAGATTAAGAAAAAAAAGCCTATTAAGGTTAAATTTGATTGAAATTTCACATTTTCTTTTGTAAAAATGATATGAAAAATAGTTTAAATAAAAACAAAAAAATATCTTAATTTGTTAAGAATATCTAGATATTTTATGATTAAGATATGATAGAAAAGTAAGCATTAAAAGGAAGAATATATATTCCTATCAATACTTCATCTTTAGTTTATAATTCATTACGTAACATATTTAAATTCTGAAACGAGAGTATTTGATAATTTAAACTTATATAGAATTGATTTCAAGAGAGAAATGGAAAAATAACTATTTAGAAAGTAAATTAAAATTATTGTTAGATTTAACAATTATAGATAGTGATGATATTATTATAAAAATGAAATTTAAGTGATTTGTTTGTAACATTAATTATACAATATTGTGATGGAAAATTCTTAAACAATAGAAAATGATTCGCTAAATGGAAGTTCAATGAATTTTAATAAAATGAAATGAAGAATTTCGAGGATTATTTGATCAATTAAGTTAATATGAATGAATTAATATATTATTTATCATTTACTAATATTATAATGAATAAATTATAACACTACGCTGATGTGTATACTTTTGAACCCAATTTAGATCAAGTTTTAATAGAAATAATACCTGACATGATTGAATCAGTAGCTGATTTGAATGACACTCAAATTTAAGATAGATTAGCAACAAAAAAAGTTAGTTCATAAACTAAGACTGTTACTTTTAATGGGTTGATTTTAATATTATTGATGTTCATGGTTTTAACGATAATTAGATGGTTAATGAATAAGATTGATATAAGATTGTTGAAATACATGTTAAAGTAATTAGACATAATTATAAGATTTTAGAGATTCAGCATTAATGTTACCAATGGTGTTTATAATATTGGTATTCAATTATATGTCAAGTAGTTCTATTAAGCAAAAATTGAATATTTATGGAGTTCTATATTATGTAGATCTAGATAAATTCTTAATGCAAATTGTGACATTTATAATAGTGTGGTTTGGTGTAGGAGTTGTATTTACTTTTTTGTGGTAGCATTAAAATTCTATAAATGAAGAATTTGAACAATTAGATGCAGAATAAACGCATAGATTGTATGAGAATATGTACTTGTATAATGATTCAAACACTTATATAATACAAGAGAAAGTGCAATATCATTCAATCAGATAATAGTTTATTTAACCTATTGATATTCCAGTGATAAATTCTAGGATTTTGAGGAAGGATTTCAATTTTGCATAATATTTGAATTTGAACCAACGTAAAATCTATACATAAATCTTAAGAATCAACTCATTCAGTATAATACCGATTATCCTTTGTTTTTTTCTAACCTATGTCTTCTCATCTATACTAATTACTATAGTATTACTTTTATATTATTGGGTGTAAAAAAACAACCTATATTAAATTTATACAAAGATAGACACTCCATATAAATATAGCCCTGCAACTTAGCAATTTCGTGGAATTTAAACACCACCTTATATCAATTTACCATTGTAAAAGAACAAATCTAGATTATAATAAGTAATTGGATCAAAACATTTCAATTTGAGATTATTACACTCCTTTATTTTTATCTAAATCTTTTGGTTCTCTTGGTTGTTTTATGCACATAGAGTGAATAATTCAATTCTTGAACATACATGGTTATCAGTTTTTGTATCAATAGCATCAATAAATGTAACTATTTTAACACCAATGATTGTTAAAGTATTAAGTTATACACATTTAGTAGCAGATCCATTTAAAGTATGTGCAGAATCTCAATACAATAGACAATGTTTGTTAGAAAAAGTATCTCATTATTTAAGATTTTGTAATCGTAAAGAAGAGGAATAGGGTAATCATCATCATCATTAAGTAAATGAATAAGATTCAGAATAACATTAAGAAGAAAATGAAAATTAAGATTAAGACTAAGAATAGAATTAAGAAAAAGATTAATATTCTTTAACTGTTGGTTAATAATAGCTTATAAAATATGCATTTACCTCTCTTATTAATAATGAAAAAGAAAAGTATGTAAAATAAGCAGTTGAGTAATATAAAAAATAATTGATTGAGAATCCTAATTTAATATAAGTTCCTATAGATTCAGAAGAAGAGGAAGATTTAGAATTAGAATTAAATGAGCAATCGGGATCTTAAGAAGAAGAAGATTAAGATGATCAATCATAAGAAAGACAATAATAGTAGAATCAAAATTAATAATTACCTTAACCTAAAGATATGAATGAGGCATTAAAAGAATATGAATAAAAGATTGTACGTAAATTACTAAGCAAAACTGAAAGCAGCAGTATTAATATTAATCAATTGATGGATCTTAAAAAATATGTTGATTGCAATTTACCCTTATGGTATATGGTTCTAATGGTTGATAAATATTTTAAATTAAACAATACATTAATTGATACCATTAGATATAATGATCTTTGTAATTATTCTGGATTCAATTAATATGCTCTTGAAACTGGAGATATGTATCCTCAATAAAATGAAGTTATGACACTTACATAATTTAAAGAATATCTTATGAGTTTCTTTTCTGAGTAGGAGGCTGAAGATATTGTAACTGAATATAGCTTTTAACAACAAATGGTCAATTTTGAATAATTTTACTAATTCATTGAAAATAACATTGCTTTGTTTCCAAAATGAATTATAACATATGATACATTATAATTATTAACAATATTTGATCATTATTTAAATTATTATTGCATTCATGACAACCAATACTTATTAAATGTTCATTTATGATGATCAATTAAAGTAATTTTGTTCTTCTATATCCAGAAATCCTATTTAAGATGAGTCTTCACTTGAATATCTCATGACTCTTTGTATTCAACAATCCACTTAAAATCAAATACATAAATAAACATTTCAAAAACATAATTTTACTAAAGATGAAGACAAAGAAATCCTTAAATTAGTATCATTATATGGACCTAATTTTAATAAGATTGTTAAGTATTTCCCTGGAAAAACTATGAATATGATCAAGAATCGTTATTACAAGAAACTTCGTTATCTAAAGAATGAATTAGATATCAATAATCAATATTAATCCATACATAACAATTCAAAAAATAAAAAAATACATTGAATTTTTACTTTTTATATTTATATTTATATTATATATATTTATATNCTCTTATTAATAATGAAAAAGAAAAGTATGTAAAATAAGCAGTTGAGTAATATAAAAAATAATTGATTGAGAATCCTAATTTAATATAAGTTCCTATAGATTCAGAAGAAGAGGAAGATTTAGAATTAGAATTAAATGAGCAATCGGGATCTTAAGAAGAAGAAGATTAAGATGATCAATCATAAGAAAGACAATAATAGTAGAATCAAAATTAATAATTACCTTAACCTAAAGATATGAATGAGGCATTAAAAGAATATGAATAAAAGATTGTACGTAAATTACTAAGCAAAACTGAAAGCAGCAGTATTAATATTAATCAATTGATGGATCTTAAAAAATATGTTGATTGCAATTTACCCTTATGGTATATGGTTCTAATGGTTGATAAATATTTTAAATTAAACAATACATTAATTGATACCATTAGATATAATGATCTTTGTAATTATTCTGGATTCAATTAATATGCTCTTGAAACTGGAGATATGTATCCTCAATAAAATGAAGTTATGACACTTACATAATTTAAAGAATATCTTATGAGTTTCTTTTCTGAGTAGGAGGCTGAAGATATTGTAACTGAATATAGCTTTTAACAACAAATGGTCAATTTTGAATAATTTTACTAATTCATTGAAAATAACATTGCTTTGTTTCCAAAATGAATTATAACATATGATACATTATAATTATTAACAATATTTGATCATTATTTAAATTATTATTGCATTCATGACAACCAATACTTATTAAATGTTCATTTATGATGATCAATTAAAGTAATTTTGTTCTTCTATATCCAGAAATCCTATTTAAGATGAGTCTTCACTTGAATATCTCATGACTCTTTGTATTCAACAATCCACTTAAAATCAAATACATAAATAAACATTTCAAAAACATAATTTTACTAAAGATGAAGACAAAGAAATCCTTAAATTAGTATCATTATATGGACCTAATTTTAATAAGATTGTTAAGTATTTCCCTGGAAAAACTATGAATATGATCAAGAATCGTTATTACAAGAAACTTCGTTATCTAAAGAATGAATTAGATATCAATAATCAATATTAATCCATACATAACAATTCAAAAAATAAAAAAATACATTGAATTTTTACTTTTTATATTTATATTTATATTATATATATTTATATATTTATATTTAATTTGTTGTAAATTTTAACTATGCCTAAAAACACAATTAAAAAGGCTGTCAAAAAAATAAAAAAACCCAAAATAGCTAATCCTAAGTAAACCAAAAAATAAAAAATTGATGATGATGAATCAATCGATTCAGAATACTTGGATGAATTAGAAAATTAAAAACCATAAAATATCTCAGATAAAAGTGATAGCGAGATTGATGAGACTGAAGATAACAGAAGACTTAGATTAGCTAAATAAATTTTATAACAAACTAAATAAGAATTGTAATCCAAAAATGATGATTTTTTTCAAGATCATCATGACATTCATATGAATGATGAAGATAAAAGATTAAACGTAGCTCTCCTTGAAAAAGTACTTAATAATTGTAATGTTAGTTTGCTGAAAAACATACGATATACTAATCATAAATCCAGAAATTTGATCGAGAATTCAATAGAGAAATCTATAAAGGTCATTTACGAGCTATTACATGTACTTAAGTGGATGAATTTGGCAAACATATGTATTCCAGTTCTAAAGATTCAAGTATCATTAAATGTAATAAAATTGATGTTAAATTTTAGGGGATTTAGAAACAAAAAAGAAAGAATTCATTTAGAGAGAAGTAGGCAAACATGGAGATGGACATTATGATGAAGTTTTATCTATATCATTAAATTTTGATGGCAAAATTTTAGCTAGTGCTGGTAAAGATCATTCAATTAAATTATGGGATACAACATCAAATAAACTGATTGAAACACTCAAACATCATAAAGCCCCAATTTATGGAGTTAAATTTGGATATAATTCAAATAATTTATGTAGTATCTCTTGTGATAGAACTTTCATATAATGGGATGCTGCATAAAGAGCTTATATTGATACATTGTAATATTTACAAGTAATTAATAAGTTTTGGACATAGTACAGAAGCAAATGACATCGATTGCTTTAATGCTGATGATTTCTTAAGTTGTGGATATGATAGATAAATGATATAATGGAAAACTAAATCAGGAGGATAACTTTTATATAGTGGACATGAATAATCTATTGATTGCATTAGAGCTATCACTCTTGAGACTTTTGCAACTGGTTCTATTGACTCTAACATTAATTTATGGAATGTAAAAAAAAGAAAACCTTTATTTGAATTATAAAAACCTCATGGTGATAAATGGATTACTGCTTTGGTAAAAATTTGTTTTTAATTTTTAGGGAACCATTTATAATAGTGATCTTTTAATTTCAGGATCAATTGATGACAATCTTAATATTTATAACGTTACAAACAAATAAATCACTAAAGTTAGATCACTTTAAAGTGTAAGATTTTAAATTATATTAATTTAGTTTGGTATCATTAATCATATTAATATATTTGATAATAAAATCCTTACTGTTGAGAGTCAAGAGCATCGTCTAGGAAGATGGATTACTTCAACCAAAAGCAAAAATTTAATTGTGTTATATTTATGATTTATTTTTTATATCTATAAGTTTTAAATATGATTTTATTATAAAACTGGTTGGGTTGTGTATAGTATCATAAATAATTTATTGTATGGATTATTCTAATATTATATTTGCGTTCATTATTTTAGAATTAATATTTAAAATATCCCAAAAAAGGAATTTAATTTTATTTAGAAATCTAATCGATGACTGAAAATACAACTAAACGAATTTACATTTACTAAAGTTTCTTCTTAAAAATAACCCAGTTTATAATATTTATGTTTTTAGAAAATGCAAGAATAATTTAAACAAATTATGCTGTTACATGCTTTTTTTTATAAACTTTGAATTGGCCAAAAATATCATCCTTAAATAGAGAAAATAGTTAATACAAAAAATATTACATTTCTTTCAAAAATAAAAGATATGCTTTAGAGAACTAATTTTATAAAAATATTTTTAAATATTACTCTAAAATAATCGTATATAAACCAATCTAAATGATTTAAAATTTATTTTATTTTTTCTCTTATTTTAAGAAATTAGTTTAAAAAATATATTCTTTTTTTTTTTTGAATAGAACAAATTTGGTGAGCTCCTCTTTGTTTTTATCAATAAATTTTTTCAGAAAAAGATTGAAACATCAAAATATTTAGAATATGTATGATTAAAATAATGTAAATTTTTATAAAAAAAATTTATCATTGAATAAAAGAAAAAAAGATATATATACAGATTAGACTATTAAATTAGTAAGATTTTAGAGTGATATAATAAAATGATAATAAAATAATAACACCATATTACTGATTAATTTTGAATTATTCACTCTTAATATTAGTTAGACAGGATTTCTAGTTTGTTTTTAATTTCTGAAAATTATGGAGGTCTGAAAACTAATTCATTATCTTTGTATTCTACATATGAAGTTAATAATTTGATGGCTATATCTTTGTTTTTCATGAATAGTTCTTAATACTAATAAATATAAGATTTGAATGTATTACTTATTATTTAGGAATTTCAATCATTCTTTTTTCGAAATCTTCTAGATTCCAACAAATGAACAAAAGCCTTTTAGATTTATATTCACCAGATAATACTATAAATTATTAATCACTACAAAGATTATCAATGTAGAGAGAAGCAGAATTAGATAGTTATCCATATTAATCTTTCCATGATTTTACAGTTTATTTGTAATCTCTAAAATTGATTAATCTTTTTCTATTTCTGAATTGATGTTATATAGGTCTAATTCCTTTTTCAAGAAATAGAATACAATTTTAATAATGATGTCTTTGAATATCTTTTTTATCAATAGCTAGAAATATAAATTTATCTTTAACAATTAAAGTACGTTTGCTCAATTCATTAGCAATAACTTTTCTATCTTTTTGATGAGTAAGTTGTTATGCATCTTCACTGGATAATTCCCATTCAATATTAAAAGGAATTTCATTGTCTTTATCTTTTTTATCAAGAGACATGGCAGCAACTTAAAATAAGGATTCAAAATGATTTTCCACAGCATCAGCAGGATCTTCTTATATTTTTGTAACTCTTTTTTCAAGTACACTAATTTTCATCAAGAATTTCTACTTACCAAAATAAACTATTTTTTTTGCCAAAATCATTTAACTTTCAGGTTTGAATTTACTAGGAATATGATCTTAAATTTCAATCTTTCCATTCTCCACTTAAATCAAGGATGGATTAATCTTCTATACATTTATTAGAACATTTCCTTATTTATCAACTTTAACAGAATCAATAATTGAATCACTAATAGTTTTCATTGCCTTCTTATCATCTTGATGTAAAAATGGATAAAGTTTCTTAAAATCACTTAATTCAACTGAGATTTGAACAGTATTCTTTGAGTCTTAAGCAATAGATTTCTATTTGACTTAACCTGTATATACAACATTGTAAATAGTTTCAGGGTAAATTTCTGATTGATTTTGTTAATAATGATTTACGATTTCATTTTAATCTGCCTTTTAGATTTCTAATCTTAATCCAGGACTTTTAGAATCAGCAACTTCTTTTGGTTATTCTATTTCTTGAACAGTTTTAAATTAATTGTTTTCAAATTGAAGTAAACCATCTTTAATATAAACTTAATTGATTATATATTCAGCTATTTTATTAGATCCAATATTAAGCATTTCAGTAGAATCTAAAATATGGATACCTCTGTATCGAGTACTTCTATCTTTATAGTGAATTAAATCAACAGTTATTTAGGTTTCATATCCTTATAGAATTTTGTACATATTAACAATATAATATTAATTTTGAATTATTTTAAAACTTCGATTAAATTATTTACCAATCTATCTTACAAGTGATTTGTCTGTACATTAAACTTTAAGATTATAAATTTACATATCTTTTCTAGTTTTGTAATGTACTTATAATTTGGTGATTGCTTAAATCATGCTATAAAATTAGGTATCATTTTTTATTTTTTTAAGTGGTTCTTTCATTTCTGTAACTTTGAATTCATTTTCAAAAGATATTTCAAAAGGATTTTCTACTCTAATTATACGAATGATATATTCAATAAGAGGTTTATATGTTTATTCATAATATTAAGGTAAATGAACACCTTTATTTTCGATCCATTTATCTTTAACATTTTCAAATTCTTTTTGATCAAGTTTTTGATCTAATAGATTTAAAAAATATATTTTTTTAACTTTTTTATCTACCATATTTCCATTGCCATCAATTTCATTTAATTATTGAAAAACAATTTTAATTGAATATTGAGTTAAAAAGAACATAATATTGATGTACTTACTATCTTTTTATATATAACGATTCATTAAAAAGATATTTTTCAATTTTCTTTTTCTGAATTATAAGTAATACTCAAATTGTGATTTAATTTTTAAAGCTCTTTATATTCTTAAAGCAAAAGAATTTTTAAATATTTAACTTAATAAAGGTTTGATTGCCAAAAAGTTAGTGGTGTGATTTTCATAAGTAATAATATTTTCATCTAAATAATTCATTAATGGAGTTAATAATTTTCCAATTTTTTAAGGAGGACTATTTTTAATAACTTTCATAAGTCTATTATTTTCAAAATCTCTAGCTGGAATGATATGAGTTTTAAACATTTCTGGTGAATCATCAAAATAGACTGTAAATATTAATTATTAATCACTAAGATTAATGATATATTCATGAACTCTATCAAGACATTTCTTTGATCTAATAACAACTGCTTAATATTTATTTTCAATTAAATTTTCATACATAGATTTACTTTTATTTAGATTTATAAAAACATCAATTAAATTATATATTTCTCCTTCAACATTTTCCATATTAGGTTTACGATTTTGTTTAGCTTTCCAAATTTCTTACTCAATCAATAATTATTCCTATGCTCTAAAATCACTTACAAAACTGAATATTCCATCATCGATTTATAAGTATTTAACAACACTTTGACTCAAATTCTATTTAAGGAATTCCATTTCCACTTCTCCATTTAATACACTAAGAATATCTATATTACATCTTAAACTAATATTCATTTCAGTTTTTCCTTCGACTTCTAATTGTTTAGTTTATTTATTAAAAATAATTCTAACAAGTATTCTTTATGAAGTAATAACACAGTATTCCTAAAATATTTAAATACGCGATTCCTTCTCTTTTTAAATTCTTCTGTTTTCTTCATCTTTCTATTATTACTCTTTCTACTTACGTTCTAATTCCTCTTAAGCCTTTCTTTATTCTCTCTAATCATATTCATCTTTCCTTATTTATAAAAAATCTAAATTATATTATCCATCATCTAGATTCCCATATCCATACTAACTTTCATATTTGAATTCACGAACATAATTAGAAATTGATTCTTGATCATAACATTTTACATCAATTTTATCCATTTAACATTTAAAATAATTACGTCTCCAATCAGCATAATTAGATCTAATAAACAAAACTGCCATATGTTAATTCGTCTTCTTCTTATTTTTTATCTACTTTTATTTTACTCTATCTAAAATATTAATATCCATTTCTATGTTCTAATCTTGAATCCATGATTTTCTCATATGTGTATTCCATAATTTTCTTGCTTATAATGTATCATCCTTTTTTTCTAAAGATTTCTTTTAATCATAATCTTATTCATTTAATAACATTCCCTATACTTCCATAAGATTTCTAACATCAAACCTTAAAGATCCTTTTATTTACATTACTTTTCCAATCATCATCATTCTCTATCCTATCATTGTCAATTCTCCAATTGACATCTCACTATATAATGGTTACTTATATGGATGAATATAATCAGAAGGAAACTTATGTTCCAAAGATCTTACATCTATACTTATTGATTATTCATTTGTCACTGTATCTTCTATTAATGAAAAATTCATAAAAAATGCCCTAGCAGGCTATTCACCTGAAACTATTACTTTCTTTACTAGACTTGTACATTTTACTTCATTTTTATAAAATTAAAATTGTCTTGTATTCTTTTTTATTATATACTCTTTTTAACATAAATGTTATCTCATTGATTTTTGAATCAATCTTACACAACTCTCTATTTATGAAAATGAAAATTGCTTTTTTTTTTATGTTGCTTCCAATTCTTTATGAATCCAATATTATCCTTCTTCTGTATAAATTATATTATTTCCAGATATTTAATAAATATCAAAAAAATTCTCTCTACATGGAAATCCTAATTACTTTGTTATCAATTAACTAATTTTCAATTTATTTGTTATTTGCCACTTACGATCATAAATCACCTTTGCAAAAATTTCATCTTAATCATTTATAAATACTTGACTATATCCTAATTTAAAACTCAATCCAAATTATGCTTTAATATGTCTTCTCCTATTCACTTTAAATCTCATTGTATTTATTGCATTTCTTGCTTTAAATTGACTTTATAAAAATACAATAAGTTCTAAATGATGACCAATTTTATGCATCACTTCCAATTTCAATTTCTATTACTCTTAAATTACTTGATACATATCACTATATTAAAAATCTGTAAAACCAGCTACTTATAAATTTGATTAATCGTCCATATAAACTAAATCTTCAAATTGTATTCTTGCTAAATATTTTATTACATGAATTTTATCAAGTTTCAAATTGTAAGAATGCTCAACAATTTAAATAAATGATTAACTTATTTGACAACAATATTAAATGGCTTAAAGATGAATTTAATTTGGTTCTATTTCTGCTTATAATGCATCTTAATATTCTATTATTCTAGCAAAAATATAAAAGAAATCCTTTTCATTTATTTCAATAATGAAAGGTTTTAAAAGTGCTCTATCACATTTTTTTTTAGCATAAGCTTATAATTTAAATTTAAATTTTTATTCATTCCAAGTTAACTAAAAAATAAATAATTTATTTTAGATTTTATCAGATACATTTTTAACATGAAATGTTATTAATTTCTTTCTGATTAAATTATCTGTTTATGCTGATTGTTTAACAAATCTGTTTACTGCTATACATTTTCTTATATGTCTCTATATAAGAATTGCACTAAAATATTATTTTTTAGGAAAGATTGTTCTTCTTTTAACATCCAATAATTAATAAGCAATATCTCTAAACTTTCTTTATATTCTTAACTTCCTAAACCAAAGTTAAATCTTTTTAATAAGTTCTTCATATCTTTCTTAAAGTTTTCTTCTCTTTTCTTCTCTCTTCAATATTTCTAATTTTTTTTAGGCAGCTTTTCTTCTCCAATGATTTTATAATTTTACAATAGCTTAAATTGGATAAACAATTTAATCCTTAGTTTTTTTGATTTCAATAACTCTTGGTTCAAATTTCAACTATAATTCACTAATTAAAAATTTGATTCTAAGTTCTTTAGCTTTTTTTTCTTCAATTAATATAATTTAAGTTGGTTAAATTACTTAATTATCATGATTTTCCTCTTCAGAACTACTCCATTCAAATTTTTCATTTTTTTATTCTTATTTTTATTCTGTTTTATCATCAATCATAGATTTTTCTTCTTTATCATCTTTGGTTTCATTAAATTTATTTTTTTTAATAACAAAAGTTTTCTTTTTATTTTATTGTGTTTACGGCAATGATATTAATTCATTTTTATTTTATTATGGATGTGGCAATTATATTAAATTACTTTTATTTTATTGTATTTATGGTGATGATATTTATTAATTTTTGTTCAATTATGCTTATGGAATTGATGATTTATAAAATAATTATTGTTCATCAACAGCATCACTTAATTATTTAATAGAATGATTGGAAGGATTTCCTCTAAAATAGAAAGTTTTAAGTTTAGGTTCACTTTTAACAATTTATAATTATTTAGGAGATGTAAGTACAATTTTCCTTGGAGTTTTTTCTGTAACTTACACGGTTTCTTATCCAGCTTTTTTATATGCCATAACTTAATAGCGTTATACTTCTTTGCTATTATTAAGGTTTTTGTATACATAAGTAAAGTATGTTTAGTAATGTCTTCAGCCCATTAGAGGATTAAGATTGGAAGTTCAGATTTTCCTGAACTTTCCTGTAATCTTAAAGCAAAATTACAAATCTTATCAATGATACCTTTAAAATCAAAGAGAGGACTATCGTAACTGTGTTAGACCTTCATACGTTCGATATCTAAATATTGAAAATCAAATGATTAAACATTCTTTAAATTTTTATAAGGCTGGAATAACTTAAAGACTTGTCAATAATCGATTGGCTTCATCATATAATTTTTGATTGAGTAGTTCATTTTTTTTAAGAGTTGTGGCACTTGAAACTCTTAATAATCTATTCATATTTTATAAAATATATATATATATATAATCATTAAAATGGCATTTGATAGTTTGCATTGTAAGGTGTATTAGGATTATTTGGAGGTACTTATTATTATTATTATTAGAAAGGCATTTAACCAAAAGGATCTACTGTTTATGATTAACCAAATGGAGCAGAACCTTAGGATTATTGAAAAGCACCTTAAGTTTATTATTATTAACCAAAAGGTAAATATTATTATTCTTAATTAAAAGGTAATTATTATTATTAATTGAAAGGTTATTATTATGGTTAACCAAAAGGTGCTGATGATCCAAAAGGTAAAGTTTATGTATTAGTTTTTGATTAATTAGGAGGTTATTACTAATTAAAAATAGATTAGGATTGAAAAGGAAGTTATGATGATTATTGAGCAAATTATGGTTAAAATAATCCTTAAGCTTAAATAGATTATTAGAATCTACTAAGTGTTTATTTAGCTTAGATATTAAAAACAATATCTTCTTGTTCTCTATGTTTGATTTTAATTTCATCTTATAATTTTTTAGCTTCAATAAAATTAAGTTCACCTTCTCTTTCCCAAACATATACTAATATAGGATGTTCATCTCCAAAACCAGCAATAGCTATCATATGATATCCATGATTCCAAGTAACATCTGCAACTGGACCAATTACATTAAATTAAAATAAATCAGTAGGTAATGTTTATGTTAGATTACTCCAAAGATGTGGTTTACCATCTTCACTACCTGATAAAACGTAATCTCCTCTTGGACTAGGAACACTTCTACATGCTATTTTTACTGATTGAGATCCAAAAAAACGATTATTTACTGAACCATATATTACATCATGATCATGAAATTTACTATCTCCTGATTTAAAATCAACTATACGAATACAATTATCTCTAGTATGAATCAATAAATCTTAACATTCAGGAGGCATCAATTAAATTTAATTTATTGCATTACCACTAATTTCTTATATTGCTATCAAACTCAATCTCCTAGCTATATAACTACCTCCAGATAAATTTATATCAAAAAAATGAATATTTCCTAATGAATCTCCTACATATAAACATTTTGCACCATCATACACTATACAATTTGGATGTCTGTGATTCCCTAAATTATCAAATTAATCAAATGATATTCCATCATATGAAATTATCTCTTGTTAAATTGGTTCATCCATTATTTATAATGATTAATTTGATTCAAATTACCATATACGCATTCTACTATCAAAACAACAACTTGCTACTACAGGAACCTTACTATCCATCAAAAATAAACCAGCATAAACAAAAGATGGATGTTATAAAGTGCATATTAATAATAAATCCGATTCTTCTTCACTCACTATATCACCTGAATGTTAAGGTACACTCCAAACTTTTGCTGTATAATCACTGGATACTGTTATTAAATATTGAGAATTCTATGAAAATTATAAATCATGTATAATATTCCTATGACCTTTATAGGTTGCAAAATGTTATCCTGTTTCTACATCAAATAATTTTATTATTGTTTTTGAATTTTTATAAGTACAAGCACAAGCCAAATAATTACCATATTTATTGAATGTTAATCTATAACATCCCAAAGGAGCACTTGCAAATTTATAAGCAATTTTATCTGGTATATGATCTTCTTTATCTCCTAAATAACGACGTCTTCTTAAATTAATTTTTTCTTGATCTGTAATTTCTTCTACTCTCTATTCTATAATTTTTTCTATAACAACAGAATGTTTGACCTTATCTTTAGCTTCTTCATCACCTTTTTCAATTTCAAAGACACTTGTACTTTAACTCTTACCATAAATTTCAATAAATTATGGTTTAGGTTAAGTTCCTAAATAAACATTCAAAACTGCATCATACTCTACTTTATCAAGCCAAAGGAAATCAAAATATACTAAAGGTATTGATTCTCTTCTACTGACTGATTTCAATTAATTTGTATCAAACAAATACTTATATAATTAAATTTTGCTTATTCCTAAATGTAATTTACATAATCCATTAGGTCTAGCATAACCCCATGCAATACGATAGAAATTATCTGAATCCAAAAATGCACTATTATGTTACTACAAATAAATAGGATGAAAATCAAGAAGTTCAAATAAAATAATAGTATCTGATTTATAGAATTCATCTGCAGGGATATTAATCAGTATTTCCTCATTCCATTATGCTCTACTATTAGTTGCCATACGCATATCGCAGAAATTAGTTGAAAATGCAGTTAATAACTCTAATTCACATGTTACTCTCTCTCTCTCTCCATCCACTATATTTGTTATACAATTGCTTTCATAATTATAAATGGCATTAGTAAACTCTCTTGGTTAATTATCTTCATTTTTTGGTTTATATAAATAACATCCATTCTTTATATTTATTACATGCATCCTAACAAATGGATGTTAAATATTTGTATCCATCTACAATTAAGATGTACCAATTATTTTCACTACTACTGTCTATATTATTAATCTAATACAATACTCTATCAGGTACAATCTACGCTTTATCTTTTTCACTCAAAGAAAATGGATTTACTATTTATTCCCATTCTAATTTGTTTAAACGATCTACAAATGTAAGTCTCGGTGGATCACAATGTAATAATCTATTTATTCTTGCTCCTATTCGGTCTCCCAAAGAGAAACAATTATAAATTATATCATCATTCATGAAATTTGTATATGTCATTCCACTGTCATGATTTGGTGCAGGTTACAATTTCTTAACTCTTCAATACTTAAACAATTACTTCCTCCTCATTTTCATCTTCTATTTCTTATTGCTCCATATTTGAATTTACAAAATCAACTTTCTTCTCTGCTGGTTATGATAGTTATTAATATCCACCAAATGGCATTTCCCCTTCTCCTACTCTCTTTTATTGTAATGCTGAAATAATAATACACAATATCTACGTGGCAATTATCTAGGAATATTTGAACGCGACATTTTTATTAATATAAATTTTATTTATTTTATATACTCCCATATTTATATTCAAATTTATTACTCTCCTTCTTTATTTCATTTTATCTACCTTATTTTCTAATACTAATTCACATTTTCAATATCATATCAGATCAAATTATCTTCTAATTCAAACTAACCATAAACAGTTATTGACAATATCAATATTCTTTTAAGAAAATTAATTAAAATATTTTTTTTATTATGCCTTTTCTCAAATGATTAGAATTTCAAATTGCTTTTATATTCTTACTTTTATAATAAAATCAAATTAGATATAAAAATAAAATATATTTTAAAAAAAAAATTAGTTTATTTTCTAGTTTTAGGCTTTGCTGATTTCAAATTTAAATTTAAATAGTTTTCTTAAATTAATTAAAATATATATTTTATTTAGAATAAAAACTTTTTCTATATATCGATAAAATTTTCAATCTTAAAATTAAATTAACTAATATAAATTCTCATCATTAAATTTTTTTTTATCATTATTTTGCTTTATATCAGTTTGATTTTATTCTATATTATCATTGTTTTTTTCTTAAATATCTTTCTAGTTTTTATTTTTATCGTTTTTTTCTAAAATTTAGGATTTTTAAATGTTAGATTATTGTTAATCAACATTATTTTATTTTATTTAATCCAAATTTTTCTAATCGATTTGTTTTTAATTACCATTGTTTTGATATAAATTTAGTTAAGTTGTTAAGTACTTTTTTTCAAATTCTTGCTTATTTATTTAAAATTTTGAATTTAATTAGTAAATTTCCAAATTTGATTGATTTTTATTAAATTTTAAAAATATTTAACCATCTGGAGATATTGCTCCCATTTCTCCATCTTTTTCATTTTCTTTATAAAATCGACCATTTTTTCTTAATTTTAGAAACACAATTTTTTTGTTATGTTTTATAACAAGTAATTTTTATGATTAAATAAATACAATAGGAAAGTTGAATGATTAATCGTAATTTAAATCCTCAAATTAAAATTTTTTAATTTAACTTTTCTGGTATTAATTTTCTTTAGAAATCTTATCATAAAAAGTTAATTCTTTGGTCAAATTCTCTTAAATAACTATTTCATTTTCACTGATGATACAACATCTATAAACAGAATGCTACAGTTTTATTTTATTAATGATTAGCCAAGAGTCATTTGGTTTTTACCATATAAGAACTTGTTTATCAAAACTACATGAAAGGAATTATTTTAGATTTTCAATAAAAAAATAACTTAATTAATAAACTGTATTATTATGAGCAAGATCTAATGAATATTCTTGTAGATGATCTTTAATATTAATTTTTTTAATTTAGTTTTGAGTATTATTATTTATTGATATCTAAGTAATTTGATTATATGGTATAAGAAAAATATAATTACCTGAGGCTGATATTAAATCTTCATTATTAGGAGTAGAGATGATGCTATTAATGGAATCTTAATGAATTACTTGAACAATTAAATCATACATATTTTTAATATTTGATTCTTTATATATGTTCATCTTTTTATCATAAGTACCTCCTCCTGAGATTAAATAATTTTTATCGTCACTAAAAATAGTACATGCAATATTGTGTTTATGATGTTTTAAGGTTTATTTTAAATTAAAATCTTTCTTATTTGATTAATATTCATAGGTTTAGAGTGAGTTTTCTAGAGCTAAGGCTACAAGATATTCATCATTATTTTATTTGATAGCAATAGCATTACAAACTTTGGAAGCAGAAATATTAAAATTATATAAATGTTCATAATTTGCCAAATCATTTTAAAGTTACTCAAAACATTTTTTTATCATTTGACAATAGTGATTCTATAAGTTAATTAGTATTTATATGACTTTTACAAATTAAAAATACTTAGATTTTAAATTATATTGTTCTCTTGGGGAATATATAAAATTAGAAATTTTTTCTAAATCAGTAAGTGATATTTATTACGGATCATAATTAATAATGAGTTTGTAATATTCATGAATATCATTTTAAATTTTAGAGAGCTCTTAATGAATGATTTTGATAGTAGAATTTATTTCAAGTACAAAATTATCTAATAGTTTATGTAAAGGATTAGAAAATGATTCAAATTCTTTAAGAATGTTTTGTTTTTCATTTTGTATTAGTTTTTATTCCTCTAGAATGATTTAATTAAATTTTTAGATATTATCACAAGGACAACCTTGATTAATTTTTTCGCAATTCTAGCAAATAAGTCTAGAATTTAGTTTTTCTTTAGTAGATTGAACAAATATGATTGGAAAGTCATGAATTGGACAATTGAGTTAAATCATAATGAGATAATAAAAATAATTAATGTAAATTAATGTAAATTAATTGAATATCAAATTAATCTACCAGCATTAATTCCACCTTCAATACCAACATGGTTTGATCCTCTAAGTATTTTAAATAATCCATTTTCTCCCCATCCTTCATTCCATGAATTAACAACCAACCAATATGGTACATTATTTTCAATACCCCATCCAATAATTTTAACAGCATGTCCTCCAAGACTAGCTCCAGTAACATGTTAATAAACACCAGATTTATAAGTTAAGAAATCTTCATATACTGTAAATGATGCCTATAATTATAATATGATAAATATATTACTTCAACAGGACCATATGTCATAATTTCATTCTAAATTTATTCAACTTTAGATGATACTGAATATGAATCAACTGATCTTATTTTATCTGAATCATAATTTCTTCCTGATTAAGTTGTGCATGATTTAATACATGCAGGTGTTGGTTATGAATCACCACATGGACCATATTTTCCATCATCAACATGATGATCACATGGTGGAAATGTATATGGTCTACACCATTAATTATCATTATATAGATCACCTGTTACTAATCCTTTATTTTTAAAATAATTCCATGCTCCACTTGGAAATCCACCATTACATCCCATACCACATGTTATTCCACAACATGTTAGTAAATCTTCTGTTGATATTCTTGTCTATTTCCCTGTTGCTATACATAATCTATCACTCATTGCTTCTGCTGCTCCAAATGCCCAACATGAACCACATGTAGATTAATCTCTAACCTCTTTTATTGATTCACAATTTGGCCATTATTCTCTAGAATCAAAATTCTCTGGGATCTCCAAATTTTGTAATTCCTCTTCCTACTTTTATTATAATTTCATAAATTCAGGTTCATCTAAAAATGTTCCCATCTAAGTCTTTAATGTTGCTTCATTAAATTATTCCCATCTCTCATTATGTCCAGAAATCCATGTTGATTGTTGAGAATTGATAAAATCATAAAAACTTTAAGATTAGAATCTCAAACCCAACGCTGACGTAATTAATGTAATAATAAACATTTCCTTTATTAATATTATTATTTATTTATTTTTTATTAATATTCACTTTAATTTACATTAAATCACCTTTATATATATATATAATTTAATTAACCCACTTATCCCCATCATATCGTTACTTAATTTACATTCCTTCATTCTATTAACATTTTACATTTCTAAGCAAATCTACCTCAAATTTCTTATCTAATAATAATTACATATTACAAAGGATAATATTTTATTTAAATTCTTTTAACATTCTAAAAAATTATTAATTATTGTAGTATTTATAAATTATATACATTAATCCTGTAGAAAAAATTCATCGCATTATTCTATATATTATATAATTTGATATATAAATTAATCTAAAAATATAAATTTTGAGATCTATAGAATGTATAGAGGTTCATAATTTATTGAATTACCTTTTGGATATTTTTCAAAAAATAATGAATAAATTTCATAGTAAATTGAAAAAAAGTAAATAATTCTTAAAGTCCCACTAAGAGAAATAAGAGAATATTCATTATTTGATAAAATGTTAAATGAATAGAGAATATATTATATTAAAATAAATCCCATTCCTCATGGTTTTGATAGATTGATTTTATAGACTCATTTAAGATTTTATTGTTAAAGTGACACTTATTTAAAAAATGATTCTGTTGAATAAATTAAAGGAAAGTGTTATAAAATTAAGTATGATGAGAATAGCAATCCTGAATTTAAAATTTAGGAAGGTGTGTTTAATATCAATTCGAAAAAAGAAGAGTATCATCTATAGATAAGTATGGATTATTTAATAGATGATCATAGTCATAATTAATTGGAAAGTATTAAGAAGTAATAGAGTCTACCTTAGAATTTAGAAGATACAAGGAAGATTAAATAAGAAAACATAGATTAGAAGAGAGATAAGATTATTATAATGAATGAAAAGAATGAGATATTAAGAAGTAAATCAAATGAAGATGATGGTAGTTTTAAATAAATTTATCAAAAAATTTGGGTAGTTTATAATCAATCGATAAGCGACAGAGATGAAAGTATAATAAAAAGTGATTCAACTTAATGGGTAACTTCAAGTTTGATTGATTCTTTAGTGGAATATCTAAACAAAAAGAGTGAGTAGAAAATTAATGAATAAAAGTTGGAAGATAGGATTAAGATTAATAGGATATTATTTGTTCCAAGTTATGTTACAACTTCATTTGGAGTATGTGATGATATAATAATTTTTACGAAAAAAGCTGAAGAATTATTAAAACAGGAGTTTCGTTTTTATAAAGAACTTAATTATGATATGAAATAAGTTTATGGAAAGATTGGTTTTCCTGTCAATATTAATAATATGCATTGGGTTTTTCTTTTGTTTGATTTAAAAAATGAAATAATAACTTTGTATGATTCATTAAGAACTAAATAAAATAAGATAAATCCAAGTCCTTTTATTAAAGCTATTGCTAAATTTCTTAATTAGAAATTTAGAAAATGCTATGTTGATAATTATGAAAAGTAAAAAGATATATATTCGTGTGGATACTATGTTTCTTCATTTATGAAATTTGAGTATAAATTGTAATTTAATAAACAGGAATTGTATAAATTTACTTAAAAAGAAATGAAAAGAAAATTAAGGAAGATAGTATCTATTAAATGAATGTATTATATATTATATTTAAATTAATTACTTGATCTTGGGTATGTTAGAAAATGTACAAGAAGTAACAACATTTGTTTTAAAATGATTGCACTTTATAAATGATTTAATAAAATTAAAGTTTTGGTCATTTACAAAATTTATTTAATGGGAATAACTTGTAGTAAAGCTAAAAAAGGATAAGAAGCGTTAATATAAAATTAGATTAAAATGGCAGTTTAAGAGGATGAGATTCTAAATTAGGTAGAATACAATAAAGGAATAAATGAGGATCAAGAAGACTTTAACAAGGAGCAAAGCTAAAAACCTGAGCTACTAATTTTAAATACTAGTTAAAAAAAAGTTATAAGTCGATCTGATGAGGAGGAGACTGAGAAATAAAAAAAAAAAACAACTAAGAAAAAACCGGCTTAAAAAAGAGATGATAATTATTTGAAAATAATGGAGTATTCAGATGTAAAAATAAAATCATACATCTTATAATCGAAAGAAGAAGACATAACTACAAATTATGAGTTATCTATAGCATTTGCTTATTAAGATTACCAGTATAGTATTAACTGTAAAGCAGTTATACTATGTGAGCCATAAAAGCCTTTCATACTGAGTCCAATTAAAGTAGAAGATGCTATCAACAATAGTTAATTTGCATCATTTTTTGTTTTGGATACATATTTTAATGTGGAAACATCTTTAAACTCGAATTTATAATCTTTTAATCAATTGTTAGAAGTAAAAAGGAATTTTTAATAAGACAAACATGATGGAGAGAGTCCATTAGTATTTACGAAGAGATAAAGTAAGTTAGTGAATACATAGCTTATAAATTAATCTCCATAGAAAGGTAAGAGGAAGAAGAAGAGAGAAGCAGCTGAAATGATGGAATTGATGCATGTATTTGATTTTGAATGTTCTCCTCGTTTAAATTAATTGTTAATATCTTTAATGATTCAATAATACAGTCATAGAATCACAAAATATTTAATTACAATTGATGATGTTTATTTTTTATTTAATGAAAAACCATCTTTAGATAAGTAAGAAGTTCATAGAGTATTAATATTTTATGAACATTTTGATTATAGTTTATAGGAATTGAGTGAATATCTTAATAGTAATAAAATGTAATTGTCTCATATTTGTCATCTTTAACTTTCATTAAACTTAATATAGATATTATACAATTGTTATCATACATATCTTTATAGATTGAATGTAACATTAAATACAGTATTTTGGGTTAGTAAGGTGAAGAAATTTAAGTTGTAAAGTTTTGGTAGAATATAAAATTTATTAGATTTGGATGGTAAGGATCCATAAATTAAATTTAAGACAGCAAATGAATAGAAAATAAATTTATTTTATAGAGATTTTGATAGAGACTTTGGAGCTGTTTTAGATATAATTGCATACTTTAAAGATTTGAGTAAGGAGATGGGATAAATAAAGAAATTAAGGAGAAAGAGAAAGAATTTACCAGAAGGAGAAACATATTATGGTAAATATGTAATAATGTATGATGAATTATTTTCTGATAATTTGGATGCATTATTTTTAGGATTGGTTCGATTGAAATTTTTTGAGACTAATTCATTTGATTAGATATTAGAGGAATTGAAATCAATAATAGCAACTTTGGAGAAGATAATAAAATAAGAAATAGTAAAAATAGAATAAGAGAAAAATTAATAAGAATAAGAATAAGAATAATAGATATCATAAAATGTGATATAAGTCCAATTAGATGATGATGATGAAGAGAATGAATAAAAAGAGTTATAGTAATTCAATTTTGGGTTGGAGAGGAAAAAGAAGAAAGAATTATCATAGGAATAGTATTTATATTATTAAATGCTTTATTCATCTCTTTTTTATACTCAAAATTTTAATATAATTTGTGATTAATTTTTGGAAGTCTCAAAAAATTAAGTTTAAATAGCTTATGCTTAATTGCATTATTCAGTATGGAGAAAGTTGAGTTCAGTAGTAAAAGAAGGATTTAGTTTAGAATAGTAGACTACTTTGCTTTCTATATGTAAGAATGTGTGTTAACTTACTTTATCATAAGATTCATTTCATTATTATTTAATATTAGAATTAATAACAAAGATGAGAGATAAGCCATTTAATATAATAAATCATTTAAAATAATTGATTCAAGAATAAAATTATAAAAGGAAGAGATAAACGAGACCAAAGTTAAGTAGAAATTAAAAATTTAATGGGATAATTGAAATGAGAAAAGCAATATTTTTAGATTTGTTCTTTATAGATCATTATATAAGTGATCATCAATATAATAAGGCAATTTATCTTATGTAATATGATTTATCATCTCAATTAAAGTTCAATCTCAAAAATTTCATGCTTTATACTTAATCCCTCTTTATAAATGGTTTATTATGTGAAAAGACTCTATAATCAGTATCAGCCATGCTTAATTTAGAAATATCTAAATTATTGTATGATCAATACTTTCCAACTACTAAACTTGTTTATATTGAAGACGAAACTTAAAGATAAATTACCAAAGAATAAATGGAAAGTGGTAAATAGTATACATCTAAAATGTTAACATTTGATAATTAAGCATGTGAAAATATTAATGTTCTTGACTTTCATTTAGGTAAAGTTTATTTCTCTATTCATGATAAAGAAAATGCATTAAAATGTTTAAGAAAAGTTAAATATGCCAGACAGAAGAAATTTGATATCTTATCAGATGAAGTTATTGAAGTAGTTATTGAAATTCTTAGAATACTTGTTGAATAAGATGATAGTGGTGCTGCAAGTGAAATATGTTATGAATATCAATAATAATTTAAAGAATTATATCGAAGAAATGCCTATTTTAAATCAAGATATATTGCACGTCTATAATTAATTATGGCAGCTATCTTTGAATGCAATGGAATGTTAATTAGTTCTCTTAGATATTATTAAAAAGCAAATAAAACATTTAATTAATCCAAAACTAACTCTTATATCCTATAAATTCACATCAGACTTAAAATTATGAAATTAATTGCTGCCATCAAAACTAAAGCTCTGTCTATTAATTCAATTATCAAAGGATAAATCAAATAATTTAATTATCATACTGGATATTTGTCAGAAACTGTCAAACCTTACTTTAACAATTAATTTCTAAGATTGTCTATTGAAGAAAAATAACATTAAATTAATTCAGTTATTTTTAACTATTTATTGAAAATTTATTCATTGTTTCGAAATTAAGATTATGATAAACTTTTGGATAAATTATATCAACTTCATAATGTTCTCAAAAAAAGAAAAGTTGATGAATGTTATGGATATACTCTTTAAAAATTAGGAATCTATCAAGCATATCATTCAAATTATAGTTAAGCCATTAATTATTTATAAATGGCATTAGAAATATATGATAGATTTCTTATATTTCCTTAAAAAGAAATTAGATAATTACGTTGTCAAATTCTGATTCTTCATTGTTGGATTTAATAAGAGAAAAAAAAAGAATACTAAGAATAATTGAATTTGATTGACTAATTTATTTAATAAATAAATGAAATGCTTAATTGGAATAACATTCCTTATCAACCAACAACAAATAAATTTATTGTATTATCATTGAAACTTGGCAAACAGATTATATATTAATTAGAAGAAATGAGTTAACTGATTGAAAAATTTTAAAAGACTAGATATAAATTGATTTAGTATCTATCGAATCCAACAAAATTAAAGTCTGTAGCTGCTAAATATTTGAAATAAATTATAAAATCAACTTAAAAGGAACATATAAAAAAGAAAAGTCATAATGATTCTAGATAATCTTGTTTATTTGGTCTTCTTAGTCGATAAAATGTAAGACCATCTAGAAAATCGACAGTGATTCATAATAAATCGAATACATAGACTGAATATGAATATTAAGATACTTAGAAGTAAATTTGTTATTTAAATATTTTGTTAGATCTACTAATACAAGAAGAAGCAATACAAAACATAGAGATAATATGAGTATTTAATTTACATCAGATAAATCAAATTAAATAAGTTAATAATTTGATGTTGTATAAACTTAGAAATCATAAACATTTGATGATAATTTAGAAACGGAAAGAAATGGCAATTTATAAATATCATATAATATTAAGGATAATACAAATACTAAATGCAGTACAGGGATGCCTTCGATGGCTCAATTAAATATGACACCAATTAGTGAAGTAACTAAATTATCAGGAAAATTGGTAATCCAATAAAAAAGAAATAAAGATTAACAGAAACTTAAAATTAATCCATTTTAAAAGATTACTCGAAAATGACCTTATTTATATAAAATGTATTTCCTTTTATGATGTTTATTAATTACTTACTAATTACAAAATTGATTGATCTATTATTGATCTATTACTAATTTACATTAGAGAGTAAACTTGTAATAAAATAAGGTTTTTTGAAAGATCAATATATTATGCTAATCATAAATTTAATAATATATAAATAAATTTAAAAATCTTAAAAATGGGAGCTTGTTGTACTAAAAAGTCTAACAGAGATGCTGGAATTCAATAATAGATAGAAAAAACTATTATAGAACAATAAAAACTACGTGAAGAAGAAGAGGAAGAAGAAATTCAATATAATTAAGGAAATAAAGATAACTCAACTAAGAGATCAATTCATATTGTTTAAACAACAATGTATACTAATTAAGAAAAATAAGATGATGGAATAGTTGAAATCATTTAGGAAGAAGAGAAGATTGAATAAAAACCTGTTAAAAAAACTAAATAAAAAATTACAAAAGATGATATTAATTATTTTAAAAAATATGAACATGTATTACATTTGAAGGCAATTATTGTGGAATTAATAAAAAATGAAGTAAGTCACTATTATTCTTTGATAATGAGAGTGGATTATAAGGATTATATAGGAGAAGCAAAAATGAATGGAATCTTGATTACTTCAAGTGAATTCCATTATTTTAGTATTAAGCCTGAAAAATATAGTGATGCAAATTAATATTCTAGATTTTCTACTTTCTTTTCTAATGATAATTATTTTAATGCAGATAAAGAGAGTGTTAATAATTTTAATGCTTTTGATAAGCTTTTGTCTGTAGAAAGAATAGTTAGACTTAAATAAGTAGAAAAGAGGGTTCGTAGAAAGTAGACTCTTTTAATAGAAAAAGAATCAATTTCTCCTGTTAAGAATAAATTGGAATTCTTTGATTCAAAACAATAAGAAATGCTTGAAGTGATTACTATTGTGGATATTGAAGATTAAGAGAGATTTTAATGTCTTTTATTTCATATTCTTTTACAGTAACAATTACCAGAACTTAATTAATATTTAGTGTTTATTTAAAATGCTACATTTCTCTTTGATAGGCCACCTTAATTTGATGCACCTAATATATATAGAATTGCATTATTTTATGATAGATTGGATTATTCATTGAAAGATTTATAAGCAGTTTTGATGAAAGAAAATAAGGAGTTATCATCTCATTTACATAAGAAATTATCTTTAAATCTAATTCAAATATTATATAATTGTTATTCTAAATATATATTCAGACTTAATTTTACACTATCAACTGTTTTTTATAATTAAAGAAGTAAGTGTTTTAAATTGGAATCTTTTGGGAGATTAAAAAGTTTACTTCCTTTTTAATCAAATACAGAAATGCTTTTGAAATCAGTTGAAGAAAAAAAGTATATAGCTTTTAAAAAGGCTTTGAAAAGAGATTTATTTGCACTGTGTGATTTGATAATGTATTTTAAAGAAATAGGAAATGTTACTTTAAGATCTATATAAGCTAAAAGAAAAAAGTTTATAAAATCTATGGATGGAGGGAATGATAATGATGATGCATAGGAATAAAGTGATAATTATCTTCATTTGGCTGAAGAACGATTTAATCATAATTCTGATAAATATATATTTGAATTTATCAAAATGGTCATATTTACAACTAGAGTAGATTCCACAGAAACAATTATGATTAATCTTTAATCAATAATTGAAAGTTTACAGAAGTAAATATCTACATATGAAAATAAATTGGAGAATTAAGATGAATATAAAGAATAATAGTAAAATGAAAGTCCTTAAAAGAATGATAATGTTGAAGTAATCAATTTGAATGAGCTAAATTTAAGTTAATCTGAAATCTCGGATACAGATAATATTAATAAAAAATATTTTGAATCTTTTGATATTGATTTCTAAAATGAATTCTCTCAATTAATTAAGAATAAAGATAAATTAAGTGAATCTGAATCAATATATAAAGATATACTCTATTAATCACTCTTTTATTATAATGAAGAGTACTATTAGGAATTGCGATCAAAACTAAATAGTCAGAATCTATCAAAATTACAATAGGCTTAGATAATTATTTTAAATGCTTTTAGTAAAATTAAATAAATGAAGGATGAATCATGGGAAGTAAAATATCAAGAAATATCTCAACTTGTAGAAGAAGCTATTCCAATAATAAACAGTATTAATGAAGATAGTTATGATAACTTTCACATTTCAATTTTATTTTAAATTTTATCTTTATCTCAAAGAAAACCTTTGGTTATTTTAAATTAGTTATAAAGATGTTTAACAAAACAACTTGAGCTAAAATAGAGATTAATAAATAGATTAAGAGGAAAGAATATAGCAAAAGGATTGATAGAGTAGAAGAAGCATGTAATGATATAAACAATGTATGCTTAATCATATTTAAATTCTAATCATTACTTTGAAGCAATTACAAAAATATAAAAGATTATCGGTTTTCAATTAAAGAATTTTCATACACCTTCTTTAATATATGGATATTCATTAATGATTAGTGGTGAAATTGCAAGATTGAGTTCTTAACCTATTTCTGCAATGCTCAATTTAGAAATGAGTTTAACTATCTACAATTAGTTTTTTCCAGAATCAATTATTTAATATATTTAATCAGATGAATAATTTAATCAATAGAAATTTAAAAGAGAAGGTGATTAATAATTATTGTAATAGGATAACAATTAAACATAATTAAAAGAAATTAAGTTTTAAAATCTTGCTACAAGTAATTTGGCTTAAGTAGAATTCCTCTTGGGAATGAGTTATTTTGATTCTCATGATTAAGAAAATGCTTTAAAAAGTTTAAGTAGAGCTTAAACATTGATGATGAGATCATTTGGTATATTTGCAGATGAAGTTATTGCTTTGGTTTTATATTAACTCAATATCTATGTATTATAAGATGATGTTGGTTCAGTTATGAAAATTGCAATGAAATATTCTATTGAAATGAATAAATAATATAAATTAGGAAAATAATTCAAAAGAAAATGTATAGCTAAATTGTAGTTTATTATTGGATGCATATTTCAATTTTGTGGATCATATTTAAGTGCTTTGAGATTTATTGAAAGATCTAATAGAACATTATCAAATGCAAAACTAAATAATTTTATTATTTAAGCACATTATTAAGCAAAAAAGATGACTATTATTGAATAAATTAAAAGAGCATTTGCTAAAATTAAAAGTAAATAATTATTAAGAGGATAATTAGAATTGAATTAATTTTAATCTCTGCATGAAGTTTTAGGATCTGCGTTTTAAAATTAATTCTTTTGCTAATCAATTAAATATCATACTTCTATTCTATTTAAAAAATATTTTAAATACATTCTATAAATATAGGGTTTAATTAGAATTGGAGAAAATGAAAAAGCCATTCATCATATTAATGAACTTTTAAAATCAATATCTAAAGCAAAGAAGGATGAACTTTATGCATATCTTAAAGATAAATTGAATCTTATTACTATTGAATCTACTTAAATTATAAACTAAATTTCAGATTTTTAAAAACTTATTGAAATACATGATAGATATTTGCAATTTCCTATTAAATAACATTATAAATTAAAATCTTTTATTATTTTAATGTGCTTATATGCTAAAATTGGAGATCTTAAAAAATTTAATGAAACATCATCTAAAATTGAAGATTTCGTATAAGATATTTATTAATTATTGAATTGGTAAATGACAGTACCTAATGATTTAACTATTAATTATGGTAAATTTGAAAGATTAAAAAATCGAAGTAAAATTCAAATTTTGTTTCAAATTTAATAAATTATGGAATTAATATAATATTTTTATAATATAAGAAAAAAATTGTATGATTCATTTGAAAATTAATAACAATTAAAAGAAATTGCAATAACAGTATTTAAACGATTGACAACTTAATCAAAACCAATTTAATAAAAATATATTGATAGAAAATTATAATGCTTATTTGGTGTTTCATCTAAAGTTAAAATTTAAAATGTAGAAAAAGAAAATTAAAACATACAAATAAATCATAATCAATAAGAAAAATCTACTTAAAATATTACGAATACCTAACAACCAGAATAAATCGATGACCAACACAATAGTAAATTAGTTTTTGACTTAAGAAGTTATGAGGAAATTGTGTAATCTCGAAAACAACAGAGAAAAAAATCTCATCATTAAAAATAATAATCTTAAGAACTTTAAATAGAAAAAAAAGAAATCAAAGAAATAAAAGAAATCAAAGAATCAAAACATAAAAGGAATGTTACTGAAGTAACAGCAGCAACCTCAAATAAAACTAAAAAAAAACAACCTTTTAAATTAAACCCTTTTCAAAATACAATTAAAAATCCTAAAAGATGACAAAAATATATTTGATATAATTTTTCTTATTTTAAAATTAAATATAAATTCAAACTGAGTATTAATCTATTGTAATTATCTAAAATAATATTAATTTTCAGAAATTAGATATTTTCTTAACTTAATTTCTTTATTTCATATTTCTAAAATATATTAACAAGATAAAAAACAAACTTTAATTAGTATTAAATAATAATCATAAATTATAATTTTTGAAATACAAAAATCAATATTTTTTATTTTCAATTATTTTATTATGTAGAATATTAAAATTAATATTTTCTTTTCTAATTTAACTTTGGCTAAAATATGATCTCTATTACCTTAATAAATTCCTTTTCATCTTTTCAATCAATTTTTATACAGAAATTTACTTTTTTACTTAATCTTAAGCTGAAATAATGACAGAAATTTTCTAGAAAGTCTTTTAAATTTTAAATTACATTCGTTCCTTTTTGTATTAATATATTTCTAGACTACAATGGCATACAAGTTTTTTATATTAATTAGTGATATATATAAAGTTCATTTTAGAAAAGGATTGGCAGATTTAGAAATTGAAATATAATAATTTGCAAAAAAAGTAAATCTCAGATCAATATGAATATTTCATATTATTCATCAAAATTATTTAGTTAGTATTCAAATAACTTTGTGGAATGATAATAAATTATAGAATGTTATGAGGTTGACGATTCAAAAAAGAAAATAAGAAAATTACTTTTACAAACTTAATCTGAGCTTCAAAAATATTTGTCTAAAAATAGAATCATGTATAATAAATTCATTAGGGTATAGATGTTAAAATATATTTTGAATCATTTCTAATTTCATATTGAAAAAGTATTTTCGATGTGACTTGACATCCTCCTATTGTAGAGATTATCGTAATTGAACTTTTATTCTTAGCTATTGGAGCAAATTGACATGAATTTTAGTATGTGATGTTTAATTTTTATTTGATAACATTTTTTCTATAGTAAACAACAATTGATTTTGCTGCTGGGTATTTTATATTAAGACTTTTGGCAGCCTTTAAGATTTAATTTGAATATTTTACATGTTTTATTTTAAAACCCTTAATAAATACCAAATAAATCAAAGACTTTCTTTAAAATGAAGGTACTTTTTAATATGGTCTGCATGCAATAAAATATTATTTCATTAATTTATTAAATTTAAGATATTATCAATATTTTATTATATCAATTCATACCTAAATAGAAGTTTTCATTCTTCCAAAGAACATTGTTTTTTGTTTTTATCTAAAATTCATTTTTCATTCCTAAAATTGCTACTCTATATTTTTTTAAAGTTGATTACTATTACCAGTAAGAATATTTCTATAATTCTCATGACCTAGTAGCAAATACAATTATTATTTATGATTTAAGTATTTCATTTTTTTCAGTAATTTTTTATATATTAAAATTAATTTATAAATAATCTCAATAAATATATGTAAATTCTTTTATTTTGTATTCTGGCTTTTGGATGTATAAACTAAACAATTAAAATTTAAAATACCATTTTAACTTTTTAATCTAGACATCTCAAAAATATGTTCAATTTAACAACACAAAACTAAAATATTTATCTATTGATATTCATAATAATTTTAAAGATTAATAATTGTTTCTATATTAGTTTATCTCTATTTTATCTTTTATTTAATAAAAGTATTATAATATTAAATTGTATATAATTTTAAATATTCTCATCACTAAAACTCATGGAATTGATTTGTGAAAACATTAAAACAGGATTCAGCTTCTTTTTAAGAATTAGAAATAGTGATATTGGCTTATTTTAATTTAATTTAGCTCTAGTAATTAAAATTAAGTAATTATTTATTATTAATTATTAATTTTAAATAAAAATGATGTAAATTATTTTAAAAAGATAATTCGATTGGTTTGTAAAAAATAGTTTAAACAATCAAATCATAGTGAAAATCAATTTTTAAGTATTAAATAAGGTATTTGAAATTTCAATAAGCAAATAAATTTTAATTATTTCTCTACATTTTATTGTAACATTTAATCATGATTAATTAAATTTCATAAAAATGAATGAAAATGTTTAATATTTTTGTAATTTTTAAAAATGTTCTTTTATACCCCCACACCTCATGTTATTGAGATTTGAATCTGAATAAGCGTGTTTTTAAAGGTTAGAAGGGAAATAAATAAATAATAGAAATTATTACTGTTTATAATCAAGAGATTGAGTCTTTTTCTATTGCATATAATCAAATGTGTCTTTTATAATGGCACATAATAAGTGGTTTTGTAGAATTTTAGATTAGGACATATAAGAATAATAAAAAAATGATTTTTAGGCAAAGTAGAGGAATTTTCTAAATTATTTAAATTGAAGGCATTATCTATTAATGTGAATGAAAAAAAAGTCTGAAATGTATACAAGTCTGAAGAAGTAAAGACTTGATTAATAAATATACCTTAGAAAATTTCACTCATTTTTTTTAAATGTACATGGAAAATTGTAAACGTGGTTGGTAAATAACAAAAATCATTGTTATATATAACTTAGAAATATAATCATTCTTAACTGATTGTGGGGTATTCAAATTAAAGTTGTTCAACTATATCTCCTCCTATCTTTGAAACAATAGTCAGTTTACACTTTTTTAATGAAAGTGGTGCTACTTAACATTATTAATGAGAATTAATTGAAATTTTAGATCTCATGACATTGTTTCTGTAAAAAACTATGTATGTTTTAGCAGCAGCATATTTAATATTCAATTATTTTGCTGCCTAAAAAGCATTAGTATAAAATATACATTTTTTATTTTAAATCCGAGAAAGCAAACTAGTCTCAATAGTTTTTTTTTCTATTCATCAGAAATCTTTGATTAGGTTCTAAATTTTTTTATGTTTTTCTTCATTTATACTCTTGAGGATTTAAATAAAATTTAATTTTTAGCTACTTATTATTTAATTATCTGTTATAATATCCATTAAAATCTCAATTTAAAAAAGAGAATTAATAAATTATTATATTATAATATTATTCTTATTCTAAGTATTGAAATAAAATTTCTTTAAAATTTTAAAAACTACTAACAACATCAATGTTTCTTGAAAGTTAATTTAAATAGTATTTAGAAATTTTAAAGAAATAATGTTAATAATTTATGGTAAGAAAAGAATAATTAATAATTAAAACAGTGGGTTGAAAGATAAATATTACTTTATAAGAAGAAAATAAATATTTATAAGTGCTTGATAAAAAATTTGTTATAAGTATTTATATAAAATATATTTGAATTTCTTATGATACAAATCAATATTCAGATGTTATTGATTTGTATTAAGAATGTTTTATGATTTATATTAAGAATGTTTTATGATTTATATTAAGAATGTTTTATAATAAGATAATTAATAGATGAATGAAAAAAGTTAAATAAAAGTGTTGTAAATATGAATTTATATATTGATTGATAATTCATAATTTGTTTTTGTAAATAGCTAGTCCTTTTGTTCTGAGTTCTTATTCCCATTCACGTGCTTCTCTTTCATAGAGATCTTTAAGCATACAATTTCTTCTTTTCTTCAATTCTTAATAAGCATTTTCTACTTCTTTTGAATATCTAGACATATTAAAAGATTGCACGTTACACTTTATTCATGAACTTTAATTCATTGACTTTATCGAATTTAGATTTTGATTCATGCCACCATGTATTTCTACTAATAGATTTCAAGTTCTAATCATATCTTTCTGCATCTGTATATTATTAATTTATTTTAATATTCCTTTTTATCTATTGCATTGTTTGTTATATAAATTAATAATATAAAAGTCATAATTTTTCCAACTAAATCCATAACATTTCATCTCCAATTGACCATTATAACCCTTTTTTTCTATATTATTGATTTTGAACTTCAAAGAATTCTCCTAATTTCTTAGTACATTCTTAGTCAAGATCAATCAATTTAGGTGATTTGGTGATACTAATAATAACTACAATAATAGATATGAGTGTAGATAAAACAATAAAGATTGCACCAAGTAAAGTTAATGTTGATTTTAAATCTTCATATGAGAAACCTAAAACAAATAGAATGACTCCAACTATGAATAAAACCCATGATGAAGTAACTGAGATATACATTAAATTTAAATACCATAAAATTTCTCAGTTTCTAAAGGATCACTTTCTTCTATTCTACTCTTTTCACATCTAATTTTTTAACAAATCCTATTTGCTTGGAACACTGTTTCAGAAATTGAATCTTCAGACACAGGCATATAAGGTAATTTAGCAGGTAATGAAAATCCTAATTTATCAGCATATGCAGGAACTATTAAAATATCTTGAGATGAATTTGGAATACGAGAACGATCAATTTTTTATTTCATTATTTTTATAATTTAACTTAATCATGTATTCTTTTACAATATGTTCAAAATTACACCAAAAAATAAACTTATTTAATTATTAATATAATTCATTTCTATTTTAAAAGAGTATAGTCGAAAATTTATTAGTTAAGATTATTATTCAATCATTCTAATGAGTTGTGTATCATTAGATAATAAAACAAAGATGTTTCAACTAATATAATAGACTTTTTTACAAAATACAAACTCTTCAAATTCTTTCATATGATAATTCAATTCTCCATTAAATTTTATGAAAAATAATACAAAGGTGAAAATAAAAACAATATGATTTTACCTTCATATATTCAAAATTTAAAGAAAATTATTAAGTTGAGTTTTGATTGGTTTTTTAGTAAATAAATCAATTAATATGTAAATTTTATAATTTAATTTGATCAATGTTTATATGTAAAAGATGATTAAATTTATTTGCTTATTTTAAAGATAAACCACCAGAACAATTGTAACTATCAATAACTTTTGTTATTTGGATTTTTAATCATTAGTTCTTTGATGCCATAATTGTTCAATCAAGTATGCAACTTCTTTAGCTCTGATGATAAATTATTTTAATCATTATTCTTTTAATATAGATACAACAAGGTGTAAATATTTTTCATTAAAAACAAAACGTTGATGAATTTTTTTGAATAAGAAATATTTGTAATGATAAAATTTTTAGATAGTTGGAATTGTTTTTTGTTAATTAATAATTGTAATATTTTTAGTGATTATAAATGATATATAGAATGAACCATTAATAAGGATAAAAGTATCAAGAATGAAATATTGAATAAATTGTTATGGTTATTCGATTAATTATAATTCAACAACTTTATTTTAGTTTAGGTTATGACAATCGACTAATAAGACTTCTCTATGATTATTGTGTTTTCTTAAATCTTTCTCTAACAAGTGGTGGTAATTGATATCTATATTTAGGAGAGGAGAAGAATTGATCTGAAGTTCTTAGCATTCTTTTGTAATTTTGGATAGGTGAGTATTTTTCCTACACATTTTATCTAAATAAATGATGGATAATACAAAACATAGGTATCTCTCCCAGTTCCATCACATTAATAAAAGATACGTTGTGGTACTTCTGAAGCTCTAGATGCAGGAGTTGGCATCATATTCATTCCTGTTCTGTTTTATTATATAGTAAGAAATCTGAATTCAGTACCAAAGTTTCCACCATTATTATATGAAATATATGTATCTCTTCCAAAACCATCATTATTATAAGAAGTTGGATTCTTCTCAGGTTTTGATCCTTTATTTAAGATGGGTTGTTTCATAATTAAATTAATAAGTAATAAATGAATTTTATAGTTTATCACTTTTAAGCAATAATTTCAACAACCTTAACTGTCTAATCATCAATCTACTCTATTAAGAGTATAGCTTTACTTTTCTAATTCAGAATAAATATAAATATTTACACTTCTACAAATAGGACATTCTTTATTTTATTCAAACCATTATATAGCGCATTCTTAACACATTCCTCCATGACCACATGGCATATATACTACACAACTTTATCTTTAAAAACAATTAAAACATTATTTCATTGGAGCTTCTTAAATTGCTACCTCAGTTATTGTAGCTTACTTATTTTAAATTACATTAACTTCTGTTTAATGTCTTCTCATAACTAATTCATCTGGTAAATAATAAGTGCTTGAAATCTTCATCATTTATTATGGATATTCTAATATATTATTTTTATTCATTTTCTCTTTTATTGAATAAATAAACTTCTTTTAACTTCTTGCACTTGGAAAACTCAATATCTATCGATCTTAATTTCTATCTTCATTCAATTAAGCAAAATAGTGTAAATTCAATATGAATAATGTCAAAAGTTCTTTATGATATAATGTATACACCAAATAAATTAATGTATAAAACACACTTATAATTATTGCCAGTAAATAATTCTTCTTACCTTCATCTTCTTCTAAATATATACATAGATTTATCATTGTATATGTTGGTACTCCTGCAAAACTAAAGAAGAATAAACAAATCCAAAATAATCCTACTATTTTTGTTCCCATCTAAACCTTAACTTCAATATTACTACTACAAAAATATTTATTTATTTGAGCAGTCAAATTAAATATTGATATTAGCTCTAAAAATATTACTATTAATAAGAATAGCCATATTAATATAAATGCATATAACCAATGAATAGCCAACCAATCGATTAATTTTAGATTGATAAATGTTATCTATATTATAAAACATAACTTTGCAAACACACCCAACTATATTAATTCTCTTCTTATACCAATTTATACTATTATTTCTCACATTTCTTTTTATGTAATTAGACTCCACTGTAAAACATCCAAATAGCATTATAAAAACATAACAGCATTCCTAAATATTGTATCTAAAAACTATGTTATTCAACAAAGTATATTAAACAACTCTATTTTTAATATAACTCATTACATAATATGATATTAAACCAATGTTCCATGTCAATTCGAAACAACAATCAAAATCAGTTTTAACCCTTCTTTTTTACTTATTATTTTTACGTTTTATGATGAACTATACACACTTTTATTAGATATATCAGGTGCACTATACTCAAAAATAACAAAGGAATCCTGAAACTCAATCCAAATGTTAAAGATGACAATAACAGAGTAAGAAAGGAATTAAACAAAACTACAAGCAATAAAGCCTAATTATGAAATTAAATACTGATATTAACCAACTTTATGCTATTTCCAAATTAATCAGTGCATCTGATTCATTAACTTAACCATCTTATTATAATTCCCAATTATTTTATCTTGAACCTTGTAATTATTATTAATTCATTATAAATATTAATAATACAATTGACAAATCAAAACATTCAATTATATTCTGTACCTTTTTTAATTAATCTAACAAACATTTAGTCCTCTCATATATTATAAATAATAAATTCTAAATTCATATATATATCGTTATTAAATTTTGAATTTAAATAATAATAAAATTTACATGAATAATTCTCCTTACATTATCAAAAAAAAACAGAGAAATGGTGATTGGGTTTGTGGAATTTGCAAAAATCTTAACTTTTCTTTCAGAAGTACATGTAAAACTTAAGTTATAATCCTTTTTAGGTAATCGATGTAGTAAACTCCCTAATAAAACATCTTCAAAACACTAATATAGAGGATTTCAAAAATTAGTTTTAATTCATTATGAAGAACCTACTGAAAGTATAGATGAGAATCTTGAATACATAATTGATCCAAATGTTACTTCAAGCCTTTTAATATTAGGCTTAGATCAATTTTGAATTTGTAATTTTTTATAATTGTTTTATAATAAATTTTCCAAACACAATATAAATTCTTTTAACTTTCTACAATCAAAATTCATTAATATTCTGTTCATAAACTCACCTCTAAAGATATTTAGTTAATCAAATAAATAAAATTATAAAATCTTGCGATTATTTTATATACAAAATAATTCTAAAAAATTTAAAAAAAATTCAATCGATTCAGAGATCTCTAAACTTTGGTGATTATTAGTATATTCTTATGTAAAAAAAAATTAGATTTATAATAAAATTGATAGACTATATGGCATTTGATGAGTATATATATAATTATCATTTTATTATTAATTAATTTAAAAATTAAAAAAAGAGAAATAATTTTAAGTCTTTAAAATAAATTGAATTATTGATAAATATGTAATTATTTTTATTCTATTGAAAAAATATTTCTATAAAAATGTAGAGATATAAAAAAACAGTATAATAAAATTTAATCTAATTGTTATAATCATTAATTTTCTTCTTAAATCAAAGGGTAAACTCTTGTGAGACGATGTTTTTCTCCCTTTGAACTTGGTTGTTGATCCTAATTCAAAAGTTTTTCATCTTTTCTTTTTTATTAATTAATTAAAATTACAAATTTTGTAATGAATTTGCAGTTTTGTACTATAGGAAGGCATTAGAATATTAATTATCTAAAGCTTATAAGCTCATAGGTCCTGAATCTTATTAACTTTTAAGAGTTTCTTTAAAAAGTATCATTTATTTAGCCTATTTGATTAAGTATTCTTTAATTTTATGGAATTTTTTAATTACATCAGCTCTTTATTATTACCGATTTCTCATAAGTTTATTAAAAAATTTAAATCGTAAAAGCCAAGGAGCTTTGAATCTAATAAAATCTCTGGCTTTATCTAGTTACAATTCTAATTCTTTCGCATAAGCTTTTAATAATTATTTTAAAACAAGGAATAAATAATAGATATTTAAAAAAGTAATGGTAATAAAATATGGGATTTAAATTTCTAGAGATCCAATTTGTTGATCTATATAGATTCCAATTCCTAGAGCAATTGATATAGCACAAACATTGGCTGAATAAGCATCTAATCTATTAAGATTAGAGGAAGAATATGGTTTAAACTTTAAGTTTAATTCTTGATATAAATAAACAACAAATAAGACAAGAATACCTTTTTTAATGACTTATTCGTCATAATAGGAGAGGAATATAATAAGTAATTCTTTTTCTAAGATTTTAACAATTTCCCAGAAATAAACTTGAGTAGTATATTCATGATATAAATATCCCCATTATTATCTGATCTTTTTATCATCTAATCTATGTCGATTTAAGTAAATAGCAAAGTAGAAAATGGCAGGTATCATAAATGCTATAACAAGAAAGCTTGGTAAACAAAATCCTAGAAGCCATTTATAATGATTCCAAGTGTCATATCTATAAGCAACATTTGCAGATATCCATTGATATCCAGAAATAGTTCTGTATGATATTAATTAAATCAAACCACCAACTAAATTTGGCTAGAGATAAATGTACATATATATGAATGTTGTTGTAATAACACTCAAATGATATTGTTATTTTTTTATTTTGAGTTGAATAAAGTAAATCCCTAAAAATACAAATATATAAATGAATGGCATAATAATTTACCAAACAATTCTTGAATAATGAATATTTAGGTCAAACATATCAATTAAAAAACAATCTAAGGAAAATGCCATAGTCTACATAGGATTACCAGATGCTTTAATAGCATCATTAACACCATTTGGTATATTTAATTAAAACGTAGTTATTGTTGCTAGAATTTAAAGATGGTTCGTCAACATTTTAATTAAAACACCAGATTAATCTTCTTACATGAATGAAAATGCTCTTATTTTACTGAATCTTATTTTAATAGCAGCCATATTTAATAGTTCTACAGTACTTCTAACAGAAATTAAAATAGATATTAAAGTCCTAATTTAATTATTTATAATTATTACCATATTGTAATTGCTGTTATAATAAGTGAGTTTTTGCTCTTTTCAGTACATGATCCACAAGAATATTTTGTACTTGTTGAAAATTATCCATCTCCTCTTAAATTATATAAATCACATTCTTCGCATAATGCACCTATGTGTCCTTTATAACAAGAAGTATCACCTTCTTTCCATCCTCCAAGACAATTCTCAAGTAAGTTGATACATTCACTTATATGATCAGTATAAAAATAAGGTCTCCAATATCCAGCCTTTAATTTTAACTAAGCTGATCTTATTTCACTTGTTGTTGATTCATCCATATACATACAATTATTTGAATTTATATTTAGAGTAAATTAACCTTATTCAACATCACATGGAACACAAGCAGAATTAACTAAACTTTTGATTTCTCCCATTTAACAAGGTAAGGTTTTAATATTGATTCTTAAATTATAATTATTATGATAACTTATGATTTCCTTATTCTTATTATAAATGGGTATGTAAATTGAATTACAAAATATTTATAATTGTAAAGTCATGTTAAATTAATCATCTAAATAAACAATTAAATCATCTAAATTATAATCAGTTTTATTAAACTCCACTCTTTTTTTATTTGTAAAATTTTAAGTGAATTCATTTTCACCAAAATCCTTAAGTAATCTTCCACTAATTTCACAATAAGAATTATTTAAATTTTATTAAATTTAATTTAGTTTATCTAAAGCTACAATTCTAAAATGTAAATTATATGGAACATATTCTCCTTTACTCCAATCGAAATATTAATATTCAGATATTTTTTATCCATTTGGTACATAAAATGCTTCTGAATATTCATTAGCAAATACTTTGTATGGCTTTATTAAAATCTATTCAATCAATAAATCTTCTTTCTCTAATACTTTAGTTCTTGGTAAAACATCTTTTAAATTTATTGTTATTGATAATTATGACGGAACTTAAGAAGAATCATTTCCAAATAACTAAGCCTTATTATTTGCAATTAAAGACCCAAATTAAGTTAAGTTTTAACTCATTTGATCTTTTATTTCTAATCCTCCTCCATAATTTGCCGTATTATTATATATAATACTTTAAACAAGATAGAATATTTCATTTCCAATAACTGAAATTGATCCACCTGATGAATTTGCAAAGTTATGTTCAAAAACAGATTTAGTAATTAAAGTTTTTAAATTTTTTACCTACAAACATGTACCTTCAAATGCTTCATTATATTTGCAATAATAATCATTTATTCGAATATCAAAATATTTTTCATATACTTATGTTACTACATTTTATAGCAAACGTAATGAAGATAACGGTTTTATTAAATTAATACAACTTGATTAACCACAAACATTTTATTTTAGTTTTAATGATTGTATTAATAAAAATGAATTAGAATCTTTGAAATTTAAATTTATTAGACCATTTTAACATTATTTGCAATTAATTTATTATAAAGTTACTTAAGACAAACTCATATTTGTATAAGTAGGTTAAATGTCGATTACACTGAATGTTTATTACTTCTAAAGTTATTTCATCTAATTAATCATACAATAAGAATTTGATAATGATGAGATATCATATTTAAAATTTAAATTTGATGGAGATTTCTTGATTTCTGATAAGCATTTATATTAAGAATCAAATTTCTTAAATATTTTTGTACAATTTGATTCCATCTCAATCATATCTAGCATTGTTATTTCTTGAATTGAAACTTTATTAAAGAATAATTTAGAATTTTATTTCATGTTATTTAAGATGATAATTGTATGAAGGAAATTTGATCTTGATATCTAAATAGAGGAAATTTAAACACTTTTTGTATTATATAATGATAAAAACGATTCTAAGTTTAGATCTGAAACAACTATGTTTTCCAATTGAATTTAATTACCATTGATTAGTAAAATTAAAAATCTTTAATACATTAAGGCTTATATTTAAGATTCTCTTAATAAAATAAACTTATTGAAAAATACTAATTAACCATTAAGACTATTACTGATTGTTGCTTAATTAATTTAAAAATTTTATTGTTATTGTGAAAGGGCTGAGAATTCAGAGTATATTATTGATCCTAAGGATGCAAAAACATCTATCAAAGATATATTAATAAGAGAAATCTAAAGCTTCCCTTCTCCATTTAAGAGATATATGAAACCTCCTTTATTTCTACAAAAGATATTTTTTACTGTTGCATTTTTAATAGTAATTGTAGATGAAACTGAATTTGAAGAATCGAAATATATTGCTCCTCCATTTTCATTCTCTTATTAAAAATGACTACTTATAAAATTAAAAATTGAATTAGTTATTATTATTTTAGCACTATTTTCCATTCTTAAATATAATCCAGAACCAGATGAATTTGTAATCAAAACACTTGTAATCTCTAAATCTTGGCTAATCAATCTTGCATTTCCAGTTATTACTTAAATTGGGAAAATTTCTTTAATTTATTCAAGAAACACTTCATCATTATTTTGAAATCCCCAAACTAAATATGGTTATATAATATCATAATCAAATATGCAATTTTAAATGAAATTAGAATTTTTAATTTTTATCTTCTTAGATTTTATATAAATTATACTATCTGTTGAATTAGTAACTAAATTTGATTCAGCTATCATATTATCTATATTAACACTACAATATGAACAATCAAAATTGAATATCAATCCAGAATTTATAAGATCATTCTATTGGTATTGATGCATAATATTCTTTTTCATTATTGAATTCTTAATTTCAATTTAGAACTCAAGTTAAGTTGACAATTAAATCAGTGAAATTTATTTCATTTGATTAGTAATCAAAAGTAAATTGTCATTAAGATTTAAATCAGTTAGTTTTAAGGAATTATAGTTAGATACTTTAGAAATTGATGTTTAAATATTAATGATAGGATAATCTATGGATTCAGCATTTGAAATTGTTAATGAATTCAATTCCAATACTTTAACATCATAGAAGTATAATGAAGTGACATGATATTTTATTGTTTTTTATAAACAATCTATGAATTAATGAAGACCTTAAAATACATAAGCAGAATGTTATGTAATAAATAAATCAGTAATTTTTAAAGAATCTATCTCTACAAAACTAAATTCTTTAATCCCACTTCCTCTCTCTATTTTAAGTGATGTTATTTAGACTTATTGAATTTATACATATATTAAAGATATCTCTTGTTATTCTAATTATTAAATGCTTGAAAGTGATGTTAACCAATTACCTAATAATTGTATTTCAGTTAAAAGAATTTCTTTGTTAGGGGAAAGATTTTATTTTATTAATATGAACTTTGAATATTCATCATAAGAATTTAATGAGAAATAAAACTTATCAAAAGTATATTACTCCACACTTATTTTCTAATTCCATATTACAATAGAATTGTTAAATAGTTAATTTGAATTAAATTTTAAATCTGATATCTGAGATTTTTAATTTAAATTAAAAATTGTGGATTAAGTAATAATTGTTGATAACACCTTGAAGCGATTAATTACAATTTTCGTTAATAAATCTAAATGAAAAAGATTTTCCACTAAACTTATCATACTGTTTTATATCTAAATATCCTCCATCGTTAATTAACCATATTATGTATTTAGTAATTGAGCTGATGTAAAATTGGAGATTATTGAAAAATGTCTTAATTCTATAGAAGTCTCAAAGTTTGAATGAAAATATAGTAGAATGACATTCTGAAATTAACTTTGTTTAAATAAAAAATTTGATAATTGAATTTTTAGCTCTGATTCAATAGCTTATATTCTGATAAAAGAATCAATGTTATTAATACTTAAATTAGAGGATTCAAATTAATCAATAATCACATTTTCAGCATTATTAATAATTATCTAAGATTTATCTTATTCAATAGAACTATCATATATTATTTGAATTAGTTATATAGTTTAAAGGAAAGCACTATGAAATAAAAGTTATTTGATATTTCCAACTTGAATTGGATTCAATTTAATACCATCAAATTTAACATTTTTAAAGTTTATAATTGAAATTGTTTTATCATATGAAAAGGTGGTAAATCCATTTCCTTATATGTTTAGTTCTACATTTCTAATATATAATTAAATATAAATAAATACATAGCAGAAAATATATTCTAACTAAATTTTTGCTGAATACTTTTATTACCATTAATAATACAAAGCTGAGTTTCTTGGCTTACAATATAAATGGAAATGGTTTAGATAACTTTTTGATTAGCTAACAAATAAAACTATTGAGTTTCAAACTATTTTTATGAAATGATTGATTACTTCCTTAAAACTAGAGGATGAAAATAAATCATTAATTAAAATATTGGACTATTTGAATTAAATAATTTGTTCCTCTTAATCTAAATCCATCAAAGCTCTGTTGAATTTATTGATATCACAATATAAATTTAAATTAATGTCTAATCTTTTTAGACATTAAGTTTATGGGCAATCAACATATATTCCTAAATGCTTATCGTATGCTCCTGTATATCCTTTTAAGCATTAATTTGAAGTATATAAAAACTCTTGACTATTGAATATAGGGTTAATTAATTTAATTTCATTTTCATCTCTTTAACGACATAAAGAACAATTTATAGGACAGACAATACATTGATTATTATCCAAACTATAACTACGTCCTTTTATTGTATTTGGACATTTAACACATATATTTTTATTATCCATAATTAAGCATTCAAGACAGTTATCTGGACATTTTGGTATGCATTCATTATTTTAGATTTCATATCCTGAAATACAATTAATACACACAACTTCATAACTTTCATTATCTGGACTTGTTCCATATTCAATAAATGAATGTGCTTAAAATATGTCGTCAATTTCAACTTTATAGTATTGACGAATTTCAGTTTTCCACTCATCTTTTGACTTTTTATTTTATTAAAAACATTTTGAACAAAATAGTTCTTATGGACAAGGTTCACATTATGCTGTTAGTTTATTCGCAAAATAACCATCTTCACAAATAATGCATTAATAATTAATTTATTGATTCATTTGACCAATCATACATAAGTAGCAATTATGATTATATCCCGAGCATTATTCAACAAAAGAGATGGGTCCAATATCTTCAAAATCAAATAAATCATATTTGAATGATTTAGGCCCAAATAAACATTAATATTTTATTGCTGTTATAATGCAGTATTCACATTCAAAGAATTCGTTTAACTCACAAGTTTTAGAGGATGCATTATAACAATAAAATTTATGACATTTAGCACATTCTGTTGTCACTTCTCCATAATAAGGTACAAAATCATAATCTAGAGAATTGATGCGTTTATTTCCAGGAGTTGTTTCATATGCAATTTCACAATTTTCCAAAGTATTTTCTATACAATCAACTCCATTTAATGATAAATAATATTTATTCTAATCTACACATCTTAAACATTACATAAAGAATTCATTAATTAAGTAATTCATTTAACGTTGACATATAGAACAATTAAGTCCACATTTTAAACAGGTAGCTCCAACAGGTTCATATGTTTAAGGGCAAGAAAGACATTTAAGATTATTATCTTCAAAATTACAAGTTATACATTGATTTGGACATTACTCACATTATTAATCTCTAGATAAGTAAAATCCTTTTGTGCATTCTAAGCAATTAGATGATAAGAAATTAGATTAGATACAAGCTGGATTTGATAATGTACATTAATGATTAGAGAAGTAATGATTCTATTTACAAATGACATAGAGATCATAAGATAAATGTAATTGAAAGGGAATTAAGAAGCAGTTTTATAAATTGTCTTCATGATTACAAAAGTCTTATGCTCCTTATATCAATTATAAGTTATTATCCTAATTAATGGAATAAAGATCGTATTCTGTAGTATTTCTTTAAATTTTTCTATAAGCACCTTGATCAAGTGATGTTTATTGTGTAATAAGATCAGTAGTACAAATAGATTTTAAATACCAAGTAGTTGGATTGAATAGACAATCGACACAAAGTAGATCTAAAGTTGATTATTATGGACTAAAAAGGATATAGATAAATAGATTACCATTATATACAATTTTAAGTAGTAGGTAGTAAAAAGTACCCAAATTAACATCTTTAATCTAGAGAATCATATTTAATATCTGAAAATATTAATGTTGGATATATTTAAGTAAAGGGCAAACAAATTTTATCTTTTTCTAGATACCCATTATTACAAATGCATAAATGTTTATCTTGTAATAGTATTCTATTTGATTCAGATGAACAGGTTAAACAATTATTAGGTTGAGGTCCATTACAAGTAGCACAAGTATAATAGCATTCTAAAAATGATAATATAATGATACCATAATAGAATTCTTAATCTTAATCATAATTATAAATGAATTGAAATTTAGCAACTTATGCTTTAATTCTTCTTACATTGATAATATCACTTCCAAATATTAAATAATATTTAGTATTAATAAATAATCCAGCTTTAGTGTCATCAGAGAAAACAGCTTCATCTGAATCAAGATTACCAGCAAAATACTTAATTTTTAATAATGTTTTAGGTCCTGTAGTTCTACCATATTCAAATTAAATATAATGCCATGATGTAAGTGCATCCAAATACATTATAGGTTCTTCATCAATAAATAACCATGCAAATATTTTAGTATTAGTTTATACATTTTATTATTTAACAGGAATAGAATAATGATTAGATTCAATTATATACTCTGTATATTATGGATCTAATCTATCTAACATAGCTGTAATTTTTAATATTTCATCTCCAATATATAAATTATTGCCATAGTTTTTATTTGTAGTTATACGAAGTAATAAATATTCAATTTTTTTGACTGCATCTATTGAATCATATTTAACCCACCCAGAAATACAAAATCGTTTACCTACTTATTCAATATCAAATATATTTTAAGTATCACCTTTGAATATATATACTTCTGGATATAAATCCACTCTTTATTTACCTACCACTCTCTCTGGAATCTTGCAATTATTTTCTACCTCTTCAAATTTCTATTCAGAATAATCTGTAAACTACATTAACTTAGATAATCTTCCTCTAAATATTCCAACCGTAAATACATCTATCTTTTTTATTATTATAATATTAATTACATATCCAGTGCCTCCTATTATAAATTTTACTTTCTTCATTTCTCTTAATATATCTCCAATATTATTATTGCTAACATAATTACTTGTTTAAAATATCACTTATTTTTATTCGATTGTTATCATTGTTAATATCCATGTACCTTCATATTCTAAAGGATTGTATTCAAAATTATAACTATTAAATCCAGGCCAACCCCAACTATCTACTGTTTCAACTCTTAATCTATGTATTACTTTATCTGATTCTTCATCCAGTACTCCATACATAAACATTACTATTCTATCATCATCAAGACATTTCAACAAAAACATCAATTAATATAGTCTTCTATCATAATTTGCTTATCCCTCTACTTATGGATATGTCTTAACCTACCATAAAGGTATTGAAAAACTCCAAAATCCAAAACTTTAAGATGTACTCATCTCATCAATTATTCTTTCTTCCATTGGGTAGTATTCATTAAGCAAACTAGTTTCATAATTTGTAAATGGACAACACTTACCTACACATAAGAGCAGGATTTATGAAATCATTATCATATATTTAAATCTACTGAGATTTTAACAATTCATCACAATTTCTTAACTAATTAATTAATTACTTGTTGAATACTTCAATCAATGATTTTAATCAATTATAAAATACAATTTATTTTTTATTAGTGAAAATTTATTTTGTTATCATTCTCAAACATCTTTCAAATTATAATCATTTAAATTCATTCTTTTACCCTATTTATTATATTTTATTAAGAATTAAAACATTTCTTTTTTTTAATAATATTTTAATGAGGAAACTATTTAAATTACACAATATTTTTATTTTTAAATATTATTTATATATTTTGAACAGTAATATAGTATTAAAATTCATTATAAAAAAGAAATTTTCTAAACCTTAAATTATTAAGATAAAGGAAATTATGTAATCAAAATTTAATTCATTTGAAAAAAATGATCAATCATTCGTTATTTATTAGAAAATATTGATTCATTAAATTCACAATCATTATTCTCTTTATTTTATACTTTTGATTCTTTTTCCACCTAATGTACATTTGATTTTCATATTCGAATATGAACCATTTATCTTTTTATAATTACATCTTTTTTAATTTTTAAAAACCATCTTCTTTAAGATACAAGTTCTTCTGTATTTCATGATAAGTTTTTTCGCTGTAGTATATTTGAATCCTAAAAATAGAGACGCCTAATTTAAAGATTTATAATTTATACATCTATAATTTTCCAACCAGATTGAAAAACTAAATGAGTAAGGTAGAAGTATTTACTTTTTGAAACTTTCTTAGATGGTTTGCTTGTATGTCTTTATGTTGATACATCATATTTATTCATCTATTTAAAAAAAGAAATTTTAATAAATGTTTTAAACTTCTAATAATATCCATAATTTATATCAATTATTTTCATTTACTTCACAATTAATTTAGAAATTAATTAAAATTTTCAAATAATTAATTCATAATGCAATATAAATATTAATTTCTTCATTTGTTTCTATTTCACATTATATTATAAATTATTAAATCTATATTAATGTTTGGGTTGAAGAAAAAAGATTATGAGAAAATCTTAAAATACATATTTGCTCTTTGAGACAATAAGAAATCACAAAAAAGATATTATTTTCTAATAAAGATATATAATGAAAAAAAAAAAGTTAATAAAATTAGAATATCTAAATTCATAATGAACTCTAAAATATAAATGATATTGTAATAATAAAATATTAGCATAATGAATCATAATTTATTGCACATATTTAATAAGTAAAAAAACAAAAAAAATAAAAACTTATTTATAAAACACTGTTAAATTTTTTCACTATTTTTTTTTTTGCATAATTTTTTTCTTATTCTTATTCTTTTTTTCTTTAATTAATTGACAAATTTTATTCAAGACACTATTATTTTCTTGAATCTTCTCTTCAAATTTAGCATCTATTTTGTAAGAATGTGGGTCTATATTGATTAAGTGTCTTTTTCTATCATTTAATATGGGACTTTTATCTTTTTAAATCACTAGTTAGGTGCCAATAATATCTTCATCAATGACTTCAATTTTATTATTTTATTCATCAATGAGTACGCCATCTTACGATTTATTAAGATTGAAAAAATCAAAATTGTTATTAATATAGAAAAAGCCTTGCTAAATGGAAGATTTGAATTTATCTGATGCTTTTTCGTAATTCTTGAGCTTTTTATTCTTTTTGCTAAAGGTAAAAGTGATATACTTTTAATCACATTCAATCTCTTTGAAATCTTAAAAGTTAATTATTTATCCATTATCCATCCCTGATGCTGCTAATTTTTTATTTGTAAATTCAATATATAATTATCATTTATAAAGTAAGAAATTCTAATTCATCATAAAATTTATTTCAGATAATTGAAACAAGTATACCTATCGTAAAGATTACCTAGAATCAATCAAGATTTTGTTGGAGTATTTTAAATTTTTGATAAATTTCAATGAGATAGGAATGAATGGAAATTCTAAAATTAAATTTGATTATTCTTTAACATTTTTACTTGATAAGACTAAGCAATATATTTATGAATTAGATTATACGATTTCAAATCTAGAAAAAAGGAAATTATTTAATCAACTCCATCTTCAAAAGACTCTTTGTTTTATAGTGATGTAATAATTCAAACATTATTTTTTAACAACTAAATGATTAAACTTATAGTTTAATCAGAATTAGAAGTTTAGAAATTCAGTTAGTCTTTTTTCAAATGTAGTTCTAATCATAATCATTTATTGTTGAATAAAAAGATACTCAAGTAGAGTAAATATCTAGATTGAAGAATCAATTATAATTATACTTAATACTAATACTAAAATCAAAATCTCAGTAATCATACAAAGAGAAAATCTTTCATATTGTTGATATATAGATGCAATATTAAATTTAACAACAAATAACAAGATTTTTAGATATATATATAAAGTTTTATAAATTAATCATAATTAACATCAAATCCTACTTCCATATTAATTAAATACAGTATCATATTTATATAATGATTCTTAAATTTATGAGAATCCAGAAGAGAAATACTTATTGTATTAAAGTGTTTGGCTTCTTAAATTTTATTCATAAATCTAATTTTCCTATTTATTTTATTTATAATGTTCTTTTAGATTTTCCAAATACTCTATATATAAATAATGTAATTATACTTGATTCAAATAATAATTTTGGTCTTTCTTCTCTAACCAGATCAAAAACCTTTCTATATTTCTAATGAGCATATGTTAATTCTGCTTTCTTATCTAGAGGATCTTGTTTTTCTTATAAATATGAACTCGAAACAACAAATATAGGAGGAAAGATTAATTTGTATAATTATTCTTAAGTCAAATAATCTTGTTTTATTTTACATTTTAATATCTTTAATAAGGCTTAGAATTCTTACTCACTAAAATGGTATCCATATTATTCAATTAAATCCTTAATTTAGTCTTTTGATAAATATCCAATTTTCTTTGTTGGATATTTATTACTAATGACCTTCCAAATTTCATGAATATCACTAAAAACCCATTGATGTAATTCTTATTTTAATTGATTTAATTCTCTAATTGATGAAATAATTCTTTCAAAAAATCTCAATAGAAATTCTTGATTCCATTATATCATTAATAGATTAGTTTATTTTTGGATATTTGAATTCTAATGATTTTCCATACCTTATGGTAATATAAAATTCTTAAATTCTTCAAATTAAATGTCTTCTTCTAAGAAACAAAAATCATGAATATATTCCCATTCTTTTAATGAACAATGTACTTAACCTTCTAACAAAAATTGATGAAACTTCTTCTTCGTAATATAACCTCTTTTTAATTAATCAATTAATGAAAATGCTAAATGAATATCAAAATGATGATGTTGAGATTAAGCAATTCTATAATTCTCTATCTAAGAGATATATTGTTAATAATTACATGAATATCCCAAGAAGATATTGCTTTTAATAAATGTGCTAAATCTCTTTCAATTTTCTTATTATTAGTTTTTATAGTCGTTATCATGAAAAATTGTTATAAAATTTAATTGAAATATTTTTAATTATTGTTTTTTTTTTGTAATTATGAATTATTCAATAGCTAAAAGATGTAAGTATTTAATTATTGAAATAATATAAATTATGTATAAATTAAATACAATACAAGGCCATTCATTTTTTAATTTTTAGGCTCCATTAAACTACTTTTCAAAAAGAAAATTCTTTCAACTGGCAAATGAAATAAAACCAAAAAAGAGAGATTCTTTTGGACTAATAGTTATTTCACAGTCTCTTCCAAAAGGTTTTTGGTTTAGAGATTATGATGCAGTTAGATCTGTTAATAAACGGTTAAAGGAAAGTCGTCCTAATAATCACAGAATACAGAATCCAATTTATTTTAAGAGAAGAAATATTCAAGAATATTTATAAAACTATACAACTAGAGCATGTACACCAAATCCTACTAAAAAATGGAGAAAATATCGTAATTTGATTTTGGAGAACAATACTTATATTTAAATGTCAAGAGAGTAAATAAAATAAAAATTTTAAGAGACTCTAAATTTATTGATTCCTAATAAATAATCTTCACCTCCAAAGAGTAAACGTGGTTCATTCTTAAATTAGCAATAATAACAATGTTTAATTGATGTACATACTAGTTAACAATCTAAAATTAAACATTTTAGTAGGCAAACATCAAAAAGAAAGGATGAAAGTATGAGATCTTTCGAAAGTCATTTTTAAGACATAAATTGTGAACAAAGCAATTTTAATCATTCATATTTTTAAGAAAAACTTATATCATCTAATTAGATTACTCCTAGAAATAGATTTTTCAAGGATTGCTTTAGATTATATGGAATAGATTCTTAAATTTAAGCACCAAAAAATAAATTAATATTTACTGATTCTGTATAATTAGTCGAATCCTTAGAAACTAGATGTGATAAAAATGAAGCTATCTAAATCTAAACTCAGAAATCTAATTCAAAGTAGAATAATTTATTAAATTTAATTAAGAAATAAAGACAAAAGAATTTATAGAACAAGATAGCATCTCCAAAGTTTTCTAAGTTAAATAATTCAAACTCTAAAGATAATAAAATTCTTAATATCTATTTTCCATCTCTCAAAAAAAACTATGCAAGAGATCTTTCTTGATTGTATTAATATACTTTTATATTATTAAAATATTAGTTAAATAAACAAACATTAAATTTAATCAAATTATAACAATATTAAAAATAAATTCATAATCAAACTTAGAGTTATTTAGAATTTACATATCTTATGTTACTCATAATGGTATATAAAATTTCAGAAAGCGTTTTGATTCAATTTGAAATAGATAATCTGAATTCTAAATGAATCCAAAGAAAAAATTTCATTTCAGATTATCGAATACATGGATTAGTTTGAAGACTATAAATATAAGTATTTGGATCCAAACATAATTTACGATTTGTAATACATCTCTCTGCATAAAATAGGATTAATTTTTTAATAAATAATGCAAGAAATTTTTGTATTAAATTATGTAAAAAATAATTTTATTTAACTTTTAAAGATATTTAATTATAATAACTAAATAACTAAGGTTAAGTCAATATAAAATACTACTTTTGCTCTTTATCTAAATTAGTTATATTAAGTTCATTATTTCTTATTTTTTAAATAATTCTCATTCATTTTCTCCTTTGAATGAAAAACTCATTTAAAATATCGAAACGAATAGGACTCCAGTAGCCTAAATTTCTGTTCTCTTCTATCATATTTAAACAATTTTAGATGTCATATTACTAGGAGTACCACAATGACAAGTGAAAGTTTGATTTGTAAAAATACTAAAGACAAAATCAATAAGTTTGATTCTTTTTTTTTAAGATAAGAATGTTTTCTAATTTAATATATCTATGAAAGGTATTTATATGATGAATGTAATGTAAAATTTTAAGTCATTAATGGATTATCTTAAATGCAAATTTTTTGGATAATGTTTTTATACAAGTTGATTTGAACAATTGATGCAAAGAATCAGTATCATAATAATCTATAACTAGATTGATATAAGAAATGTAATGTTCGAAATGATAAAGTTTAGTGATTTGATCATTTGAGAGAATTAATTTCTTAGATAAGATTATTAAATCTTTCACCTTTGATTAATGACTTATCATACATTTTGATGGCTACTTTATTAAACTTTTGAAAAGTTCGCATTTTAACAATAACATAGCTACTTTTACTAATGCTTGGTTTTATAGAATAGATTTTATCATCACAAGTAGATATTTAAAAAAGATTATGTTGATAAACAATAGAAAATTTAGCTATCTTCTATTTTTTTAAGATATTAATTGCTGATTAGTATTATTATGTAATTTATTATTAGATTATTATAAATTTTCTTTAGTGTTTAAATAAGGTTATTAATGATTAAAGATGTTGTTATCTTCAAATTTAGATAATTTTCTATCTTAAGTAGGAGTTCTAATTTAGAAGTAAGTAGTAAGATTGTTAGGTTGATAATTGTTTTATTTAGATTGAAGAAGTTTAGAGGAATTATAAGCAATGTTTTCTTTATTATTAATTAATTAAAGGCGTTTCTATGGAAAGTTTATGAATATTTATAAATCTGTTAATTATTAAATATTAATACAGAAATAGACTATAAAAATATTAAACATATTCTTTTTAATAGTAGGAAATCTAAAATCCTAATTTACTCATCTCCTTTATGTACCTATTACAATCTAAAATCAGAATAAATTAAGTGTTTTTTGTTTTGAACTTTTAATACATAATTCACTTAACAATATAGTTTAATTTCTTTAATATATATTCATAGAAGTTATTTTGTAAAAAGCATGTTTTTCATAATTTTTTAATAAAGAAAGTAGATCTTTAGATTTTTTAAAATTAGAAAAATTGGTTCATTTTATATTATTAAAGAACAAATTGAATTTATATAATATAATATATATATTAAGAATTTTAATATAAAATTTTAATTATTTGAAAATCAAAAAGAAATAATTACAGAATTTGGTATAAATTACTTAAATAATGTAATAAATATAAATGATCTTGAATAAAATTGTAAATTTAAAATTAATATTTTAAAAAGCAAGTTTGTTTAGACAAATAAATTAAAATAAATCTAACCTATTAATATATTTAATAAATGATATTAAAATAGAGATGTTATAATGGAAGGATATTGAAATAATTTGTAATAAAATTGATTAAGAATTTGTATAAATAACAGGTATATAATTGAAACAACTTAATTAATTAATCAAAAAGAGAATGTCAACACAGTAATCCTTATATAATGATGGGTTTGAAATGGATAGTTTTAATTGAATCTATTTTAGGTGAGGGTTTAGATTGAATAGATAATTATTCAAATTTTGGATTAATATTATCTGATTTATATGGTTTAAATGCTGATTTGTTAGGTACTGATTTAATAATGATTAATAGATACATAAATTGGCATAGAAAGCAGTAGGTTATTCTTCTTTTTCAGAATCATCATAAATTTGAGTCATTTTGCGTGATTGTTTTGATATTGATTTTTGTAATTTAATTTGTTAAAATGAACTAGAATTTTAGTTTGAATGTGTTTATAATAAAATTAAGTTGGTCTAATAATAGTAAATAAAAATATATACATTTGAAAGTATTTATTTTTTGATTGAATAGATTAATTTTTTAATTCTTTTAAGTACAAGATTAGTTGGAGCAAAAGGATAATTTCTAAGAATAGATGGTTTTCTCATGAGTAGAAATTAATAGGTAGTATATATAATTTTAGGACCATTCTATTCTTTGATAAGTTATGAAAGTGTGATACGTTTAAGAAGAGATTACAACTAAAATAATGTTGAATATATTTACTTGTTCAATTAGTTAATCTTCATTCTTTTACATAATTAATTATGATAGTATTCGTTAAAATTCAATATTATATGAGACATGATGTGTTTTAATGGTTGGATTGTTTGCTTTGATTTATTGTGTATTTAGTTAGATTCTTTTAATTAATGAATGTAATTACTTTTAATTATTCTAAGTTTGAACAACATATTATATAGGCGTTCTATTAGTAAATATGGTAGTGATCTAATAAATAGATTTAATGTATTTACAACTCCATTTTCCCAAATTGATGAGTTTTTATTAACTTGAAATTACACACTTTGATTTATTTCGAATATTGGTTCCATTGGTTTTTGAATTTGAATACTATAATAATTAATATTTTAATAACGATTTTAATAAAAATATATTAGTTTTAATGAATATAGCAAGTCCAAGTTTTCATATGAATTAAGAAAATAATCACTAATTAAATGAAATAAGTTAATGTCTTAAATACACTGCTTATATAATTGATAATAATGTATGTAAATTATTGATATATAATATCAATAGATGATTCTAACATCCCCATTACATTAGACATTAAGTAATTAAACTGTAACATTGGATTAAGTACTTCCTGCTAGATTAGAAAAGTATTTTTACAATATTTACATTAGTTATATGATGGCTACTATTGAATAAGATTAAAATTTCCCACAATATATTTCAAATTTGTCATTGCAAGAGATTCTTAATCAAATTAGACATGATTAAATACTTTAATTTGCTAAACCTCTTGGTATTGATATACAAATAGTTTAAGCTTAGTGATCTAACAATAAGAGTAGAAATAATTCCAAATTATAAATACATAATCCAATAAACAAATTGGATTTCAATAAGTAACAAACTTATATTAAATATAGAAAAAAACAGATGGTTTGTTATCTAATTAAATTTTTAATAGTAAAATTAATAACACTAGATCAATTAGTCCATAACCTATGAGTACAATTATTCATAAAACTTAATCCAATACATAATCATAGATTCCAATCCTATAAACTGAATCAGGATTTATTAATGATTAATTCATGAACTTGAATCCTAATTTATCAAGTAGTAATAGTTTATTAAATGATACACCTTAAAGTTATTAATAACATTAATTAAACAAATGGACTGACAAATCTAAAGAAAAGATTCTATTTCAAGATAATTTTATGGTAGAAGAAGAAACAACTAAATAACCTAAACCAAATACTATTATAATTAAGAAAAGTGAGGATCCTTAATTTTTTTAATAATTAAAAAATGCTCGTGTTGCTTCACCAAATTTAAAATAAGTAAAAGGATCAGGTTTATCACCAGAACCTTATAATTAAAATAAATCTAAATCTCCAGATGTTTTATAAGTAAATTTACCAACTAATTGTAAGAAATGGGAAACAAATTCAAATATTAAATAATTATCATAATAATCATAATAATAACCTTAAAATAAATTACCTGATCATTTTAAAAAATTATTAACTGATAGTAGTAAAAGATAAAATATTAGCAAACCTTTTGATTCAAATAATACTAAATTTGCTCTTATTTAATCTAATTCAAATGCTCATTTAAAAAAGACTAAATAAACAAAATAATAAATAATTTAAGATTCTTTAAATGATAATTAAATAAAGGTTGTTTAAAGTGAAAAATAATTCACTCCAAGAATGAATGAATAAGAATATACAACTAATTAAGACATTTAGATGATGCTTAGTGAATAATAATCAATTCCTAAAAGTAGAAGTTAGAATAAAAAATAAGATGAAAAATTTAATGAATATATCTATCATTAGAATTAAAATTTTAAAGATCATTTTTCATTTAAACCTTAATTTGAATAAAAATAATTTAAATAAATAGAGGTTAAGTAGGAAATAACTCCATAAATTATATAATAATAATTAGTTGAATCAAAATCTATAAGAGGAATATCACCATAAAATAGATCAATTTAATAATAATTTAAACAATAAAATAATATAATTTAATAACCTCCAATACCTCCTAATCAATAAAAAGAACCTATTTAAATTAAATTAGATATTAAATAATTTATGAATTCAAACAAATTAAAAGATTAATAAGAGCGTACTCCAAGATCTATTAGTCCAATTTATAGTTAACGATAATAATTAGGTATTTAAATTAAAATTTCATTTAGGGGTAACTAATGAAAATGGACGATCTTATTTTGTCAATTTGAATTTTTAGAAATGATTTATTAATTAATTATAAATGAATTCAATAATTATCTAATTTCATTTATTTATATTGAGATATTATTAATTATATTATCTATCTAACCATAAATTGAAATTTCATCATTATAAAATTACATAATTGATAATTTATAATTAATTAAATATATTAATGATGTTTTCTAAACAAATTCAACATCCTCAATCTCAAAAGTCTAGTGATTCTAGTTTATCTAATTAACAATTTAATTAAAGGCCTTTTCGATATGAAAACTAATCATCAATTAAAACTCATTGGTAAAAACTTAAATCAAATGAAACTGACAATGATCCTATAACAAGAAGGGAAAGAAATGTTAAACCAATAGTAATAAATGATTATTATATTAGACTATCTTATAAGAAATTATAAGTTGCAACAATTAAAAAAAACTGATAAAATTAGTTAGTTCATTTCTATAATCGGAATAGCAATTAACTTAAATTTATGAATAATTAGAAAAATAGTCAATAGTTTCCCTCTTTTTAAAAATTCATCAAATGCAGAGTCCTTAACTTGTATAATTTATGCATTTACTTTATGATTCTTTGTTTTCTTTGGATTCATCAGTTAGTTCTAAGATTTATACTCATTAAGATGTTCTTAAATACATACTTTTATCAAATTATGAATCAATTTAAGGATAAGCAGGTTAATTGACTAGAATACTTGAAATTTTATCAGAAATGTAAATTCTCAATCCTGATTTTTTGGCATTTGAAGAAGAATTTTAAGTTGATATGGAGGAAGTATAATATTAAATTTATAATTTAGAATTCTAATTCATACAATAAAGTTTAATTAAGAATTCTATTTTTGATAAGTTCAATTGATATTTTAAGAGCTTTGAAAGGTTCAGTAACTTTGTTTGAAAGATTAGAATAATTTGTATTTTCATAAATTAAGAATGGATAAATGCCAAATATAAATGATATGTAAACTTTAGTGATAGCTTATATTTTATTGAGTGAATAATTAGATATTGCTAATAAGTTAGGTTATTCCAAATAAGCAGTAGAAATTATAGGAAAGTCTTAAGATTATTCAATTTTTGAATTAAAAAAAAGATTTATGAATAATGCAATGAAATTATCATAAAAATATTTGGGATCTTAAGTTTATGATTAAATTGTTAGTATGAATAGATCATTTAGTCCAGGATTTAATAGATAATCAATGACTCATTTTAATTAATCAGAAAATATATCATATTAATTTCTGGTTAATTAATTAAAGATGGATTATACATTAAATAATGATGAAAATTTTTAAATAGATTCTAAATGTAATAATTTATTGACTAGTCCTTTAATTTATTAAGTTATGGATAAGTAATATAAATTATTATTATTATTGTTAGACTTTTACCATCTACATAAAAAAAGGAGAAAGTGAATTCAATTTTCACTGAATAAAGTTAAATTGAAAAAAAGAGTTAACCTATCATAATAAAAAAATAGTTCTCTATTAAATAATTGAAATAAGAGAATATGATATAATCTCAAACTCAACAATAAGTATCAACTCCATCTTAAAAAAACTCATAATAAGTAATATCATTAAATAATTAAATTAGATGTCTTAAACTTAAGGATTTTAATCATCATAATTTAAACCATAATCAAATTTTAATGTTAAACCAGGTTTAGATTCTAATGAATTTGAAATTTTATAAAATAAATTAGGCCGTCAATAACAAGAATTAGAAGAATTGAAATAATTGTATAATACAAATATGGCTTAAAAAAAGAATGAACTTAATTAAGCTAATTAATAAAATTAATAAAATGATTAATTAAAGAAAAAAATTGAAGTTTTGGAAAATAATTTAGTTTAATTAAAGAATGAAAATACTACTTATAAAAAAGAAAAAGATCAAAAATAAAGTGAAGTAAATGAATTAAGATCATTCATCTAAGATTTATAAGATAAATAGTTGAAATTAGAAAAATTAGTTTAATAGTAATAATAATAATAATAATATCAACAATAATAATAACAATAATTATTATAATTATAATTGTAATAGCAATAATAATAATAAGCTTCTCCATAATAATAATAATTACCAAATCCTGGATTATAATATTTAAAAACATAATAAAGTAGTTATTCAACAAAAACTAATACTTAAACTTAAATGAACATTTAAATTCCATCAAATAATACAGATGATAAAAATAGATTATTTGTAAGAGCTTAAAGTTAAATGAGTCATTCTCCAGGAGAAGAATTTAAAAATGAAATGGATGATACAAGTCCTAGAATAATAAAATAAAATTAAGCATATTTACTATAATTATTAGATATGTTAGATTTAAATACTTCTTTCACTAAAACATATACTAAATTACATTCAATTAATGAAAATAATTCATGGGAAAGTGATGTATCAATAGTTCACAATTTTAAACTTGAAGGTTTAATAACTGATTCAAATGAAGGTAAAGTACTAATGTTAAAAGCATATAATTAATAAAATATTGCCTGTTCAGAATCAATATCATTTGATCTTTTAAAAAGTCTTCTTTTTTATGTTGATTTTCAAGATACTCTTCCAACAAATTTACCAAACATTAGTACAACTCATTAATTCTTTAAATATCTTATTCTACCATATACTGCAGTAATATAAGATGAAAATACTTAATAATATAAAATTTAATTATGGCCTAAACCTTATGGATTATTAAATGGATTAAATTTAAAATTAGATTTTTTAGATCTTAATTGTTTAGTATATGTTCATCATTTAGAAACAGATTAATTTAGAATAATTATATTAGATCCAGCCAGTTATGATTGTTTTAAATTAGATTTAGAGATGGATTATTCTTCTATGGATGCATTCTTTTTAGATGCAAAATCTATCAAAGATGAATATAATTATTATTGCAAAAGTAATTTATTAAAACTTACTGATAAAACTCCTAAATTTGGAGATGATGATGTAGCTGAAGCATTAGTAGAAAGACATTTTTCAAAAGATAAAGTTAAATCTGTTTAAGCAGGAATTAAATAAAATTAATCTTATGGTTAAGAAAATATGACATTGAAATAACCACTTGAATTTCTCAAATTCATTAAATAAATTGTTTAGATTTTTGAATAATAACTCAAATTATAATAAATAACATTTCCAAATAGTTTACTTGGTATGAAATATTTCAGATGTAAAACTTGGAATGCAGGTACTAAAAGCTAAATACAAATTGTTAAAGAACAATTAGATCAATAATAAATTTCTATATATTTGGCTAATTGTTTTGAATCTTTTGGTCCAAATAAATCTAAACTTAAAGTTAAAGGAAGCACTAATATTAATTTTTCTGCTATTTAAAGAGAATTTGCTGTCTCTTACGATAAATTACAAATTGAAGAAAGAGCTACTATTTTATAAACTATTTTATATTCATTTAATTTGAATATTTTTGAAAAAGTATGTGAATAAGATGAACAATAATTTGATAAAAATCCTATTGTTTAAAGTATTTATGATTGTGGTTCATATAGAAGGTATTTAATATAAATAATTTAGAATTATTGCTTTTGATAATGGCAAAATTTCTTAAGTAACTGTATAAGTTATAGGATCAAATAGAAGAATGTGTGGTATTAAATTTTCTGTTTTTAATGTTGATGAAACTATTGAAAATGGAGTTTTCTTACCTGTTTCATAAAGTGAATGGGATACAAGAGCTATGGAAAAATAAAAAATCAAAGCATCAGTTTAAAATGTTCCTTTTGCAGAATACTTATTAACTTAAATTCTCAAATGTCCAACAACATAAACTGTATTTAATTTATTTTAATATAGATTTTGTTTAAAAAGATTTTAAATGCGGATTTCAAATCTAATTAAATTAATAGTAATGAAATTAAGAAGAGAAAGACTTTCATTGAAAGAATCGATAATTTATTAACATGGTAAGAGGTCATTGCAAATTTATGAGTATTAAATTAATTAAATCAATTGTATATCTCTACATTTTTAATTATTATAATATTAAGAGAAAATCTTTTTAAATATTTTTATTCATTTCTACAATAAGAAAACTATAAAATTATTTATTTAATTCAATTATTATTATTAATATTAAATTAATCTGATTTTACTATCTTTATATTTATAGCAATCGATTATTGAAGAATAAGTTTTCTCAATTTTTTAATACATCTCTAATTCTTACAAATTTGAGTTTCAACTACCATACAGCTAGATGATAAACAATTTAAATTTTTATAATCTTGATCAATTTAGTTTATTTGTGACTTAATACTTTTTTTTACTAAAATCTTTAATATAATTGGTATAATTAATGCGAAAAAAGAATACTTAAATTTAACAAAATATTCTAAGCATTGCTATTAATTAACTTAAATATTCGATTTCTAGTTATTAGTACCTAAGATATTTTGATAATGATTAATTCAGGATCATAAGCGATTAAATTTAATAAAAATTCATGAATTTTTGATAGCTTTTGTTTCTGTTATAATTTTCTGTTTATTCATTGAGTTTATATTTCTAAAATATAAATAATTTTATTATTTATTATTATTATGAATTGATTTATTTGTATGTAATATTTGTATTATCTATTCCTTCTATCTAATCAATTTCATCTTATTGTTTAATAATTATTATTTGATTCATTCTATCCTTTTAAACTTTAAATAAATATTTAAAGACAATTCGATTTATTATTTAATTATTAATATTTCTTATAATGTCTGACGATAAATTACCATTTGAACTTGATATCATCTAATATGATTGGTTAATCTTAGGAACTGGATATGAAGAAACTCTTTATAATGCACATCTAAGCAAAGTATTAAAGTCATCTGTAATACATATCTATTCACTCATTAGAATCTAATCTTAGATTTTGGAAATACTTATTCCAGTAACATAAGAACGATGAATTTTAAAGAATTTCATAAATTAGATTCTGAATTACCTACTAATTAAAATTTACCATATCTACATAAAAGACCTATATTTACAATTGTAGATCCTAATTAAAAATAATAGTAAATTAATCAACTATTTGCTAATCAAATTAATTCAGGATAAGAATTTAAACACTTTAATATAGATATGCAACCTAAATTACTTTTTAGTAATAGTCCTTCTGTTTCTATTATGCAATAAGCTAATTTAGATCAATATATGGATTTTAAGGCTGTTGAAAATTAATTTTTCTATGATTAAACTACTAAAACATTTAAATTAACACCTACATCTAAAAGTGATATCTTTAAATGTTAATTTCTTACTTTAAGTGAAAAAAAACAATTTTTCTAAGTATTCCATCTATTCATTATTTTAGTTACTCCATACACTTGTTAAAATATTTCATAAAGTTATCAATTATCAAATTGATTAAAATTCTACACAAGAATTTGATCAAAACACAACATCATTAGATGAAGAAACCTATCAAAAATATTTATAATATAAAGATCAATAAGCTGTATTATTTTTGAATGAAATCACTTCTAAATCATTAAATAAAGATAAAGTTTATGCTATATTATTTTATTCCATATGTTTTATTACTTAGAGTTTTCATAATCAAAATAATTTTATATCTACAGAGGAATTCATTACAAAATTTGGTAAATGCATCAAATCTATGGGTATTCATAGTAAATCTCCTTTTCTTTACACCAATTATGGAACTGGAGATATCCCTTAAGCATTTTGTAGAATATCAGCAGTTCATGGATCAGTTTTTATAACACAAAGTTAAATTAGAATATATAAAATAGACAAAAAAGATAATGAATATCTTATTTCATCAAACTTACATCAAGATTAAATTAGAATCAAATAAGGAATTATAATGTGTAAATAAATATATGATTCTTATATTTAATTGAATTAACCTGTAATTAATTAAGAACATTAATCAAAATAAAATTATGTTCTTATGAGATTGATTTTAGTTACAACTAAAAATTAAAAAGTATTATGTGAAGAAATTAGATCTTTAATACTTGATTAATTGATTGAAGATTAAAATACTTAACATTAATTAGATCCAAGTATTTATGTTATACCATGTAAACTATTCAGCAATAATCCTATATATATCTTTCGAGCAGATAACAATAGCAATAGTGCCTATAAGGATTATGAATTGTTTTATGTTTGGACATTATTAGAAGAGTAGAATTAGATAGAATTGAAGGAGAATTTAAAATAAATAATAATAGATATTGATTCAAAGTATAATGAAGGAGAAGAGAAGAGTATCAATTACATCTGCTATGAGAAAGTATTATTGCAGGAAATGAATAAAGGAGAGTATAGTTTTTAACCAAATACAGATGAAAATATGTATTGATCATAATTATATTAAGTTTCGTTACTACTGAAGATAATGACGATTTAGATTTGGATGCCCAAACAAAAGCATTTATGAAGAATGTTTAGAAGGTGAATGTTAATTTTGAAGAAAACTACTATATGGTTGAAAAGATAGCTAAAGAGTAATAACCATAAGAGTAAGAAATGGATAATCAATAGTATATATTGAATTAGTTAATGAATATAAAACAAAAAGAATGATAATAATTATTAATATTATTATTTTTATTTATTCTCCAATGAGAACTTCAGCATACTCTTTCATTGGAGTTCGAAAACATTTCTGGAAGGAAGTGTTATATAACATATAATTATATGAAGATTGTATAGAGATGACTGAAATTGTAAAATAATATAATATAAAAGAAATCTAAATAACCAAAATATATATTGCCATTGAAGTTATCAACAGTAATAGAGATAATGGGATAGGTAAGTAAAAATAATAGAAATTTCAGTGGATTTTAATTTAGATATAAAGATTCGACTAAATTAATGAATGGCCGATCTTAAGATATTGCTACGTAAAAATATATATTTATATGAATAGATTTATTGATATGGTAAGTAATTAAATAACTTTTTTAAATATTACGATGTTTTATTAAGCAATTGAAATAATTGGAAGAGGTAGCTCATCCAGTGTTTCTGTTTTAATTGATATTTTTTCTTAGGTATAATATGCTGTTAAAAGTATAGGAAAAGAATATATTATGAAAAACGATAAATTAAAAGTAAACATCTCTTTATTGTAGATATTATTTGAAAATGAGGTGAAGATTTTACAAGAATTAACTAAATATAATTAACACAATTATTTTGTTCATTTATATAGAGTCTTTGAGAGCCAAACATCTTATTATTTAATATTGAATTTAATGAAAGGCAAATCACTTACAGCCTTCTATAATAAAATCAAAGTAAGCAATAATATTAAATTATTTGAAATTAGAAATAATCAGATTCTAAGATATTTTCTCCAGATATTATAAGATCAATTATGAAGAGACTGCTTTCTGGTGTATCTCTATTACATTATCATTAAGTACATAAATAATTTAATTTAGATAATTCATAGAGATCTTAAACCAGATAATCTATTATTTCTTGAACCAAATAATGTAGAAACTCTAACAATTGCTGATTTTGGATTAGCAACTTATAGTAATGTCGAAAAGTAATAAAATATTGTTATATAGATATTCATATCCTATATGTGGTACTAAAGGTTATATGGCACCAGAAATTACTAATTATAAAGAAGGATAAATTAAATATGATCAATAAATTGATATTTATAGCATTGGTGTTATTTTTAATTGGCTGTATTTATATACTAATCCTAGACTTACTGGTGATATTGATAAACATAATCCTAAATTATAAAAATTAGATTCTATTACTTTGAATTTATTAAATAATCTTCTTAGAGCAAATCCAAAAGAAAGATTATCAGCATAAACAGCACTTGATCATCCATATTTTTAAAATGATGATGTTACAAAGAAGACTTTTCAATCTTAATATGGATTTGTAACTCCATTTATTATTCTAGGAAAATGTTGATAATGAAACCATTGTACATCATAAAGATTTAAAGAATTATTCTTTGCCTCTCCTTAAAAAACCTTAAAGATAAATTTGATACATATATATTTATATATTCTTTAATCTCTATATAATAATTTACTACTCTTTTAGTATTCTTAAATTTATACTTATATTAAAAAATATTATTAATGCTAAAAAAATACCTCTCTTCATCTTCATCTAATGAATAAATAAACAACAAATAGATAGTAACTAAAATAAGTATAGAAATATAATCAAAAATTTAGATCTAACTTAAAAAACAATAGATTATGGTACTCCTAAAACTTAACTAAATCTAGGATTAAATGAAAATAGTCCTTCCGATAATCAATATACTTTCTAATAACAAATCCATTCAATTAAGCCTTATTAACATAAATTACTCAGTAATTAAGTCAATTCAACTTAGAAAAAGATGATTCTCCTGCATTAAGTGGTTCCCCAATTTAAGACTTAGACAGAATTATTACAAAAAAGGATGATGAAACATTTAAATTTAGATCAGCATCCTAAAACTCTAAGAAATTACAATTCAAACCATAAAGTAGTGAAAAGAAATGTTCATCTAATGAAAAAATTAAAGTTTTTGATGTCTTTAATTAAAGTCCAAGAATGAATAAATAATCCAACGCATAAATTACTACTAAAGAAAACTTAACAGTTTAAATTCAATAACAGAAATACAGTTAACAAAATCAACCTAAAATGTCATCTAATAATCTAAATTAACAACATAAGAATAACGTATTATAAAAGAAATCATGTAAACCCCCAATATCAAGTAGATTAAATGAATCAAGAGATATTCTATAATATATGAGAAAATATTCAACAAATAATAAAAAAAGTATTCATTTCTTAGAAGGAACAGGAACACAAAAACATTCATTTTTATTTCATTCTCCATAACATAATGAATCTGCTGCATATAGTTCCTCAGGGAAAAATAATAATCAGGATATACATAATAATCTTAAGTTCGACTCTGATAATCATAACAATGAAAATATTCTTGAATTATTATTACTTTCAACTTAAGAACTTAACAACAAATTTAAAAATAAACAACTTGAAAGAAATGAATCAGAAGATAAAATACCTATGAAAATTAGAGTTAGAGCAGGAAGTAAATTTCCAAAAGACTTCTTTTGAATTAATCATAACTATTGTTAATTATCAATCACAATTCAACCTTTTTTTCATTACATCTTTTATTTTATCAACCCATAATTAAGCTGGATGTTCACATTCCTTTTAAATATTTTAATAATCTCACTTTAAAATAATATTTCTTTTTACTAGGAACATCTATATTGAATTATCCTTTCAATAATTCTATTGTTACAGATTTATCTAATATTATCTAACCCTTTATAAAATGTATTAATTAATATAAATACCTTTTTTAATCCTGTATTAGGATCAAAATATTCTAATTTCGGAATTTCAAAATCATATAAAATCATATTTCTTAATTTATATATCATCCACCCTATAATAATAAATTATCCTTACCTGTTTTCTTATTAACTAAACCAGTTATGATTACTTCAGGTTTCAGAGTTGCACTTTATTTTTTTTATGTAAATTCTTATGTTGTAATCTTTTTTAAATGTATCTAAACATCTTCAGGTCCTTTCTAAGTCCACAATTACTACCAATTAACATCTTTAAAAAATGGATGACTTTTTAATTCTCTATAAGTATTTTTTGAATCTATTCAAATTTATATTAATTTTACTGGGCAATCCACCACCTAATCTACTCAAAGGATCTCTGACTAATAATTTACTTATTAAGTCCATTCCATCCTAAGGAATTTTATTATTTTTAGAATACTAACATGATCTCACCTTCTAAAAAACTAAATATTCTGTTTAATCACAAAATGGAGTTGTTCCTGTAAACATTTTATATATTATGCATCCTAATGCCCATAAATCTGCTTAAGGACCACAAATATCATCTTCTAATAATTCTGGTGATACATATTCTGCTGTCCCTACAAATGTAGCTTTATGTTTCTATTAATATTAATCTATTTCATCTATAAATCTTTCATCTTATTTGCTTAACTCCCTTAATTCATTTAATTTATCTCGAACATTCTCTGGTAAATTATGTTCATCAAAAAAACTAGCTGTTCCAAAATCAATCATTTTTATATGTAAATTATTTGCTACCATTATATTTTCTGGCTTAACAACATCATTAATTTATTACTTTCACATCTCTATGTGCAATCCCATTTGAATGTAGTTATTCAAGTATTGTCACAATCTCAGCTGTATAAAATACTATTGACTGTTAACACATATTCCCTATAACATCATTATTTCTATTACTATTTATCTTTAGGAAATTTGCAAAATCCCCCCCTTCCATAAACTCTAATACTAAATATATTTATGCTGAACTCTGGAAACTAGCTATCATATTTATCAAACCAGGATGTTTAACCCTTGATAACACTTCTTTCTCTATAAAAACTTAATATTGCTTTTTTTCCTATTTTATCCTTAAATTATTAACCTTTATCAGCAATCTTTTCTCCATTGCTTTTATTGCTACTAATTATCCATTTGCTTTGCATTTTGCTAACATTACATCCCCATAAGAACCTGATCCTAGTTTTTCTAAAATTTCATAATCATTTAATGTATTCATTTTTATAAATAAAATTAAACAACATATATAAATATTTCCATCTAAACCAATAACAACTCTCATCTTTTTATTCTTCTTTTATAAATAGATATTTACCATCTATCAAATACATACTCATCTTATTTTTCTAAATAATTACTTTTTATCTCACTAATTATATTTTTTTTTCCTTTGAATATTTTCAAAATCATTTCTGTTCGATTAGTTCATTAAAAAAAATTATTTCTAATTATGACAAGATAATTAAATCTCTAAACAAACACAGATAGTAAAGAGTCAATTTTATTCATTATTTTGTAATGAAAATGAGTGGAAAATGGATAAAATTTTCAATAATCNACTAAATATTCTGTTTAATCACAAAATGGAGTTGTTCCTGTAAACATTTTATATATTATGCATCCTAATGCCCATAAATCTGCTTAAGGACCACAAATATCATCTTCTAATAATTCTGGTGATACATATTCTGCTGTCCCTACAAATGTAGCTTTATGTTTCTATTAATATTAATCTATTTCATCTATAAATCTTTCATCTTATTTGCTTAACTCCCTTAATTCATTTAATTTATCTCGAACATTCTCTGGTAAATTATGTTCATCAAAAAAACTAGCTGTTCCAAAATCAATCATTTTTATATGTAAATTATTTGCTACCATTATATTTTCTGGCTTAACAACATCATTAATTTATTACTTTCACATCTCTATGTGCAATCCCATTTGAATGTAGTTATTCAAGTATTGTCACAATCTCAGCTGTATAAAATACTATTGACTGTTAACACATATTCCCTATAACATCATTATTTCTATTACTATTTATCTTTAGGAAATTTGCAAAATCCCCCCCTTCCATAAACTCTAATACTAAATATATTTATGCTGAACTCTGGAAACTAGCTATCATATTTATCAAACCAGGATGTTTAACCCTTGATAACACTTCTTTCTCTATAAAAACTTAATATTGCTTTTTTTCCTATTTTATCCTTAAATTATTAACCTTTATCAGCAATCTTTTCTCCATTGCTTTTATTGCTACTAATTATCCATTTGCTTTGCATTTTGCTAACATTACATCCCCATAAGAACCTGATCCTAGTTTTTCTAAAATTTCATAATCATTTAATGTATTCATTTTTATAAATAAAATTAAACAACATATATAAATATTTCCATCTAAACCAATAACAACTCTCATCTTTTTATTCTTCTTTTATAAATAGATATTTACCATCTATCAAATACATACTCATCTTATTTTTCTAAATAATTACTTTTTATCTCACTAATTATATTTTTTTTTCCTTTGAATATTTTCAAAATCATTTCTGTTCGATTAGTTCATTAAAAAAAATTATTTCTAATTATGACAAGATAATTAAATCTCTAAACAAACACAGATAGTAAAGAGTCAATTTTATTCATTATTTTGTAATGAAAATGAGTGGAAAATGGATAAAATTTTCAATAATCCAAAAAATTCTAATAAAAATTCACATATTAATATTTCTAAATTGATTAATAATCTAATAATAAATGCTAGAAAATGGGTCTAAATTAAGGTTATCCTAACCCGAACTCAATAAAAATAAAGTATAATTAAGCAAAAATTAAAAGAACGTAAAGCTTTAAGGATGGTTAAAAAAGAAAAGTCCAGCAATATTAAAGGGATGGCAGAAAAGGTATAAAAAATACAAAATTTAGATTTTTTATGTTGATAGAAAACGAAGGATGTAAATTGGTTTATTTTGAAGATGATGTAATAGATAATTTTTAAATAATATATTATTAGAAAACAAATTCAAAGCCAAAAGGTGCTTTTGAAATTTAAGATAATATTCTTATAGAATAACAAGGAGAAGATGAATTTACAATAAAATTTATCGGTAGAGATTTAGAATTGAAAGCAAAAAATGACGAAGAAAGGAAGACATGGATAGAAACTTTAGAGTTTTGCAAATGTTTATCTAAGAACTTAAAAAGAAAGTAGCTAAGTGTAGATGAGGATGTTTCAAAATCAAAAGGTGAGTTTTCATGGTTATTATAATAGGTTCAACTCATAAAAAGGTTGATTTGTAAACTACTTAAATAGTTTAAATAGAGAAAGAGAAAATGGTGAACGAAAATTTTCAAGGAAACAAAGATACATAAAAAAAGTCAATTTTCTAAGCATAATAGTTTGATGATAATTAGATTTTAGAAACTTTAGGATTTTAATAGTTAAATTAGAATTAAATGTTGAAGTCTAGATTAGTATTTGGATGTTTGGGGAAGAGAAGTAAATAAAAAATGAAAATATACAAATAAAGATGGTTTATTTTAGTTTCTGCTAAACCACTTGTAAAATATTAATGTAAATATAAAAGTTTCCAGAAATTAATGATGATGAATAGGTTTTGTAATAATCAGATATAAATTTGGAATTGGATACATTAATCTATATAAATTAAAATGGTAATGAAAAGTAGATGAAAAGAAAAGTATATTTGAAACTTTAGAATTGTAAAGAAATAATTATAAAAAATATGCAAAAGTCTTCAGATAATGGATTTATATTTAAATTAAATATGGGAGACAAAATATATAGCTTAATGACAAATAGTGAAAAGGATAGAATGAAATGGTAGAAAGGATTAAATGAATCAATGAAAACTTGCAGAGAAATAAATAATAATTTAAAAATTAAAATCTAGAAAAATATTAATCCAATAATAAGGATATATGATATGGAATAAAGTTTGCCTATTCGGAGATAAAAAATAAAAGAGAAACTTGAACTTGACATTCAAAGAATAGAATTAGAATAAAATATAAATGAATAGACTCGATTTTAAAACTAATGGGATTTATTATGTTGTTTGATGTTAATTGGATAAGATATGATAAAATCGATTGAGTGTTGTATAGTAAAAGATCCCTAACGATAAGATATAATTTAAGAATACATAGATGTATATCATGAGAAAATATGTTACAACATCAGTGAATTTTGGACTATAAATAATAAATATCTAAGTTTAAATGAAATATAGGGATTCGCTACATGGCTATTTGAATATTAATAAATCATATTGAATTATATAAAAGATGTGCGTATAAGATAAGGAATTACCACATTATTAGAAATATATGTAAATAGATGGAAATAATCAGCGGAGAGAAAGATATTAGTATAATTAGAAGAATGTAAAACGATTTAGATAAAAAATAGAATAAAAACTGTTGGTGCTTTTGAATTATTTGAGATAATAAAAGAAATAGAAATAGTTATAGATGAAAAATTAAACAAATATTTTAAGAGTAAGATAGTGATGTAAAATATAAAGAGTGTGTTATGGTAGTATTTAGAATAGTTATATAATTCAGTAGAGGAATAAAATAATAATTAAGATTTTTTAATAGGAGTTTGTAATGACATTGAAACAATTTAGGAGATATGTATTAGACTAGAATTAATAGCTGAATAATTATAAGAAAATAAAAATTAGGAAAAGATAAAATAAAAAATAATTGGAAAATATTAGGAAGTATTAAAATTAGTTGAATAAGAGATTTATAATTTAAAATAAAATGATGATTTTAGATAATAATTTTAAATGTCTCTTTTGGATTTGGATATAAATAAATAAGTTCTTGAATAATTTGAAAGGAATGTATAATTAATGAAATTAATTGAACAAAGTTAGAAATCAATAGTCGAGAGAATGATGTCTTAATTACAATATTATTATTTTGATAGTTTTTTAAATTAGTTAGATAAGATTAATAATTATAAGAGAAAGTAGATAGAGACAAAGATAATGGAAGATAAATAAATTGTAAGGGAATTTTTAAGAAAATATAATTTAAATCTATAGGATATTTTTGATTTAATAATCTAATTATTAAATAGTGAAAAGGAATAAGAATTAATTGAAGTTTTTAAAGGTTTGAAATAATATTTTGGAAGATGTTTTACTATAAGGACAGTAAATGTAATAATTGAAAAATTAAGATTAAGAAAGTCAGAGGTGAATTTAAAAAGTTTATCGTAATTCGATTAAATAATAAAGAATATGGATGAAGAATAAGAATATGGTGAATCAACTTAAGATGTAAAGAGTCAATTAATAGAATTTGGATAGTAGGATACATTAATATTATAGAAATAAGATTCAAATTCAAGTCGTACATCAAAAACGAGTATAAGTAAGACCAAAGTGATGAATATTGAAGAATTAATTACTAAATCTTAAGTTTCTATAGATTAATCAGAGAATATGAGTATTTTTGAAGGATATGTTTATAAAAAAAAAGCTAGATAATAGAAATTAATGAGTAAATGGGATTATAGATATGTAAGAATAAGGAAAGGATATATATATTGGTATTTGGAAGAGAAATCTTATAAATGCTAAAATAAATTAAATATTTAAAATGTAATAGAAGTAGTAGGTAAATAGAATAAGTAGAATAAATTTATATTAAGAATGAAAGATGGAAAAGAATATGAATTTAAGGTTGATAAAATTGAAGAGAGAAATATGTGGATTAATGGAATAATGAATGAAAAGAGATAATAAGATGATCTTTAAAATAGTAGAATTGAAGCATAATAAGTATCAGTTAATGTTTTAAATATTTTGATAACAAATTATGATTAAGAAATAATAATAAATAACAATAATAATCTTAATAATAAGAATTTAAATAATATTTAAAAAAGGAAAACAACTTTAATTGTTGGAGATCAAAATCCTTTAGAATTAGGACAGACTAGTTTAAAACTAAAGAAAACAAATAGTTGTTGGAGAGGGATTTTAGTCTGTTTAGGATTAAAGAAGTTTTGATTATATTAATAAATAACAAATTATAAATTAGTATAATAATATTAATTAATATAAATGGACAATATATATAAGTTTAAGGCAAGTAATTCAGTAGGACATTTAAAAAGTTTGAATAATGATAAATAATTTTATTCTGAAGAAGAAAGTAGTAAGAAAGAAGAAGAAGAGAAATAATTAAAGAAGCAAAGCAAACCTCCTAGTAAGATGTCTCAATTTAGTAAAAATGCAAGTGGATATTAAACTGATGATAGCGACAAAGAGACTCCAAAAAATAATAAGATTGGACCTTCAAGTAATTAATAAATAATAGAATTACCATAGGTTAAAAAGTATCAAAATTTAGAAATCTTGTAAATACTAAAAAGATTGAAGGTGATAATGATGATCCTAATTTTGATGATGAGGATGACAAACCAACTACTATATAATAATAAATTCAATAATAGTATAATGAAGATTAATATGATGTTGAACAGTAAGCTACTAAAATGTAATAGAAGTACTCAAAAGTTGAACCTAATAAATCGAATAAAATGAAGTAAAAATTAAGTATATTATTATCTATAGGCATTCTAATACATAATAAACTATGGATGTTAATTCAGATGTTGAATAAATGAAAAATAAATAAAATTAAGAAGGAAAACTTAAAAATCATCCTTTCAGACATCTGATTTATGGTCCAAGTATTGGAGAAAATGCATTTAATAAATTCTTACAGTTAACTTAAAGAGGATTAGTTTATGCCAAAAAATGTTTAAAAGGACCTTCAGAAAAATTTATTAAATCTAAAATGGTTTAATTACAAGAATGCCCTATTGTTAAACCTAAGACTCTTCTACTTGATTTAGATGAAACTTTAATCCATAGTTGCTCTTTAAGAGAAAATCCCTAAGTTACTGTTACAGCATTTGGAGATTACGGAGAAGAAGCTAAAGTAATATTTAATTATTTAATTCTAGATTCATTTTAATATTAGGCCATTTTGTACATGGTTTTTACAATAAATGAATTAGTTATATACAATTTATGTATATACGGCTTCATCATCTGCTTATGCTAATGCTATTGTGAATTACTTAGATCCTAAAAGATAATGGATCATGGGAATCATGTCCAGAGGAAATTGTATGGAAACTAAAAATGGATTCTTTATTAAAGATCTAAGAATTGTAGCTAATAAACAATTAAAGGATATGGTAATTGTTGATAATCTTGCTCACTCTTTTGGATTCTAAATTGAAAATGGTATACCTATCTTAGAATGGCATAATGATTAAAATGATTAAGAACTTAAATATATGGCAACCTATTTGATGGAAGCAGCTGAGCAAGAAGATATTAGAGTATTCAATACATAAAGATTAAAATTAGATCAACTTATTGAATATAATCTAGATTGATTTATTTATTGATTTAAATCGATAATATTCTAATTATTTAATATTATTTTATTATTCTTATTTCATTAATAATTTAAATTTATTTCTATTTATTAATTATATACTATTACTTTTATTAATTATACTCATTTTATTCATATTTTATAAATCTATTTTTTTTTTGATTTTAATTTCATTATAATTACTTTTAGCATCAAAATAATATTTATTTTAAATTTACTTAATCTTTGTCCATTTTTTCTTTTTAATAAAATCAATTTACGCTTTTGTTATCTACTCAATTATTCCTATTTTTTTGATTTAATATTATTTCTGCATTCAATACCTATGTTATTGTTTATTTATTTAAAAACAACAATCTAATTATTAAAACACTAAACATCCAAGCAAAATTTTTTGTTTTAGAATTTATAAGTAGTTAAAAACCTCCAAATATTTAGTCATTTGCTTATTCTAACAATTTGTATTTACTTATTATATTTTATTTAAAAAAAATAATATCTTTTGACTTCGTTTACTTAATAAAATATCAAATCATTAAGAAAATTTATGAAAAAAAATGTTTGAACGCATTGGGATAGTAAAAAATAATGTTTTGCCTAAACGGAGGTGTTCTATTAATCTTAGTTAGTTTTTTAACATCTTTTGAGAATTTAATCAAAAATCATGTGCTTTTGCTAACCATAAAATAAATTAAATAAAATTATGCTTGATTGATCATTTATATTATTTTAATCATTCAATTATCAAATAAATTTATTTAAGCTTCGTTCATGATATCTTACTAAAAGATTAAATTAATAATTTGTTCAACATAGAATTAATATTTAGATTGTTAGATTTATCAAAATTCTGTTTGAAAAATTTTTGCAATTTTTAGCTTAACAAAATTTTATCATAATTTTATTTTGCACAGTTATCTTACCTCCACAGAAATTTACAACTAATATTTGAATTTATTTAGCTTTAATTTTAATTTGGAAAGAATTTAATTATCAAGAATGATATTTTTCGTAATCTTTTGATCTTTATGAATCTGGGTGAATTCAATCGAAAAATTTTATAAAAAAAGGAAATCGTGAGTTATTATAAAATAAATAAAAAGGAATTTTTTGTATCGCACTTTTGATATTGTCTAGAATCAATTTGAAACTTGTCCGATTGCAATATTTATTAAAAATAAACAAAAAACTAAGATTGAGAGCCATTTTTTCTAATTATTTATTAGATAATTATATTAAAAGTACAAAAAAAGAATTTAATTGTAATATTTGCATAATGTAAATTATTTTTACATCATCTTTAATATAAATAAGATTATAATCTGCTTTCAAATTGATTTTTTGATTCAAAATTTTTTCTTTTAATACTTTGATTCAATCTAATACAATTCATGAATAAACGTTTAATTTTATTAAAACTATCGTTCCACAATTTGTAAGCATGGCACCTTATTTAAGAAATTCTATAAAAAATTAAACATCAATTTTAGACATCATAAACTTATTTTAATTGAAAGTTATTACATTACAAAACATTATTTCAACTTAAATGGGTCAAAAAAAATAATAAAAATTAATATCAAATAGTCATTTGATTGAATTAGACAAATTAAACGATAGGTTTATTATTAACTGATACTTATTCTAATCTTAGGTGACAAAACTTTCAAACGATGATTTAGATTTTAAATATAAAAGATATTTGTGTTATGAGTATCGCAATATATGAAATGAAATATAAATGTATTAAGGGTTATGATATCCAAATAATAACATTCTTATTTAGATAAAATAGAATGATTTATAGTCTAATAAATATTTTAAGATTATTAAAATCAATATTAAATCTATTTTGAGGAAGGAACATTATTGGATAATTGTTGTTAAAATTTGTACAATTTTCTAATTTGATATCCTTTGTAACATAAGCAACCATGAATAATTGCAATAATCAACATGAATGTAATATATATAATAGAGCTGAAATTAAATATTTAAATACAAGATGTCTTTAATTTATTTCTTAATTTCGCAATCATCTTCTTCTTAACTTTAAAATTGTGATTTCTCACAATTCTTTAAGTATAAAGGAGAAATCAATGCTAATATGGTTGCTACCAAATCTAAGAGAAATGTTAGGCAATTGCCAAAGATCCAAATAGTTAAATTTAAAATCGGCCTTTTATTTATGAAGAGACAATATAAAATCAAATTTAAAATATAAGAAGCAAAACTACAATAGAATTAAACAAATACCTACAAATCCAAAAAATGGATGATATTAAACAGCCATCATAAATAATTTATGGTATTGTTCTTCCTAATATGAATCCAAAGATTAACATACTAGCAAAACTGTAAAAGATCTTCAATCTATCATTATGATATTATTTACGCTCTCAATTCTTATTTACATTTAGTATAAGAAGATATTGGTTTACCATTAGGTATTTGATGTGGATGGTCGTTATTTTCAATTAAAATAGCTGATATTTTTGGTATGGTTACTACTTTTAAGTTTCTTTGACAAGAATCTTCACTCTTCTAACTATCCAAAGGTGCTATTAATTAGAAATCATTAAATACTACAATTAATAACTTCATGCTCTATGCTTTGGGTTTTTTGATTATTTCTTGTTTCCATCTTTAATATGAAATAGTTTATTATAATTACGCAAAGTATTTATAATTTTATTGTAAATGATTCAGATATTTCAAATAATAGTTGTTAAATTTTTATATTAAATTTATTACTATATACTATATTCAAATAAATCTGTATAAATATTCTAATTGATCGATATTTCATCAATATTTTAATAATTATTTTTTAATATTTTAATATTCTTATTATATAATTGAGATTTTGATTTATATAATAAAGTTTATTTTAATAATAAAACATTAAATTATCACTTATTTTTTAATTGTTAAAGAATTAATTTTTTTTAATGAAGCAGCTAGCTTTATTTTGCTAATAATTCTTATGCTTTTTACCAAACTCTCTCTTCTTCTTCTTTTTTTTGGCTATTAGTTTGTTTTTCTTTTTTATGCCCTCTTGCACTATTAATCCTATCTTATCTATATTTACAAGCACTATCTTTCTCATTTTTTAGATCTATTTTTTAAATATTTAAAATTTCTGAACTCTATTTTATTATTTAACTTTAATTCTTTCTCATATCTTATTATTCACACTATTGCTTTTATTTCATCATAACAGAACTAAATGCTTTCTATTATTATCTTTCTCTAAATTCTTAAGCTTTTTTCTATTTTTCATGTTCTTTTATAGCTTAATTTAATTTATATTATTCTTCATTTTCTCTTAATATTTCTTAGTTTTCTTTTTAAATTGCTTGTTTTTGTAATTGTTTTTCATTTCTTTTATCTTTCCATAATTAATCATTTTCCATTTTCTTTATCTTTTTTATTTCATTCTCTTAAATTTAGAGATTTAATTGCCAAGCATAAAAATCAATACCAAATTTTTCAAGCATTTCTTAATTCTATTTTTATAAAACATCTTCCTTATTCTTCTTTGAAGCATATCTTGTTCCTATTTGTTTCCATTACTCTTCATATTTCTTATTATCATTTAATTATAAAATATGATTATTCTCAATTCTTAGATTTTCCATTAATACAAAACATTATTACATTACATAACATTGTCTGATAATTAAATACAATTCTTTATTTTAGACAATCGTTACAGCTTCTTATTGAGACATTAAACTTTATAATATTTCAAGAGATTCTTCAAATAAAAACAAATCCTTTTCAAAAATTTATCTTTGTAACAATAATTTTGGAAATTATTTCATAATTTAAACAGTTTATGATGCATTCTAAAATATCTTTTATATTAATTTTAGATTAATTATTGGTATTTTAGAATTAGTTCTTGGAAAATCTTTATCTACAATAGCAATAGCAATTATAATTGGTGCAAATATAGCATTTAAGTATACAGATTCGCTTTATTGTTATATATTTAACTATTAAATAAATTGAGTTGTTAAATATTCAGTCATTTATTAGTACATTTTTTAAACAATTGAATTATTATCTTACTTTTATTAGACATTAGGTTATTTTTTCATTAAGAGATGACTAAATTCTTTATATTAATCATTAATTTTAATAATGGATTATTTTGATAACCAACCTTTGCTTTAAACTTCTTTTGCAATAGAGATTGTGAATTCAAAGATTTCATTTGTTTTGGATTATAATTATTACATAACATACTAGAATATATAAATAATAGTAATTACCAATTATGTTTTACCATCCTTTAATTCATCCAAAACTGGTTTAGATTCTAAAGCATCTCTAATTTCTTCCATCATTTAAATTCTAAATGGAGAAAAGGTTGGATGAGTGCGTTTTCTTTATTTTGATTCAATAGTTCTAGATTAGATGGACATTTAAGATTAAGGTTATGATTAACAAGATTATTATTATTATTATTATTATTATTATTATTATTGTTTTTTTCTTTCATCTATAAATGCTCTTTCAACAGTTATTTCTTAATATTATACAGGTATACTATATTCTTATTATGGTAATAAATCATCATTTAAATATTCCATTTCTTTTAAAACTTAAGGAGTGAATAAACTACCTAACAAGGATACTTATTAAATTTATGGTTATTTTTTATATTATTAGCCACCAAGTCTTTATGGAGATTCACTTATGGGTAAAGGTAGAATTGATTATTATTGATTATTAATAGGTTAATTGTGATTATTTTTAGTTTCTGAATTATTTAATTCATTTTTATTTTCACTTGTGATAATATTTTAATTAGAATGTGTCAATTCAAATTTATTAAATAGATCTTGTTTTAATGGTGATTGGAATAGGAGTGGTTTTTCTAAACTCTATTTGCTTATTCTTAATTCATTTTAATAGAATTAGATTTATTCTTAGAGCTACTATTTGAAAGTGACTGAATCTAGAATAATGTTATATGAATAGGATTACCATAACTTCCAAATTAGGGTATATCATATTAATCATCATCCCTTTATTATGTATCTTGTGGTATCTAATAAAATTAATCTTCATTAAATTATTGATCCTATTCATAATTTTATTCATCTTGGTTAAATCTATTAGAAAAATCTTAAACATCTTCATAATCAGATTTCTAATTAGATTTCTAATTAGATTTTTAATTAGATTTTGAATCTGACATTTTTAATTATTTTTTAACACTAGAGAATTAGTATTATTATTTATAGGATGGATAATCCTTATCTTAATAAGGTTAAATAGGATTAGGACATTTGAATGTTTTGGATTATTTTGATAATAATTGGATTTCTTTTTATAATTTTAATCCTTTCATAGGATCAAAGACATATGAATCATGTATATCTGGATTAAGTTCTTCATCATCATCTACTTCAGTAATGGTACCACAACGAAGCTATTTATCAAAATATTGTAATAATTGATCATCAATTTATAATGCTATTTATAAATTTTGTTCAAATTTGATTTGATTATAATTTTCTAATTAGACAATAGCTTAGGTATTGAGATATTATTCTAAAATAATAATTAGATAGATTACCATCAAATGGATTATATCCATAAGAATCAATATAATTAATTAAGGCAATATAAGTATTTGATTTATTGTGTTAGTAATCTCTTAATTGTTATTCACACTCATAAGCTAACAATGCAAAACGTTAATGCTATTATCGATCCTCTGAAAATATTTAATAATAAGAATACAATTTTCCTCTAACTGCTTTTATTATAAATAAAGTTGTAATTATTGCATAAAAATTAATGTAATTTATGATTTGATCATTTTATATGTATGATAATGATTAATTACATTAATTAATATATGAATATTCAAATATATATATATACGAATGAATTCTTAATTGAATAATTATAAGATTGTGATAATTGTAAGTAGTAATGATAGATAAATATGAATTTGTATGTAATAAAATCAGAATAATAGAGAAGTAATAAAGTGTAAATAATATGAGAGTTTGATATAATAAATTAATAAATGAATTAAGTATTGGATTCAGAAGGAGAGGAATCTATATTAAAAGCTGGAGATATGATCTAAGGTCGATTTCGAATAGGTGATCTTCTAGGCGAAGGTTCATTTGGATCGGTGTTTAAGATATAAGATACTAAAAATGGGAATGAAGTATTGGCAATAAAAGTAGAATAAGAATTTGAAGAAGAAGAGAGTATGTTAGAAAGAGAAATAAAGATAATGATGGAATTAAAGTATATGAATTGATTCTAAATATATTCTTAATAGAAAAAAGGCTGGGTTCCCATAAATATTGTACTATGGATAAGAAAATCACTTTGTTTATTACATTATGAATATGTTAGGACCCAATCTAGAAATTACAAGCAAAAAGTGTGGAGGATCTTTTTCACTTGTTACAATGTTGAGATTAGCAATTCAGGTATACTAGTATTGTACTGTTTAGCGTAGATGATTAGCCGAATTGAAACATTGCATTCGATGCGTCTCATTCATAGAGACATTAAACCAGATAACTTTGTTTTAGGTTTAGGATAATAGTAGAACATATTACATCTTATTGATTTTGGATTATCTAAGTTTTATTTGAATTCTAAAGGAGAACATATTAAATAAGTTCGTAAAAAAGGATTAATTGGAACTGCTCGTTATGCTAGTATTAATGCACATAATGAACTTGAATAAAGTAGAAGAGATGATCTAGAAAGCATTGCTTACATCTTAGTATATTTAGCTACTGGTACATTACCTTGGATGAATCTATAAATTGAATAAAAGGATCTTAAATATGCTAAAATATTACATTTAAAAAAATCTACATCACCAGAAATTGTATGCTCCAATTTACCATCATGCTTTATTAAATTTTTAAATGCGGTCCGTAAATTAGAATTTTTAACAACTCCTGATTATCCAACTTATAAAAAATTATTTTAAAATGAATTAGAAAAACATTCAGGTTAACCATATTATGATTGGGAAGTAGTTGGAGATAACTCAACAAAAAAGAAAAGCAATACAATGCATATTATGCCAGTATTATTTGATTAAAATAATTAAAGGAATAATTGAAATAAAACAATAGTCCAAATAATTTGCATATTATAAATAGTAACGGATCAAATAAAAATACAATGACTTATGGTTAAGATTAAATAATAGAAGGTGATATGGATAAGAAATTAAACTTGTAAATATCTGGGAAAACAGTGGAGAATAAATAATTTGAAAGGTTTGAATAGATTTTGCAATAGAATTAGAAAAAATACTACAAGATGAACAGTTCAAAGAGGTAAAACTCTGGAAAAACTAAAACGCCTGTGATAGTAAATGTTCTTGAACCAGACGTAAATAAATAAGTAAATTATTTAGAAGTAGATTCAATAACAGTAATATGAATAAGTTTATGATGAATTGTAATATGTTGCAAAATCAGCTAAATACTTATAACCTCCATCAACTCCAAATGTAAGGAATTCATCATCATCTATAATAAACCCATATTATATTCCATCTCTAAATACTTCATAAGTTAATAATTATGATTGGAGTGAAGGAGATGAAATAAGTAATGAAGGAACTCCTTTATGGTGTATGTATGATGAAAAAGAGAGATAAAATGTAATGACTGGAATATAACCTAAAAAAAAGAATTCTATAAAACACAATAGTTTTAGTGCTCTACAATATCCAATACAAAATTAAGTTAGAGGTAGTGATGAAGAAATATTTGATATTGAATGATCCCTAGTGTTGTTAATATATATTCATTTATTATTCTTTTACTTAAATAATTCTTCTATTTTATATAAATTTATTTGGTTATCTTTATTTATTTATCTATATGACTAGAATGTTATTCTACTAATCTATTGTATAGTTATTTAATATTATTACATTTCATATATGATAGTATAAAGATGTAAAATTATTTATCTAGAAAAACATAAATTTGTGTGATAATAATAATTAATATACTATAATATGAATAATAATATATCATCATTATTCTAAGAATTATTTCAATGCATTTTCAGTGAATAATTATTCTTCTTCAAATCTAATAGCTTCTTTATTATCATGGACTAATAATAAAGTAGGAATTGATTTGATCTATATCCATTAAGAAACTCTAGCAGGATTATTTTAATCTTTCCAACTATTATATTTATTATTGATATACGTTTCTTTATCTCCTGCCCAACACCAATAGACTGTATATCCTTTTTATTACAATTATGGAATTGCATAATTTTTAATTGTGGGTTCAGCTTCAACTGTATCAGAACACCAAGATTAACCAGTTTCAGCTAGAACATCTCCAACAAAAATTAATGCTGCTTTTCCTTCTTTATTTACTTTCTCAGAATAATCAGATGTTGTGACTTAAATAACTTATTCCATGATTAAATAATAATATATAATATTACCAATACAATCAATCTTATCAAAATAGAACAATATAAAAAATATGTTTTGCTTAAATTTATAGACTTTTATTTGATCCTTTATTTCTATTACTTCCTCTATTTTATTTATTAGTTTCTTTTACATTCAATTTTTAATATTTAGAAATCTATTCAAAACAAAATGTCAAGTTTCATCATTCTCCTTTAGTATCTCCTAATATTCTAAAAAAAAATAATAAATTTTAAAGTCTTATTAAGTCTGATTCATAAAATAGAAATACTCTTCTTTTCAGATGATATTCTTAATTACTACATTTAACGTAGATAAACACTTTAAAATATATAAATATAATAAGACTTACTCTTCATCTCTATTTTTCCATCACTTAATTTAATTAATAAGTTATATCAAACAATAAAAAATCAAGTTTTCTCTCTTACAAAGAGAATTATTAATCCTTTTAGGCATTTAAATATTTAGAATTTAGTATAAATTTATTTAATATTTATCAAATTTGATTATCAAAACCCAGAAACAAGTTAACTATCTTTGATTGATTAAACCAAAGTTTCTGTTAAAGCAAATTTGATTTCCTTTATACTTTCTTTATATAATTATATAAATTTAATTATTGTAGAAGTCTTTTAGATGATACTTAAAAACTTAAAATTAATATTGATTCTTAAATTTTAAATATCTCACTATCCAAATTGATTAGTCAAATAAAAATCATTTATAATAGATTGTATAATCTTTTTCTGAAAAATTCAATATAATTATACATCTATTCAATTATATTCTATTTTAATATATTTATTTAAAGAACTTTAACAATATTTATAAACTAAAACTATTAAACTATTGAAATTAAATATAATTATAAAGATTATAATTATTTTTAATTCTATATAAATAAAATAAATTCTAATCCTGCATTTATATCTCAAACTGATTAAATTTAGCATAAATTATTAGAGAAATATCAATAAGCAAAAAATAATATTACTTTCTATTTCAAGAATAAAGATTAGCCTACATAATTTAAGATTTTATTCTTCATAATTAGCTTTAGCAAAGATCTCTTTATGGAGTATAGATATAAAAGATGAAACAAGAATTCAACTATTTTTGTTAATTAAATAAAAATATAAAGAAAAAGTATTTTAGCTTAGCAATTATATGAATAAAAAATAATTGGAAGAAATTTGGAAAAAAAAATGAATGGTATAATAGTTTTATTAATGTTTTATTTTCAAAATGGTTGACTTAACTATTTAAGTTGTCTAGAAAATTATGAATTATCTTATTATGTGAATATTTTGACTAATTTATTTGCAGTACAGTTTTAACATCCATCACATTTACAATTATCATTACATTCAATACCCATTTAATAGCATTCACAATACTTCTTTTTACAACCACTTTTTCTGCAATTACATCCCTAGTAAGATAAAAATAATTATTTACTTTTGTATGAGCCAATTTTTAATCAACTTCTTTTATTTTCTAATTAAATGCTTCTGGATTTCTTTCTACCATTTTCTCCATATAGAGATTTCTCTCTAATAAATTTGAACTGTTATTAAAACAACCACAACAATTACATTTAGATGAACATAATTTTCCAGCTGCAAAACAATCACAATATAATTTAAGGCATTTACTTTTCTTGCAATTACAAGTCTTTGTTTCTTCAATCCTATTATAAAAATTTAATTAATAAAATAAATTTTATTAAGTTTATATTTTGAATATGATATTTGAATTTAAAATATAATTCTTTATATCGTATTATATTATAAGTGATTTATTATACATACTCTTATTTTTAATTGTTTGTATTGGTTTTAAATAAATTTTATGCTAAGTTATTGAAATTTCCAATTGAATTCTATGATTAGAATTTTAAAAAGGATTTTTATTCTGAATTACATACAGAAATATTTTTTGTTTAAGGAGTTCTATTAGAATCAATTAAAAAGTCATACTAAAAGTTACTTTTGTTATTGGTTTATGGAAATGTTATCTCATTGCTCTAGAATATTTTCTTAAATGGTGGAGTTTATAAAATTAAGTTCTTATTTGTTTCTTGGGACTCAGTGAAGATTGTATCACAGTTTCGATAGGACATTGACAAACGTGTTAAAATTTTAAAAATTAAAATCAAATATTGGCAGCATTATTAATTTGTATAAATACATCATTTAATATTGAGATGATTCATTCTATTTATTTTTATAATTTGAGAATCTTTTCATATAGTTAGTTGTGTTTAAGATCAGCTAATTTTGCTTATTCTCTTTAAATATTGGAAATAGATTCAATTCTACCAAATTTATTTTCAAATTAATCTAATTTATGAATAATCTCATGCTTTTATGGTATATATTAAGCAAATAATTTATCATGATTTATCTAATCATATAATATATATACATCTTTAGATTTTATTTTAGATAAGGCAGTTTTAAAATCAAATCCTTTTTCATAAATTTGTTTTTTATTACCTTCATACTAAATTTTTTATGATAATGCTTCCTAAACTTTTATACAAAAACAATAAAGTTATTTTACATAATCATATTCAATTTCTAAATTACAAAATGATTTAGCTTCATTTAACAATAGTTCATATGATTAATCAAAATTCTTCTCAAAAAGCTTTTATATTTATTCAATATCATTAAAATTTTTCATTAAAAATTACTTTTCAATAATACGATATAAATCTAAACATTCTTTAGATTATCTCTGCGAAAATCGAATTACCTAATTGGTAAATGTATCTATCAATTCTGAATGGTTATTCAAGATATAGAATATTTAAAACTAAAAGGTTAATTATCGAAACTTTTGACATTCCAAATCTTCAAAAATCAATTTTTCTAAATTTTATGGAATACAAGGCTTTAATGTTTTGAGTAAATATTTTGTTCCTTTAAACATTTATCCTAATCCCTAATATAATATATCTTTATAGAGTTACTTCAATATTTAAAGGTAAATTTGTTAAATTATAAGTAAAATTCATATATCCAACATATTTTTATTCATTACCTAAAAAGTTTTCAAGTTTGTTTTTTCCTTAATAAATTTGACATGTATATTCGAATGTCAATATTAATTTATAAATTTATTACTTTAATTCAACTTATCTAATATTTTTTAGAATTATACTTTTTATCTTTAAATTCTTTTTAACTTTCTCTACGAAAAGAGGATTAACTTGGAAGTCTTAGTTTTTCACTTGAAATTTCAGTTTACTATGATCTTTAATGAGTATGATTAATCATTTTAGCAAGTCTAGCTTTAATTAATTTATCAATTCTTTCTGGTTTTTGATCCTTTTAATTTAAAGTTTAAATAAATTATTATTCATTATCAAAACTATGTAGATGAGATTTCATTTTATTGCTAAATGATAATGTCTTTTCAGCAGATCTTTAAATCTTTTTAAAGGGTGCTTTAATAATTGTTATTTTATTTTAAGAAGATAACTAACTTCCAGAGATATCTTAATTAGGAAGTTCTCTTTAAATACACAACATTTTTCTTTTAATTATACGTTCTTATCCTGCTGAACTCTAATGATATTCTGTAATGTTCTTAAGAGCACTTAATTAGGATTTTGAAAAGGGAGAATTAGAAGTCTTTGATTTTGATTTCAATTTAATCAATCCTCTATTTTCACTCTTTGATCTTGCAATACTTGTTATCTAAGTTGAAAGTTAATATTCTCTGGTCTTTTCAATTATGTCTTCTCCATAATAAAATTTCTAACTATTCATAATAATAAATTTATATGTATATTTTAGAGAATTTTGTAATTTTAATCTACATAAATTAAAATATCAAATGATAAGATCTTCTTCAAATTACATAATCTTTATATTTTATATAACTTATTCAAGACTTCATTATTTACTTTATATATTTATTATTACACTAATTATTTGTAATTAAAATTATTATCAATTCAATTCATTTATATTTCCCTCTTCTTTAATTTGTTATTGTTTCTATTTATATATCTTATCAAAAATCTAATTATTACCACCTTTATCCCTTATTTTTATTAAATTTAATTTTACTTATTTTTATCTACCTTATATCTTACTTATTTCAAATAAATCATAAAAACTAATTCCATAAGAATCTTCTCTTATTGATTCATTAAGTTTAGATTTTGTATTTTATTTTCTAAATAATTTATAACATAAATAAATCTGGCAAAAAAAAAGAATAATTATAAATTAAATAATAAATAATTATTATTTTTAAGTATAATAAAAGTCAAATCAGGATCAAAAAATTTAATTATCTATTATTTAAGAGTTGTATTATGTTATATATATTATTATACTAATACACATCCAACAAATAATTTAAATTCTTTGCAATATATTCTTTATGTTAATCATGTCCAGTTTATTAGACAATTATTTATAATATAAAATTTTAATAGTATTTAATTATAAATTAATTGATTTAAAATAACTCAAATAATTAATTTAATCTACTTGATGATATTCTTATTAATCATAACTTTCATTGGAATAAATCTTAATGTAAATCTTATCGAAAAATAATTACTAATAATTTAATGAATTAGTAATCCATTTATACTAAATAATAACAACGAAATAAAGATGCCTAAACTAAATAATAGAACCATAATAATTTAAGTCTGAGAAGTCAATTTATCTTTGGCTATATGTATAAAAAAATCAGAAAACAATCTCAATTAAAAATTAGTGGCATCTAAACCCCAAAATATATACATAAAGTATTCTCTTGAAAAAACTACATCCAAAAAATTATTCAGAAATTATTATTTAGTTTCATTCTCATTATTTAATCCCAATTTTTAAGTAGCTGAAAATGTTGATTAATACAATTATATCAATCCAACTCCAAAAAAATCACTCAATTCATGAATCAGAAATCTCTCTTTAAATAATTCAATTTTTGTATCACATCCGACAAGCAAACAAATATCATCTAATAATAAAGATGCTTTTTCATTATCAGGTAAATCTATTGTTATAGTTGTGAATGGCTCTTATACCAAATTCAAATATGATTAAGTTATTTCACTTTAATTTAATTCTAACAATTAAAGAATTTTATTATTGCCTCGAATATTACCATTTATATTTGCAGTGTTTTTATTCACTTCTATATAATTGTTATAGAAAGTCTTAAAATTATAACTATCCCAATTATTTATAAATTTTATAAAGTGTAATCTTATTTATATACCTGATAATGCTGTATTTACTATTGGATTTATTTAATTCGAATAACTATTATATTGAATCTAAAAAATCACAAAATAAATTATTAGTAAAACTAAAATTATTGTTTACATTATGTAATACATTGGTAAATTAAATTAATCATCTAATTTTATATTTTAAGAAACTTAACCTTAAGTTTTTGATAAATCTTAACTCATCTCATAAAAGTTTTAAAAAAATTTACTATTAAACCAAAATTCTTCATTTTTTATATTCTAACCAACAAATTCTAATTTTTATAATTCCTCTTCAATATCACGATTATCTAACCTTTAAAATATTTATAAGATTTATTTGATCTTATATATGATCCTTGAAAGAGTCATTATTAAAATCACATAAAAAACTAAAATTCCTATATAAAAGATATAAAAGATAACTTAAACCTAATTATCAAATCTATTATTATATTCTTAACTATTTTATAGACATGCCTCTATAAATTCCTAAGTAATTTCACAAACATCATTAAAATTTAAGAATAAAATAGATCTAGTATTAATTTATGGAAAAGTATCTAAAGTACCTTTTAAATAAAGGGAAGGATCACCAGCAAAGGTTTTTATTGCTAAATAAAATAATTAATTCATTATTTCATAATAAGCTGCTTGTGTTTATACCACTTAAGTTCGCACTGAATAAACTTGATAATCTACAAATTTAAAATTAATTAGCTTCTCTTCTTAATAACTATTTAAAACAGATTTATAATTTTCATATAAATTTATTAGATTCTAACAATTTTCTTTATAAAGCTATAGAGTAAATTAAATTTTTTCACTTGTTGTGATTTAAACTTAATGATCTTAATCTATATTAATTGTTTGATTATATGGAATAAAATTATTAAAATCTCTATAAAAAACTGTATGTCGACTACCTTTCAAAATTAAACCATAATAATCTAAGAATTCTGTCCCATAGTATAATCTATTAAAACAAACATCTTATTCATTCCTTTTTTATAATAATAATATGTAAATAACAACTAATCCAACTAATGAAATACACATATTTATTAAAGAAAGAGCCATAAATTGTTTAATTGCTGTTGGAAGTGTTTTTTAAGCAATGTAAATTAATAAATCATCTGATGATTTAACAATAGTTGCAGTACTTTATCTAGAATGTAATGATCTAACAATATTGTCATTTAATTTTGATTTACTTTTATTTTTTCTATTTATAATAAATTAACATATAATACTTTTTTATTAACTCTTTTGTATTATCTTCATAATTATCGTGTTTCTTTTATTTTGATTCACTTTCAAACTATGATAAATCAATTACAATTCTATAATAAATATAGTATTCTTGACCATCTTCAGTTTCATAATTTATATTTTAAAGAGAAATCTCATAATCAATTTATGAAATTTTATCAACAGACATAGAATTAACAGAAGATATATTAAATTATTCTAATTTTTCTAATTAATTATTGTGATACAAATCCTTACAGATATTGCAAACTTTACTATTACTTAATCTTGCAAATCTACTCATTATTTAAATTAATTGATTTTAAAAATATAGTGGTTTAGCATTATTTGTTGAACTATGAAATTAAATTAAATTTTCTCTTAATTAGGGTATCATCTAAAATACATTAATTTAATTAAGTTACAATTAATACTAATTAATAAGTTGTTTGAATTTGTTATCTGAACACATTAGATTAAAATTATAATCCAATAATATAATGGCATTATTTTTTTATTTAATTTTGTATAAATAAGCAATCAATTGATATTTATTCAAATTTTATTTAGGAAAATAAGGAAATAGAATCATTTTTATAGGAATGATTGTATTATTATCTGGACTGATCATGGTATCTATTTGAGTTCCAATGATTTTTTATTTTCCTTTTTGTATATATTAATCTATTAATTTTAAATGAGATGTTCTAAATGAAACATGCAAGATTTAAGATATTGAATTTAACACAAAATGTTCATCTAATTCTAAAAATTATAATTGTTTTGTAGTTATTTTTGATGTAATTTATCCTTGTTCTTTTTCATTCAATGAAGCAACTAAGCTTATAGCAAAATTAGAAGTAAATGCAATATTTGTAAATTCATCCTCTTTATATATCTCATTCTAAATGATTTCATCTATTCTAATCTAATTATCAATTTATTCTCTAAGATTTTAAGTCAAAAAAGATATCAAATGGCATATACGAAGTGCAAATATATTATTCAATTTAGAATTATCATAAATTTATAAATCTTTGCTTTTTTTAATTAAATCTTAAACTTAATTCTTTAATTTATATAATGAATCATAAAGTTTTTAAAAGTTCTAAATACTAAGTAACTTAAGTGATTCATAAAATTTGTATTTCTCTATAAGTACTTTTTGTAATTCTTATTGAACAACAAATCCTTCATATTTTAATAATCTCATTTCTTCAATAAATTTAACTTGTTACTTTTATTACATCTCCTCAATTAATTTCTCTTACAACACTTATTCTAAATATTCAAAGATTTGTAATATGTATCCATTTTGTACATTTTTCTTTTAATTTAATATTGATTGATGAGCTTATATCGTATTATTTGATATATCTATCTAAATCAAAACATATTATAGAACATGGACTTCTGAAAATTTCTATGATAAGAGATTCTTATAATATAAGTTAATAATTAAACTAATCTCTTCTTATGACATCAATTGCATATCTTATTTACATGGACATCTTAACAGTTAACAATTCATTTTATGTTATCGATGCAAATATAAATATCTCACAACATTATTATCATTCGATCTTTAATTTAGATAACTTTAATAATATTATTAATAAAATGACACTGATTAATGATTTTTCAACACTAGAGAATTAGCTTATTAATTAATCATAGTCTAAAAGGATTAGGTTAGCTAAATTATCAAACTAATATTACTGTAAGAATTAGCATAAAATCATATATCATTTAATTCTGTCCACTTAATTAAGCATATTAATTCCCAACTATCAAACTTATTATTATTGAATATACTCTCATTTCTTAAAAATATAGTTCAGAATGGTTTATTACTATTTCTCCATATAACCATATAATCAAATAAACAAAGTAAATCAAACTAAAATATTACAAATAATTATTTATATCAAAGAGTTATGAGTACAAAATTATTTATTAAATTATCAAAATGTTAAATAACACTAATTTTGAAAACTATTTATTTATGCTCAATGATCTAAAGTGTATTTTCTAAAAGTAAAAACTCTACATTATTCCAAACAAAAATATTGAAAATGTATTTACTACACAAATAACTATCTATTCATCCTCATTCATATTCGATGAAAGATTTGCAGATATTATCTAAAAAGGAATCAAAAGCAATTTATCGTAATTACTCAATAATAAGCGAAAGAATATTACTGTATGTGAATTCAACTTAAATATAAAGGTAAACAATATAATTATCGCAAATAAGGTTGTATTACATATTATTACAAAATAAGGGCTCAACTAACTTAAAATCTTATTGTAGATAAAACTTAGTATAGGTATTTCCATATTGCAAATTTAAGATGTTATTATTAATAGCTCAATTAAGTAAATTGGAATAATAAAGCATTGAATTACAAATAATTCAGTTGATTAACTTTGAGAATCATAACATAAAATTGATGCCATAAACCCTCTGTATTTTTTAATAAATTTCTCACTCATTTCACTAATTATCATAATTTTAATAATATTCAAATATTTATTTTAACATTATTTTTTAAGTATTCATCTTATATTTATTAATAATCTCATTTTTTCAAGATTTTTTAAAATGATAAGAAATTCTAAATTTTCAAATTCATTTGCAAGAATTTTACAAAATCACAACTAACAGAATAACCTTAAATATTAAAATAGACAATAAATTATTTATTCTTCTTTCCAAAATTATTAAATTCATATGGAGAGATCAAAAGACTAATTAACAATTTTATATAAAAAATCTTAATTTTTATATTCTTGTTGAATTCAATAAACAAAATTAAAACAGGATAATAATATTCTATTAATTTCTTTTAACAATATTCTCTCCCAGAATTAATATGATCAACAATATTTTTTAGAATCATCAAAAAAAAATGTTAAATTGATTTATTACAAATAAAAAAATACTAATTGTCCGTTGTATGAAAATAAACCCTAGACCTTTAATATAAATTCTTATATAGAATTTATAATAAATTTTATTTTTAATATATATTAATTAAAACTTTAATGGGTTATTGATTGAATAATTGTTTTTAAAGTGCAAGAAAAACGGATTACACATATAATAATTATGGTTATAACTTTAACAAAATTCTTAATGAATTCCTTAAACCATTTAATTATAAGCTGATAAAGTCTAAGTTTATTATTTATAAAATTAACAACAAATTCAAATTCTTGAAAATTGTTTAGCAGGAAAAACATAAAATATCATCAATTATAATACCTGAAACAAAGAATACAAATATTACCCTTTAGATTAATATATATTCTTCTATTTCAGTAGGTATGATATTAAATTTGAGAATTTGTATACCTATGTAAAGAAAAACATGAAACTTAAAGAATAAATTTGTTTTGTATATAACAAAGTTACCAAATCAATATAATAAATACAAATACATTTATGTAATAATGTTAATTTTTTTTTTGTAATCGATAAAAGTTTTTGAATCATATTTTAATAATTATTGTTTAATAATGAAAGCAAGTTAAATTCAAAGAATATCTAATAGAATCAAAAGAAAAGCCATTTAAGCTCTCCTTTACATATCTGAGGATGAATTTGATATGACTAAAGGGTCTTTTTTTAATTGTTTAAAGATTATGGTTTATTTTTTATAGTTGGAGGGATATATTTTTAGTTAATACGAATAAAAACCCTTAACATTAAGAGAAAACATATACTTTTCAAATTATACTCAATTATCTGCATTTACATTTTTTCTTTTTTAAATAGGGGATGATTTCTTAACATAGTTGTTTTTTTACTTAATATTTCTCTTACATTTAATTGTCTACATTTTACTAGCAATATTATCATTAGATAAATAGATTGAGAAAACAGGAATAATAAAAAAATTGTTAAATTTGTTTTTTACTAATTATCAATGGATTTTTCTGACACCATTTTAAGAAATTAGTGTTGGTGTAATGGTTTGTGGGGATAATGCTTTTATTAAAGAAAATTCACATTCAACAGACTGTTAATTAAGAAAAAATCAATTCTTATATATATTTGGAACAATATCAACAATTTTTGTATTTATTTCAGGATTTTCAATTTCTTATTTCTTTAGAAATTATTAATTCAATGATCGAACTTTTTCAAGATAATTTAATTATGTAACAATTTTAAGAATACTACTTCATTAAATTGTAATAATATTGTATTATATCAATTTTCATAATATCACTTATGTAAAACACGCAGTTTCATAATTAATAGGATTAACCTTAATTTTAGATATCATATATAATCAACCATTTGGATATTCTTTTGATTCTAAATTCTATAGTGCAGCCACTTTAAATCATTAATTTCTACTAATATTATCAGCAGTTTGGATTTTCAAAAATAAACAGAATGACGAATTTATATTTTTAGCTTTCATAATTTTTATTCCTGTAATAAATATAGTATATTTCATAGATTAATACTTTCGTATCTAATCAATATTTAAGAATGAAACAATTAAATATATATAATTCTTTTAATCCTTTTCAATTTTAAAATAAATTTGATAAATAATTAGAAGAAATATATCGAGTAGCAGAATCCAGTGAATACAATATACAATCAAAATTATTGTTGTATCTAATTTTCAAACATCATATATCCATTTGTAGAAATATTGAATGTCATTGTACACAAAATATTAAATCTTTTTTTATAAATAATTCATGTGATTTTAATAAACTGAATCAATGGTCAACTAATCTATTCTAGATGTAATTGAAATATGCACTTATTCATAAAGATTTTGAATTTTATGAACATCTAGCACTAAAATTTGTTACATTTCTAGCCAAATATTAAAACAATCCTGTCAATGCTTATTCAATATTGTAAAAGATAATGTGTAGTTAATAATCTTAAACTTAATTTCAAAAAAATAGAAGACAGACACAAATCTCATTTTATTTTTAAAATATCTCTAAGATTTTGTTAAGAAGAAACCGAAATCATTTCATCAACTAATAATTATGTGAAACAAAAAAAGTTGAATCATTGTTATAAGGTTAGGCTTAAATTGAAAACTTTGGTTCTTAAATTCATGATGAACTTTTATAATTGGCAATTGAAAAATAAAAATTTTGGGAAAATTATATGAATAGTAAATTAGGATCATTTTAGGGTTTAGAATTAGCTTTAAAAAAAGTTGAATCCAAAATAAAACGTGTTACTTACTTTATAAAGTAATTAAGGAATAAAATTATACATTTGACTACAAAAAAGGTTGATTGTGTCAGTATTTTAAACTTTGAATTATTATATAAAATTTGTACAACAAATAACAATTAAGAAATTTATGAAATTCAATAAAAAATCAAATAAATATTACTTGCTGATTAATATGAGGAAGAACAGTATTTAAATATTCATTTTTAAACTAAAGAATGTATATCAATAATAGCAAATATCTCATAAAGCAAAAGAGGAGAACTTTGGAAACCAAATCAACCAATTTTATAGAAGTTCTTTAATAAAACTAGAGAAATTAAACATCTTAATGATTTATTACCAAATTTCATAGCAGATGTTCATAATGGAATTATTGAAAATTATATTAGATATGGTATTAGTGTAAGGAAAGAAGTAGTCACATAAGTTGTTTCTACTTATGGAGATAATTATATAGAACCGATGACATTTACTCTTAGATTTTTTTTCCCAAAATTTGATTCTGATTATGATTTTTTTATGATAGGATTTCTTAGGAAGGAAGAGAGATTAGTTGAAAGTAATTAAAATGAAAAAAAATAATTTGGTTATATTTGCTTTGATGAAAATTTAAATATATTAGGTATAAACTAAGTAATTGCAGAAAAATTAAATTACAAAGTTTCAAATTCAATAAACTATAATGGATTAGATATTTGTTTTTTATTACCAACTATTTTATAATCATTAATTGATTTATATAAATAAATTTTGAACCAAAAAATTGAACATTTAAGTGACAATGAAATGATAATTTCAAAAAATTAGGAGGCTTTTTATGTTCCAAATGAATTCTCAAAAAATCATTAAATTAATCCTAATGATAGTTTAATTGATAAAATTACTAAATATGAAGAAATTTATGCAAATGTTTAGGAAGATCAATGTTAATTCTTAACCAGCTATTAAGTAAATTATCAATTATTTTCTAAAAGATTGAAATATTTAGCAGATTTTACTAATATTGTTTTTCATAAAGAATTTTTTTTAGTAAAATTATAATTTTTAGATAATAATTTTTCAAATGAAAATAATTATATAAAGATTTACTAAGAGAATAGAAGTCAACATACTGAAATAAATATTAATAATTTTGATGGAATTTTAGAGATTATATCTAGCAAAACAAAATCAAGTACAAGATCAGTGTTGTAATAAATAGAAATATTTCATAAAATTTTATCAAAATAATGTGAAAGTAAACATTAAAAATTATTTAAAAACATAAATTTAATGTTTTTGATTTGTTTTATTTTAACTTCTGGAGTCATAAGTTTTACTTTTAAAGATAAAAATAATTAATTTAAAAGTTGTAAGATTTAATAAATACATATATTAAATGAAGTAGCCATATATTCTAGTTTGATTAATAGTATAAATAACGAGGGAATAATTGAAATAGTTAAAACTAATTTTGAAATGGATATTGAAGATGTAACCATAAAGATATCTTATTCTAAATACAAATAAATTTTGTAAGAATTGATATAATATTCATCATATCATTTTTTTAAAATGTTTTAAGAGGCTGAGTTTGTATTGAATATCCCTTTGAAATTCTAAATGAAATATTTACCAGAATTTGGTAATGAATTAAATGAAGAATAGATTGAAAACCTTTTGACTTTTCGATAAATATTATGTCAAAAAATTGAAAGTTATAAGTAAGATAGAAAGATATAAGATTTAAGTACAATCGTTTTAAATTATTTTAATTATGTAGAGTATTTGTATTATTCGACTTAAAAATGCTTTTAAGATTCGAAATTATTGTTGAATGAATAAATATAATTGGGAGAGCAAATTTTAATATTTATGTATGTTTTATTAATTTTAATTTATTTGTTACAGATTTTGATTGTGAATAGAATGCTTAAGAAAAGGAAATATATTCTAAAATTATTTATAAGGACAGATTATAAAGATGCTTTATTAGAGAATGAGAAGTTTTAAATACTTTCAGGTTGGTTTAGTGAGATAAAAAATGGTTGGAGTTAGAAGAATATGTAAGGGTTATTGAATTAGTTAAATTTAAGTGTGAAATCTTTGAGAGATGATGAGGATGTAATAAATGGATTTACATCATCAGATAGAAGATTTAATGAGAAGTTATTAGAGAATAGCGAAAAATTAAAAATAAATTTTTCACATAGATATTAAAATTTAAGTGGTTACATATGTTTAACAATAATATTTTTATGTACATTAATTTACATTTTATCATTCCATATATAGATAAGTGATATATAAGAAGATTTACTGTATTTTTCATAATTTAGTTTGTTGTTATAGAAATATTAAATAAACTATTTAGTGTAATATTTTCGATGTTAATATTACATGAATTATGAGTTTTATAATAATTATGAGATTGACACAATCTGGATGGAAATATACGAATAAAGTGAATTTTCAAGAAATGATGTTGATGAAGCTATGATTAATTTGAATAGGAATGTGTTTAGTTCGATATTAAGAAATAATGATGAAGGAGTATTGAATTTGAATAAAGAAGAGTAAGTAGAATTTTATTAAGGGAATGTTTGTTAGATTGAGAAAAGGATTTGTAATGAGAGTGATAGGAATATTTAATTAAGAGAAGAGTTATAGGATTATTATTAGAATAATAGTTTGAATTAATTATTTTTAGAATAAGGATAGATATTCTTTTAGAATAATGAGATGTATAATATTAAGGAGTTGATAAGAAATTATGTAGAGAATTTATTTAAATCAAAAGAGTATTTTTTGAATAATGTTTGGGGTTTTGATATAATAGTGAATAGAGTAAGTAAGACAGCAGTGTATTTTTTAGAAAGAATGGATGAGAATTTGAGTAAGGATGAAAATAGAATGTTTTTATATGCTTTGATAATTGGAGTGTTATATTTTTGTTTATTAATAATGTTTATAATGTTATTTGGATAGTATTTCAGTAGAGAAGATTAGAAGAGTAAGTAATGTTTATTACAGATGCCTTTTTGGAGTATATTAAAGAAGAATATCTTTAGTTGTTTGAAATAGATTGAATGATTATAATAATGAACGATTATCATATAATAAAATTAATTAAATAAAGATACGAGAATATATTTATAAAAATAAATCACACACTTGTATAAATTTAATAAAAAATGGATACAGTATAATATTCAACATCAGTGAAGGATATTAATAAAAACTATGTAGAAGCATAATATGCTGTAAGAGGATTAGTACCATCGACAGCAGCAAAGATTTAAGAAGAAATAAAGAGTGGTAAATAATATCCATTTGAATCAATAACTGAGTTGAATATTGGCAATCCATAAACATTTGGATAGAAGCCAATATCATTTAATAGAAGTGTATTAGCAAGTATGTTGGACCCATCAATTCTTGAACATTAATCAGAAGATGTTCAAAGAAGAGTTAAACATTATTGTGATAAGATTGGTTTTCAAATAGGTGCTTACAGTTAATCTCCAGGATATCCAGTTGTAAGAGAAGCTATAGCTAAGTAAACCAATTTACATTAATATATTATAGTTTTATTCAAAAAAGAGATGCCACAGAAACTAAACCAAGTATCAATGATATCTTGTTAACAGATGGAGCATCAGCAGGAATAACTTTGATGTTTAATTTATTATTAAAGGATAATTAAGATGGAGTCATGATTCCTATTCCATAATATCCACTTTATTCAGCAGTGATTACCTAATGTGGAGCTTAATAAATTCCATATTATCTAGTTGAAGAAAAAGGATGGTCTGCTGAATAAACTGAATTAGAAGCCTAATATGAAAAAGCTAAATCAAATGGAATCAATCCAAGAATTTTAGTATGCATCAATCCAGGAAATCCAACAGGTTAAGTTTTCGATTAAAAGAGCATTGAACAAATGATTAGGTAATATTATATAATATTCTTTAGATTTGCATCTGAAAAAAAAATTGTTATTTTTGCAGATGAAGTATATTAAGAAAATATTTATGTGGAAAATAAAAAATTCATTTCTTTTAGAAAAGTAGCTTTAGAATTGAATTTAAATGTAGAAATATATTCATTCCATTCTATATCTAAAGGTATAACTGGTGAATGTGGACTTAGAGGTGGCTATATGGAAATAACAACCAAAGTAGATCCTGATGTACATTTCTAAATTCATAAATCTAAAAGTATCACTTATCGTATAATATAAATAGCTGTCATGCTTTGCTCTAATACTATTGGTCAATTAATGACTGGCTTAATGGTAACACCACCCACTAAATAAGAAGGATGTTCTGATCTAACTATTTAAAGATATAATTAAGAATGCCATGATCTATTTACAAGTTTATAAAGAAGAGCTGCTATTGTCACATAATTTTTAAATGATACTAATGGAGTTTCATGTTAACCAATTGAAGGAGCCATGTATGCCTTCCCTAAAATTGAATTACCAGGTATTAATACACTTATATATTTAGATAAATTCATTCAATTTGCAAAATAATCAAATTAAGAACCAGATGTTCGTTATTGTTTAGATTTATTATAAGAAACGGGTTTGGTTGTAGTTCCAGGTTCAGGTTTTCTTCAATTTCCAGGTACATATCATTTTAGAATGACCATCTTAATTTTACCAGAAGAAAAATTATTAGATAAAATGAAAATATTCAAATAATGGCATGAAACTCATATGGCAAAATTCCAATGATTTTAATTTATGGATATAAAAAGAAGAAATATTTAATATTCAAAACCATGTCCTGTTTATCTTCTAGCCTCTCTTGGATGTGTGACTACTCTCTTTAGTGAAATGGTTTGTTATCCACTTGAAGTCATCAAAGTAAAGTTATAAATGAATGGAACTTAAGGATGTCCTAAGTACAAATATATGAAATAATTCATTTCACAAACTAAATCTATTCAATTATATTACAGAGGATTTGATGCCCACATCTTGAAAATTATACCCTAATCCACAACAAAAATATTTGCTTATGAATTTATTCAGACTGCCTTTACAGGAAATATTGTAGAAACTTCATTTCTAAGAAAACTTTCAACTGCAGCTGCTGCTTATGGTGTTGCATTACTAACTGGAAATATGGGAGATATTTTTAGGATTAGATTAATCAATAATCAAGATCTATCTTTAATTTAAGCAATTCAACAATCATATAAAAAAACAGGTTTTAATGGATTTTTTAGAGGTTATTGGCTTAACTTAATTACTATCACTTCAATTTAAGCAATAGAAATCTCTCTCTTTTAGAAATTTAAAAGATTTTTTATTCACAATTTGGCTCTTAGTCATAATTCTATAATTACTGATGCACTTACCAGTCTTATTACAGGATTAACAAGTGGAATCTTGACTGCTCCATTAGATGGATTCAAAACTAGATATATGAATCAATTTATTGATCAATATTCATATTGGAATACATTTATCAATTTAATAAAAGAAGAAGGATTCTTAGCATTATATAAAGGAACTTTCCCATATTGTATTAAGTTGACTATTGGATCCACTTTTACCTTTGTCCTCTATGAATAATTTAAAAAACAAATTATTTGAATCATTTATATATATATGTATAAAAAAGATTATTATGAAAGTGATAACAATCACATTCTTCCTCATGAATATAACAATAAAATTAAATCTAATGATAAAATCTCTCTTAAAGAATAAATTAAATAGATATAATTATAAAACTACCCTTGAAAGAATTATTAATAGTAAATCCTATAGCTTTTATTTAAATTTTATTGAAAAGAATCTCTTAAAATTATTAACATAAAGAATCACATTAAAATATGTCTAATCATAATTTGATAATTTAAATTGTTTTAAAACTTTAGTAAAATAAGTTTATCTTTTAGAAGTATTGTATTGTTCTCATATATCTTGCAATAAATTCATAAAAATAAATGAAATAACAATTATTTGTTGGTATACTTAATCTACAAATCAGATTTGAGTTAATATATTAGAATAGATGATTTATTAGAAAAAGTTATTTGTATATAATTTTGGAAGAAAGAGTTGATATATAGGTAATAGATTTCGAATGATATAAATTTAGAAATAGATGAGTTTAATAATATAATTGATTATAAATGTGAATAAATGCATCAAACAAGCAAATCATAAAGTTCTTTTGAATCATTTACTAATTTAAATTATAAATGCATTTTCTTCATATTTTCCATGACTTCTTTAATGCTATCTTTTTTTGCAACTTCAATAGCAACTAAACAAGGTCCTCTTTCACGATTAGCTTTTTTTTAAAATTGTATATGAGTGATATCATCATCAGGGCCAAGACAACTATATAAGATAGTGAGTTTAATATATACAGACTAACGAAATTCTTAAGAATTCCTGATTTGAATGGCATTTCAATTAAAAAGAAATATTTTAATCCTTCATGTAATTGTGAATGTTCTTTAAATTCATCAAATCTAGATAAATCAACAGTTCCTCCACTAAGAATACATACAATATTTTTGCCTTTGATTTAATGAGCAAATTAATCAAGAACAGATACAGAGAGTGCCTATAAATTATAAAGCATAGTAATATTACACCAGAGGGTTCAACAGCAATTCCTTAATTATATAATTATAGAATAGTAGTGCTTACTTTACCTTCTTAGACTTTAACAAGATCATCAAGTTTTTCCATACATATATCCAAACATAATTTAGGAACAGAAGGAACAGCTGATCCTTCACAGAATCTAGAGAAATGTTCTTGTTTAACAACTTATTTAGCTTAGAATGCTTAAATCATAGAATCAGCACCATCTGGTTATACTCCTATAACTTTAGTATTTGGACTCATTTCTTTTATATATGTAGCAATTCCTGCAGCAAGTGCTCCTTGTCCAACTGGTAAAAAGATATAGTCTACATCACCAGGCATTTCATCAAGAATCTCAATTCCCTTATTTATGTTAAAACTATATATTATACAATAGTTCCACAACCATATATAGCTTTTATGTTATCACTTGGATGAATAAGTGTTTTTTAATTTTCCTTTATATATTTCTATGCTGCCTATTCACATTCATCAAAATTTTCACCTGCTGTTTTCACTTCCACATATTATTTACCATTCTTTTATATTAAATCAATTTTCCAACCATAACATACTTCAGGTACAAAAATAGTACCTTTTATAATGACGTACTATCATACCTTAAATCTTAAAATGATTGCAGAAGAAGGCAAATGCTTAAGCAAAGTTACCATCACTTACTGTTACTACTCCCTTCTCTCTTTACTCTTTTGAAAGAGATTACAATGATGTAAATGCACTTCTCATCTTAAACACTCTAGTCAATTATTAATCTTCCCTTTTTAAGTATACTGTTGCTTCATATAATTCAGACAATTTTAATGATTTTTATAACTTTGTCTAAAATTATATTCCACTTTCTCTCATCTATTTATGTGCTTATGTTATGTAGGGAATCATATTAATTATTTATTTTTATAGTCATCAAATTATTAACTATTTATTAAACATGTCTAATATATTGTAAAAAATGGTTACTAAAGAAGTTAAAAGAAGATAAGTTGAAACACGTTTATTAAACAAATCATAACAAACTTTGAGATAACTTATACCTGATTTAAAATCTCCTCTTAAAACACCTCAAGTATCAACAGCTCTTGAATAATTCAAGAATAAATTTACAGAAGGCAAATATATTTTACAAATTGAATAACAACGAAAAAGTTAATTAGATGAAGTATTTCTTAGAGTACAATTACCAATTAAAAGAGATTTATTAGAGGTATTATTGTAATAATTTGAAACAGAATTATGGAGAGTTTGTAATGAATAGAATTTACACTATTTAAGCGATCGTTATTTGAGTTATCAATTATCTAATAATAAATTTCTTAAACATCTTGTGTAATTTGTTGATGAATAAAAGGATAAAGCAGAAATTGCTTTAGCATAATTAGCAGGGAAAGAATCAACCATTCTTGAATTATAAAATAAATATACACAATTGTAAACGATGTTTCAACAATTATCACATCATAAAGATGATGGTTAAACCAAACTTTCTAAAAACGAAAGTGTTAAAAGATAAAAAGAATTGTATATGGAAAATGTTAGATTAAAAAATGAAATTGAAAGAATTCAAGATAAATTAAAATAAATTGAAAATTAAACTAATGTTTAGAAATTACAAGAATAATATTAAGAATTAGCACGAAAATCAAGTGAAAAAATTAATGAATTACTTAATGAAAATTAAATTAAAGAAAAACAAATTTAAAAATTGAATCTCCATTATTAGAACATCAAATCTTAATATAATAAATTAGAAAATGAATCAAAAGCATATTAGACAGTATTTGAAGCTAACAAACAACATCTTGATCGATTAATTAAAGAAAATGAAATTCACACTAACTTAATGAATAGATACAGAGAAATAGCCTGTATGTAAAGAGAAGATTTCGAAGTTAGACTTATGTATTATAAAGAAGAATTAAATGTGGCATCTAAAGCTAAAGATAAATTAATGCAGTTGCAATCTAAATTGGATCGTTTTCAAATTGAAAAATCTAAAGACATAGAACCACTTCCGAATAACAATTATGAAAAAGAAAAAACAGGTTTAGAAAAATTCAATGATTTATTTAGTAATGATAAGACATATTAACGTTTGACTTATTAAGCTTTACAAGAAGAGAAAGGAAGGATTGTAACAAGAGTAGGACATTCAATAGTAACAATGGAATAACATTTTAATGCATAGGAAATTTAATTAGAAAAGTTTACAATAGGATATTGTCCATTTATAAACTTAGTTGAACATCATAAAAAGACATTAGAACAAGAATTCAGTGGATTATAATATAAAAGACCTAATCTACAATTATTAGTTACATTAAGAGTAATTTTGGATAGCAAATGGAATGAAATGTAATTGAAAGGAGAGAAATTATGGAGTCATTTAGCTGAATTCACTTATTCTCATTTAATGAATTTTAAAGTTGATATGTAAAGTAAATCAATAAAAAAGATTGATTAAGATGTTCATCGTATAGATGATTAGATAATAAAGTTTATAGTTGATTTCAGTAATCCTGTATTTGAGAAGAATTGGGAATGCATAACATTTTAAGAATTTTTAAATGATTTTACAAGTTAAGATGAGATGTATTTTTATTTATATGCTCGTAATCTGTTATTTAGAGGGCCAGAATGTTCACATAGTACAGCATTTTATGAACCACATCATTACATTCCATTACTATAGGCAGAATTTGTTGCTACTCATCTTCTCTCTTAATATGAAACTGCTACTCTATAATAAGTTAAAAAAGTATTTAGAGAAAAAGCAGTTAATAAAACCATCACAAAGAATCTCTTTATTGTTGATGCTTCCTTTGTTCTAAGAATATTACTAGAGTTTTATAGAGTAGAACGTAGAAATAGATATAAAATGTTTAAAATAGCATTTGGTAGTCGTGCTACAAATATCAGTTTCAAATAATTTAGAGTAGTTCTCATTAGTAATTATCCTTACATTACTGACCTTGAATTAGCAACACTATACAGAGAAGCTTATTCATTTACGGGTACTGGAGTTTCAATTGATTCCTTTTATACTATAGCATCTGATACTGCATTTTTTGTTAAACATCTAAAATTATAAAATCTTACTACTTAACCTAAAATTCTTAATAAAGAATTCCTTTTTGAACCTGATACATAACCCTTCCTTATTGTCAATGAAGCCTACAAGAGAGTAAATTATACACTTATTTTAGTTTTAAGCTTATTAGAATAAATTTGAATAACTCTTAATTGATTTTGGTTTGGAAGAGCTTTTCGCATAATTTAAAGAATTAGACAATCTGATTTAATATCAATTTGCACCTCTCTAATATAATCAAAAATCTCTATCTTAAATTATTGAACATTATATGAGTCTATTTAGAAACATTAATAACATCATTTGCAATAGGCTCTACCTTTAAGATTAGTAAATCTTATTTAATTATACCATAGAATTCAATAAGGATAAGAGTTTCTATCTAAACATGAAGAAAAAATGAAACTCAATAAAGAACAGAATAAAGATGCTTAATTTTATTCAGGTGATAATTTTAATAAACAATATTTGAGAAGAGATGACTTCATTCCAGATATTGAAATTCTTAAAGGATAAATGGATTGTTTAGAACATTTAGGCTCCTATTTAGAATCTTATGAATTACTCAAAAAAAGAAAAGACTATTGTATGATAATTTAAGCAAAAAAAATACAGAAATTCGTTAAGAAAAAAATGAATAAATTCTACAGTTTTGTAAGTTCTTTACTTAGCGCTAAATTTAAAGCTTCACTTAAGTAAGGTAAATGACAATATAATATTAATTATTTTATATAAATAATATTTGTTAATATCAATAATTATTAAGATAGTTATGAATGTTTAATACCTTCATGACTTAATTTATATATACAAATTTTTAAAGAATCCATTTCTAATTTTCTATTCAATTGCTCCAAAAATATTTGGAAGCTTCATAAACTTCACCAAAATTCTAGTATTAATTAAGTTTCTTTAAAATTTTAATCTTTAAATGAAATTAATATTCATTTTTTGACATGTACTTTACAGAAAAACTACTTAGCAAAAATTCATCTTTTTATTAAACTTATAAGTTCAAATATCGAATTACTATCTTAACATCATCTTTCTTTGACATTTTCAACAATTTCTTGTTGATTTATGTTTTACCCATTTACATCATACAACAATCACAATAATCAGAGTATAATTTATTTCGATATATTTATTGTAAACCAAAAGTAAAACAAAATTTGTAATTTATTATATAGATATAATTCTATTTACTTTCTCATTTAAGAAATTTATGCAAATTGATAACTCTAACTCAAATATGCTGCTAATGATTAAATTAATCAATCTAACTTTTTATCAACATTTATACTAATGAAGTCGTATGAAATTTAATTATAATAAATAAAATATAAATTTCATTTTTAATCAATTTTTGAAGAAAATCATTTAATTTTTTAACAGTAAAAACTCTTGGTGTATTGAGTTATCGATTCTGTCACCCCAGTTATTAACTTAGGATTTTATGTATTTTTAATAGGTATATTGGTTTCTTCAAAAATACTTTTAATATATTCGTGTTGCATTGCATCATCAAAAGTAAATCTATTATCTAAATTTGGGTTCAATAATCCAATGATAAATTCATTGCCTTTATCTGGAATATAAGGTAATGAATTGTAAGAATCTTTAAATCCATAACTACATAAGATTGTATTGTTACAGCTTGATTATAATTTATCCAATATAAAAAAGATAGTTGTTAATTTAAATACTATTAGATCCAAAACCTTAACAGAAACTAATAAGTTTAATGTTACCACGTCTATCCATCATTAGATTAGACAATTTAAATTTGGAATATTAAATGTTGTAATCCATTAGAACCTTAACTGTTTTTAGTAAGTCCTAACAATACCTTAGTGAAATAATACCAATGCAATGATTTAGATTTCTTCATGAATCAAATCTACATTTAGATGACGATCTAACAATTCCATAACAATATAGATGTGGGCCTTTGATTCATATATTTCATATAATTTCGGGAAATTATTATGTTGTTACAGTTTGTACATAATAATAATTGATTAATACAATTATTCTTAATTGTAGGCATCTTTTCTGAAAGATCTACAACAAAATTGTACTTTTGTTAACTTATCTTCCACTTTACAGATCTTAAATTTTTGATAAAATTACTTTACAATACTTTTTATCAGAAAGCAACTCTATTGTTTAATAAAAATTCTAAATCCCCAAATATGATACTCTTCCATCAAGATGATGTTTTAATTAATATAAATTTTCTTGATCGGCTTTTATCATTAAATCTTCAATATGAATAGCTTTTATTCCAGAAATAGAAATATCCCATTTCATTTTTATTCTTGGATGGATATCGATTTTAAATAATAAATTGTGCCTTGTAATTTCAATTCTTGAATCAAAAAGTGTGAGATTATGTTCAACATTTAAAATCCAACAGGGAAATTGTAAGATGGTTAGCATATAAATTTGTTTTTAATAAAATTGAATATTAGTGCATTTTTAATATAATCAAATCACTATTATGTATAATGAAATTGCAATTTCAGTATTAAAGTCTCTACAAATATGATATTAATAATAATTATTATTTATTTAAATACATGTATATTTAATTCAAAAGATTTCATCAAGATTTATTTTAGAACATTTTTTTTTTGTTTTTTTAACTGTTCGAAATAAAAAAGCTTTATTTCCAAATATAACTTTGATTTGATTATCAAAATGGACATTCTTTTCTTTAGATTTTTTAAATGATTATCCAAAATGAGATGTCTATTTTAAACAAGATTTTTTAGAAGTTAAAGCTGAATAACTTGAGTAGGTTGTTGGGATAGTGTTTTCTGGTGTTTTATTATAGATATAAAAGCTATCATCTGCTTGATCGATATGAATAATTTGTTATGTTCGTAACAATAAGGCTTTAGGTTCAACATGAGAATGAATTTCAAGAATTGCTTATTCATTCTCATTATTGAATTCATCAATATCAAAAGTTAATTACTCTTGATTGATGTCTTTTGTTGATACTGCACAACCCATTAAGATTAATATTAATTCTTTCCATATGAGTATTAATTATTAAAAACAAATAAAATGAAGAATTGGAGAATCTATTATATATATAGAATTAAATTATAAACTTAAGGATAGTAGGATGATAAAATTAAATGCTTGAAAAATAAAATTGGATATTTTCTTAAATTTAATAAAATTCATGTAAACTCTATTATTTTTAGATATCATAATACACAGTAATTAATTTAATGTAGATTAGCATAGATATGAATTAGATTGTAAAATTAAATAGAATTGGAATAAAATTAAGATTAATATAGAAATGCGATATTTAATTAATAGGTATATAGTTTATAATAAATTATATGTAATATATATATATATATTTAATCATTATGATAATTTAATGAACCTTTTCTCTATAGCATCAACTCTTTATTAGATTTTGAGCATCTTGGCATTGACCTAATCTAATCGTTTTCTAGCATCAGATATCCTTTCAAATTAGTGTAGGTAGTGTTGATCTTTGCCAAAATGGGTGTCTTGGGTAAGCATTTGCATTTCTAAGTGAATATAAATAAAGTACCATCTTTGATCTAGATTAATAAGGCTTCAAGTTAAGCTTGTTGAGCTTATAATTCATCAGTTTGATTGAATTATAATAACTTTTCAAATATTTCGTGAACTTTGGTGTCCATTAATATTAATATAATTTAACGAAAATAAATGCTTAAAAACCCAAGAGTAAAGGAATGTCTAACATCTCGATTGTAATAATAGGAATGTTGCAAATTATAAGGACATGAAAATAATTTGATTTAATTTGTTTGTGCTTGTCATGAATGTCCATATCGATATTAGAAAGCATGTGCACATTGTGTAATAAAATTACATGGGAAACATGTAGAGGATATGAAAGAAATAGATGAATTTGATTAAATAATAAATGAAAACAGTAAGAAAGCAAAGAGTTTAATGAAAGAGAGTGAGGAACTGATTTAATAATTGAATAATCCATTTAGCAATTTCTTTAAATAATTGAAATAACAATTGAATGAGATAATTGATAGTGTTTAATAACGATATCTAGTATAAAATTAAGAGAGAGCATAATAATTAATAAAGAATGAATTAGATTTGATAAATTAATTCAATTAGAATGTATGGATTAAATAGAACCGCTATTTAAATGATCATTCTCTGACGCAATATGATCGATCATTAAAGACAGCCTAAGAGAAGTTGAATAATGCATTTTAGTTATTTGAATTGAAATAGTTGTTAGAAACAAACTTAATAATCTTAATTGAAGATTTTGGTAAAAATAATGGAATGAGTTATATTAGCAATACTAGTAGGAATATGAGTTAAAGACATAATAGTTGTCATAATACAATGACTCCAAGATCAGCATTAAATGTGTTTAATCACAATATTAGTGTGGTTAGATCTAAGAAAATTAGGAATTGATTAATTTATGAGTAAATAATCTAAATAATATCTCTCAACATCTGCACCTCACATTGAAACATCTTAATTATCTAGTGTATCACCTAAAAAAGAGTTTTATGATGCTACAAAACAATTGGAAGCTGCAAAGAGAAGAATCAGTCTTCTTAGATTGGAAAATGAAATAAGGTATTATTTAACTTTATAGGTAAGGGAGAAGAAATTATAAATACAATAACAAAAATAAGAACAATTAACTAAAATTAGAGAAGACCATGAACTCTTTAAAGAATATAAATAAGCACACAAAGAATAAGTGAATATGCAATTACAGAATTTAGTACATAGAACTAGGAACATGAAAATGTAACAATCATAAGATAAGAAATTAATCTAATACAACTTTAGATAGATGAAATAATAGGAAGTGAAGAATATTAAAGAACAATCCTAAAGAAATGAGTATATTATTAGATAGAACTTGGACTCAATAAAATAATAAAAGGCAGAATAAAAATAATAAGTATAAACTTAAGTCTAACTTGCTTAATAAACTATTTAGAACTTTCGTAAATAAAAATATCTTCGATTCATTTAAGAACATTAAATCTCTAAATCTCAGCATTCCATGGAAGCCGACTTAAAGTTGTAATAGATAGAAGAACTCAAAAAATAGGAAGCCTACTTACTCATCAAATTAGATGAAACAACAAATGTATTTATCTAATTTATATATTATAAAAGCAAGTCAATAAACTTAATTAAAGTGTCCTTATTAAACAATCTTAAACAACACCAAAAACTGCATCCTATTTTTGAGATATTATTATATTTTTACAATCATTTTATTATTACTAATAAATTATTATTAAATGACTGAAGACGATTAAGTAATTCTTTTGTACATTATCATTATAGCATTTTCTTCAAGATGACAATAGTGAAGATGATAAATTTGAAGAAAATCTTCAAAAACAATATGCAGTAATTCTGTTACACTTATTCTAGTTATATCCTAAAATTAATAATAAAAGACCTGAATCCAAACATGGAAGGCCTGAAAGTTCCAAATTCTCATATAAAAAATAAGAATAACAAATCATTGAATAATAACCTAAACTTTTAGAAGCCATTCCTACATCTCAAGCTCTCAAAAAATTTAATTAATTGGTTTCGTTTCACAAAATACAAATTGAATAATTCTGGAAAAATCATACTATTATGGCTTCTTAAAAAGAATTTAAAGGTTTTCTAACAGAATCAGGTACAAAATCAATAATAAATAAGGATTTTAATTTGATCATAATGAAATCAATTAAATTCTTAGCGATCTATAAAATGAAAATTTAGTAATTACAATTGAAAGTCTGTGTAAGAAAGTACCTGCATGGCATCAAAATGAGAGTATTTCTTCAGCTTGATTATTCTTCATAGATGCTATGTTAGAGTTTATAAGGGAAAAAGCACTTAAATTGGCATAAGAATCCAAGAATAAATTTTAAGCTTAAAAAAAACCTAAACCATAGTCAGCAAGTACCAAACGTAGTGGATTTAATAAAGGAGATTCAAGACCTATAAGTGGAATATCAAAAAAGTATCAATCTAATTTTAGTGATTTGAGAATGTATTTATATACTTATAATTTAGATCTAATATCAATGAAAAACAATTATAAAATAGATCAAAACATTATTTGCAATTGGCTAAATAAAAATAATAGGAAGAAGATCGACTTCTCTAATTAACAATTAATTAAGGGAAGAATGAATATGAATATGAAATATTGATAAAGATGGGAGAAGCTAATGAATTATCTTAAGAATTAGAAAGCAACATTACTTATCGAGCTTATAAAACGGCATAAGGAAATCTAAAAGTTCATGTATATGAATTGGAACACTTTTAAAGAGACTTAACATTGGAGGATTTTTAAAGAGAATACAATATATTAAGAAGCAGATATAATGAAAAAAAAAAATTAAAGATTTGGGAAGTGCTGAGTGAAAAGAAGAAAAATTAAAAAAGTCTATAACATTTTGGATCTTCTTAAAAAGAAGAAATAAAATAAAATGAAATTGATGGTAAGGCTACAAATAAAAAAGAAAGATAACAAGAATTAAAGAAAGTACTTTTAGAAACAATGATGCTTTCAAATGTAATAAAAGAGTAATTGGTAGTATTGAATAGGAAGGGTATCAATGCAATTCATAATCAAAGTGTAAAATTATGATATAATATATATTTGATTTGATACTCTATAATTAGTTAAGTTCTTAGAGGTTTTTCATTAAATAATAATTGATAGTAATATTTGGATAATATTAATGTCTTCTAAAAAAGAAGTAATTACAAAGCATAGAGTTGAAAGTGCTACAAGATCTTAGAAGAGAAAATTGGAATAGGCTATTCTATAAATCAATAGTCAGTAACCTTTAACAAAAGCTTAACAAAAGCTACCTACAGAAGAGGTTGAATTATATAATAATGTAAATGTGTAACATGTGATCAATGGAACTGATTTAGCTTGGAATCACTTAGAGAATATGCCAAAGAAATAAATGGATCTTGTCTTTCTCCCTTAAGCAATAGCTGGAATGTAGAATGTTTATTGTGTAGTAAAGAAAAAATATAATGCAGAAATGGCTAAAAAAGAATAATAAGAAGCTGAGAGAATTTAAAAGAGATAAGAGAAACATCGTTTATTTGAATAGAAGAAATTAAAAAATGAATAGATGTATGCTAAGATAGGTTTGAAAAAAACTTATTAGTCTGTTCCTGCGACTTAATTTACAGAAGAACCACTTTTTTAAAGATTAAGTTAACCTAAATAATCCTTTATTTAATAATCCACTTATGATCTATCAGATTTTAAAGGGTTACCTATAAAAAATCTTACCTTTTTAGATAAATATAAAAATCCAATTTTAGTTAATCATTTTATAAATTCAAATCTATTACCTAAATCTGTAAATAAAGAGAAACTAAGAACTAAATTTGAAACATCAGATCAAAAAGTTCAGTAATTTCAAAATACAATTCAATTAGATGAATTAAATTTAGATAATGATTATAAGGATAATGCAATGTTAGAAATAGATCAATTCGAAAAAATGTTATCTACTAAACCATAAACTATGTATTCATAAGTTAAAGATCGAGAAATTTAATTATTGTAGTCTGTTGAAGGATTTAGATCTCTAAGAAAAATTAAAAAAGATACAAATTATAGACATTTAATTGGAGATCAGATTAGAGATTAAATTTTAATCAAATAATGATTTTAATTAACAAATTATCAAATTTGAACCTTTTTTGAGACAGTATCATAAAAATTACAATCTTCTTCTTTGATTTCTGTATCATATTCATCATCTAATTATTTCCATAAGTTAGAAATATTAAGTTCTTTTTGAAACTTATTCTATTATGATATTAAAATTAATTTACTTTTTCTAAACCTAACAAAAACTTAGCTACTTAAATTGGAGTAAGAATACTTCTCATTTCATCAATGAAATTTTCTAAAGAATTAGTTCTCTAATAAAGGTTTTCTTTAACAGTTTACAATTATTTAATAATACTAGAAATAAATTAAATTCTTATACTCTTCTAGTTTTTCCTTATCTGATTATATTCTTTTATAAGATTTCTTTAAAGATTTCATCTATGAATCTGTTATATTAATTTCTCTACTCAAATCTTAAAACCAATTTGGTTCAATTAAATTTGATGCTGAAGACCATAATAAATATTTAACATGAATAGGAAAAGAAATCTCCAATATTTATTACAAAAAATAATTTGAAGCATTTACTCTCTCTTTTCCTCCTCCTCCAACTCTAAATCTCATTGAATCAAGTAATAGATTTATCTCATTGTTATCATAATTGTTTTATACAGCAGATTCCAATTTATCAAACAATTACTATCTACCTACAAAAAAGTTTTATAACTAAATTCATGTGAAAACAATTACTTGAGGATTAGATCCAATTTATTACATACAACTACTATGACCTTTAATTATCTTTTTACATTTCTCTAATTCCTCTCTTAATGTATTTACTCTATTTTCTAACAATTCTAAATAAATCTTCTTTCTCTTTCTTGAATTTCTTGCACATTCTCTATTTCTAATTAATTTAGCTTATGTTGAATCATCTGTGTTTGTCGATACTTTCCTTTCAAATTTTGGAGTCACTATTGGTTTAGATTCTTAAATTAGAGATGTTATTTTATTAATATAGGTATTCTTTAAGTTTTATTTGCTTGCCAATATTGTCTCCTCTGATTTTTTCTTCCTTTATTATCTCTTTTCTTAACTCTATTCTGGTACTTAAAATGAAGAAAAGAACTCTTGTTAATTTATACCCTCATCATCTGAATGTTAAGATTACATCAAGTAACTATTATTAACATAACCAAAGTTTGATCTTCATGATATTTTTTATTTAATACTGATGCTAATCCATTAAAAAATTCACTAAATGGTCATCTCCAATCAGTTCAAAATGATTATTATACATTTATTTAATATTTCATCATTTAAGCTAACTATTTATAAATTATTATCACATATTGTAAGTATCTTTTCTAAATCCTTTCCATATCCTTTAATGCATTTGCAAAATCAAAAATTATTTTCATTTACTAATAAATAGATTCATATATCTTCAAATTCTCATTTATTTTACAATTTTTTCACCTTTACTAATAATCAAAAATATATTAAACCAATCAAAAAATTAATAATACTTTAGAAATCTAATAATCTAACAAAACTATTACTTATACAGATTATCAACCATTCAAAATATTGTATTCTTGTAAAATTTAATTAAAAAGAGAAAATAATTAATATGTTCAAATTTACAAAATATTTGAATAAATTAGAAATTTAAAATAAAGTTTAATCTTAAATTTAATACAGGAAAGGTTCTTTTAAGATAAAAAAATCATTTCTGTATATTTATAGTGCTTACTTTTTTTATAAATTGAGATTACGATTTATATATATACTTTTGATTTTTTATGATATATCAAATAAAAAAGATTAGATATAACATCTCATAAAGAGCACAGGTAACTTTTTTACTTTTACAATAAAGAACTTATATTATTATTTTTAAAAATAGTTACAGAAGTACAAAATTTTAGAAGCTTGATCCAAATGGTTACTCCATATATTATAAAAAAAAGTTGGAAATATTTATAATAATATTACTTGAGTATTTTTAAAACTATTTTAATCTGTATGTAAAAAATTTTTAGATAAAAAATTTTTTATAACATTTTTTATTTTTCTTCAGATTTTTAAACAAACTTTTTGTTTTTTTATAATTACTTTTTAATAAATGAAAAGAATTTGGATAACTGTAAGAATTTAATTAAAATAAGATAAATTTCCTAAATTAATCAGTTTTATGAAGGGACTTGTTTAATGAAATGACGATTATTCAAAAAGGGATATATTATAATATCATTGAATGTAATTTTTGAATGNCATCTCCAATCAGTTCAAAATGATTATTATACATTTATTTAATATTTCATCATTTAAGCTAACTATTTATAAATTATTATCACATATTGTAAGTATCTTTTCTAAATCCTTTCCATATCCTTTAATGCATTTGCAAAATCAAAAATTATTTTCATTTACTAATAAATAGATTCATATATCTTCAAATTCTCATTTATTTTACAATTTTTTCACCTTTACTAATAATCAAAAATATATTAAACCAATCAAAAAATTAATAATACTTTAGAAATCTAATAATCTAACAAAACTATTACTTATACAGATTATCAACCATTCAAAATATTGTATTCTTGTAAAATTTAATTAAAAAGAGAAAATAATTAATATGTTCAAATTTACAAAATATTTGAATAAATTAGAAATTTAAAATAAAGTTTAATCTTAAATTTAATACAGGAAAGGTTCTTTTAAGATAAAAAAATCATTTCTGTATATTTATAGTGCTTACTTTTTTTATAAATTGAGATTACGATTTATATATATACTTTTGATTTTTTATGATATATCAAATAAAAAAGATTAGATATAACATCTCATAAAGAGCACAGGTAACTTTTTTACTTTTACAATAAAGAACTTATATTATTATTTTTAAAAATAGTTACAGAAGTACAAAATTTTAGAAGCTTGATCCAAATGGTTACTCCATATATTATAAAAAAAAGTTGGAAATATTTATAATAATATTACTTGAGTATTTTTAAAACTATTTTAATCTGTATGTAAAAAATTTTTAGATAAAAAATTTTTTATAACATTTTTTATTTTTCTTCAGATTTTTAAACAAACTTTTTGTTTTTTTATAATTACTTTTTAATAAATGAAAAGAATTTGGATAACTGTAAGAATTTAATTAAAATAAGATAAATTTCCTAAATTAATCAGTTTTATGAAGGGACTTGTTTAATGAAATGACGATTATTCAAAAAGGGATATATTATAATATCATTGAATGTAATTTTTGAATGAACTTATTTATATTAATATATCTCTTAAGAAAGATGAATATTCTTTTATATATTGTAATTATAATAAAAATTAAGTGTAATAAACATGGACTTGAAAATTATATTTATATAATTTTTATTAAAAATAGTAAAAAAAAATTTATAGTTTGGAATTTCAACGCTTGATTTTAAATTTAAATTGAAATGAAAAAACATCTTATGGAATTCAATTTCTGAAATAAAGATCAACAGTTGCTGGAATGATCTATAATTTTTTGTAATATAATTTTAATATTAAAATTAAATTATATGAAATATAGTTTATAATGAAATTTTGATTATTTAAGGTAAGAGCATTGAAAATAATAAGCTCCATATGGCAAATTTGTTAAACAAAACTTCTTTATTGAATTATTCTAATATTGTGATTTAATCTATGATTTAATACATTTAATATATATATATAAAAATGTAAAATTTAAAAGAATGTTTATTATCTGAAGGAGGTTATAAAAACACAAAACGATTTAAGGAAAATATTTAGGATGAGTAAATTGATAAAATATTATTGTAGGGACACTTTGAACTATGTAATTGAAACCTTAGAAGACATCTACTAAAATCCGAAATCACAACCGATTTCATTAGTGCTTGCAATGAGAGTAAGTCTGTTGGTATGTTTAGCTGAGTAGTTAACAAAAGAACTGATGGATCTTCATTATGATTGTGTAGTATTTTCTATAACAAACAACATTGTTTACATGATAGAGGATATTATCATAGCAGATTTAAAGAAAAACGAAAGAGGCAAATTTTATTTTAGTGATTAACCAGGTATAATTTAAATAAATTAGATTAATCTCTTATATTGCTTGGAAATACACTTATCCGTTTAGCACTGGAATGCATTTTTGTATGGAACTTATGGCATCCAAATAATTTAGCTATCAACTAAGTGTAATTGAATAAGTCTCCCTTTTAGTTATTAAAGATTAATTGAAAAAGGAGTACAGTTCCCAAAATTACATTATTTCAATGCTTAAAAAGTTAAGGAATACTACCTGACTGTCAAAGAAAGTTCAAGAAATGGCTCTATTTACAGATAGTAATCATTAATGTTAAACGAACAATATTTTGATCAACTTAAAACTAAAATTGAGAAAAATCAGTATAATAATGTCAAACTACATGAAATCAATGAGGAGTTAAAATGTTATTATATTTTTATAATATAGAAATCAAGAATGTTAACGAAAATTAAAAACAATTCATTGAAAACTTTAATAAGGCATATAAAGATTATCTTATTACAAATAAAATAGATGAGTTCAACAATTAAATTTAATCAATGTATTTGTAGTATTAAATTAAGTTGCTTAGAATACGATGAATTATCTAGCTTAAATAAATAGAGTAAGAATCTTATCATTTAAACTAGATAGCGCTATATAATTTTGTACATATTCAACTGACAAATAAAGCAATCAATTTTCAAGAAGTATCAGTGTAAAATTGATCTTATTGTTTATTTTAGTCTTAAAATTCTTAAAAAAAAAACGGGAGCAATGACAAATAATTATCCATTGAGGAATTACTGCATGAAAATGAACTTATTTAGGCATAAATTCAAAATTTTGAAATTCCAAAATCCAATAGTCATTTTCAGAAAATAGATTTGTGAATCCTAGATTGATAATCATTTATATTATATTTTATTCAAATCTTTAAAAAAAATTATTATAACAGATAAAAGTTTTTGATTATTCTCAAAATATTAATAAATATTTATTTTCTGACTATTTTTACATAAAATAGTATTTAAGTTAATTTCCAATTGAGAAATTAATTATTATATTTTTATTGAATTTAAAATAGATATAAATTAAATATTTTTTTAATATTTAAAGCTGTTTATAAAGGGGATGAAATTAATTTTTTAAGAATAGCTTAATGACATAATCAATATTAATGATTCACGATTTAAGTAAAAGATTTTTCTTAAATAATTGGCTTGATGTAAGTTCATTACCCAAATCATTTGAAAAAATATTGCATTCCAAAATTTATGTTTAAAAGCATGAGAAAAAAAATAGTCTTTTTATTGATATAATTTGATAATTTTCAGCATTCAAGTTAATTTCTTCTCATACCCAAATAACTGTAGTTAGGATAAAATTTTATAACCAATTTACTAAGTAAAAACCTCTATTTTTTTTAATGAGGTATAGAATTTTAATAGTTAAAATTTATATTTGTTCTTTTTGATATATAAGCCCTCTTTTTATGGTTTTCATTAATTTAGAAATAAAAATATTAGTTTTTTAAATATTTTCTAAATACATTATCAATAAAAATTTATAAACTAACCTCAAATAAAAAATGATTACTAGGATTGTTCTATCTAGATATATAAATTTCAATTTAGTTTGTCTGAATAAATAATTTTTGGATTATTTTATAATAATTTATTTACTATTTGTTTATTTTTAAACTAATATATTTTAGATGGAAAAATATTTTATCCAATAAATAATTAATAAATGAATATCATAATAAATTAATCTTAAAAATTCAAAATAAATAATTTCTCAATTGATTTATCATCTGATTCATTGTAACAGGGTTTTGTCAATAAAATTTAATCTAGATATCTTAAAATAAACCTTTATTAAAATAAAATGTCTCATTAAGTTAAAAAGTTATGGATAATAAGAATTAATAATGAATAAACAAATTTTTGAATGGAAAAATTGATTTCATAATTAAAATATTATAATTTGACAATTTTTATTATCTACTAAGAGATAAATGAACTATTAATTATAGAGATAATAAGTTGAGAAAATGTAAGATTTGTAAGTAAATATATATTTAAAATGCAGATGGTAAAATATTTTGAAATATAAAATATAAGATAAGCTATTTTTTGTTTAAATTTGATCATGAAGTGGATTTTAGGATTTCATAAGGTATTTTCTAAAATCTTGCAGCTTCTGGATTGAATTCTGGAGTTTCTATGAATTACAAAAATAGATTTTATAATCTTTATCTTAGCCCCTCTAAAGAAGGTTCTGGTCTTCCTCTATTTAACATATCTGCTTCTCTATCAATTAAATCAACAATTTCTCTAGTTAAATTACAATCCCATTCTTTAACTGTCCATTTAGTATTAACAAGAATATCAAGTCTTTCATCTAAGCTTAATTTTCTTTATTTTAAGCCTATAATGTAAGTATATAATAATACCATTATAAATATCCATTAATTCTCTTGCTCTTGTTGTATATAGAGTATGAACTTCAGTTAATCTACCATCAGATTTTCTAAGCCATTTTTTAGGATCTGATATAGATTTTAAGAATTTATTAATTTTTTCATCTTTATTTTTTTAATTTGCTATAATTTTCAACCTATCAATAGTTTATAATAAATCAGTTTCTTTATTTAAGACTTATTTAAGAGCAGCTCTTTTTTCATCTTCAGTCATAGCAGATGATTTAATTCTAGCAATTTCAGTTGTTCTCCAAAGCTAATAATTTAATTAATAATTTATATACTTCTAATTCTTCATATAATATTTAAAAATCTTCTTTAGTTCTAGGATTAGTTCTTCTTTCAATTTCTTTTTTATGTCTAACCTCTTCTTATCTTCTAAAGTCTTCTTCTTTTTCTAATTATTCATTTTATAATTATTATTTTTTCTATCTTAAAGCATTTGTTCTTCTTCTTGCAAACCAACCTCTAATTAATCTTTAAATGAATAAAGCAGCTTCTTCTCTTCTTTCTTCCCACATTTCACTTGTAAAATATCTAAAATATTATTATTGTAAAACAGTTACTCTTTTGATTAAAAAATCCTATCATTTCTCAAATCAATAAATAAATCTTCTTTCTCCATTTATGTTCCAAATTCTTTCATCATAATTGTTGATTTTGTTGATTCAAAATGAGTTTAAGTATCTCTATGATTTTTTTCTTTATGTTCTCTTCTGTATTAATTAGTTTATGCAAATGCATGATGTAATAAAGCACCACTCTTTTTATTCTTTAATCCTCCTAAATAAGGCTTTTAATAATCTAAATAAATATTTTAAATTAATAACTTGCTTTAATTATTTAGATTGTCAAAGTATATTTCTTTTATACTTCTCCTTTTTCATCCTTAATAACAACAACTGATTCAAATTATCTTCCCATTGTCTATTCATATTGATCATCTTCATAAAACTATTCTTAATCCTCTAGAAAGTTGACCTGTTAATTGTTATCCATTTTCAGAGTTATTTATATAATAAATATAAATACATAAGATTATTAAAGTTCAATTTTTTAAAATCCAAATTTTAATATAACTTCTACTTATAGCATAAAGATAAGTTCCATCGTCAGATAGAATAGTAGTGCCAATGCTAGTACTTGAATCTATTATGTGCAATAATTTAGCTGTCACCCAATCAATTATTTCAATATTTTCACTTGTTGTTAGAATTGCTTTCGAATCTGTTAAATTTAAGTGCATTACATCATTTTTACTTTCAGTTTATAATCTTCTAAGAATTTTTAAATTTATTTAATTTATAAGGTAAATTCGTGATCTCTTCTACCCATTTATTAAGAATAATTGACAATTAGAGACACTATTTATGAATGCTACTTATTTTATTTAATATTGAGGATTCTTCATCTTTTCACATTTCTTTATTGAAGGAAAATTAATTAGATTTATTGGTCCTGTTGTACCATAAATGAAAACTTTAGATTCACTTATAAATTATGCAAAGTTTAATCCATAAGGGAAATGACACTTTTAAAGTAACTCACAAGATTTAGAATTAAAAACTAACAGTTACTTATCTGAACTTGCTGATATTAAATAATTTTCATTTGGACTGAAATCTACCTTCATTACATATGCTGAATGATGTGATAACAATCTAAATTATATCTCCTACATTCCATTATACTCTATTACTCCAATATTGCAATCAGCTGAACCACTGGCTAAATATTTCCCTGTAGATGAAAATTTGAGTGTGATTACAAATTTTTAATGATATTTATAACTCTTGATCAAACTTAAGTTTTTATATAAAAACATATTTCCATCAAAGTCTCCTCCCATCAATAGGTTTTCATTCTTATTCAAAGTTATGACATAAAAACTATTGAATGTATTTTGTATTATTTTGAACAACTGTAATTGAGTATCATTATTATTATTATTAGCATTTTGCATTTTATATAATAAAATAATTCTTAAAATTAATGGATGTTTCAAACTAGATTACAAATCAAAAACTTTTCCATATTGAAGCTCTTCCATTAACATTTAATATCAATAAAACTAAACATTAATAAACATATACTAATTGCTTAAGTATTATCAAATTACTAAATCAATCTGGTCACTTTTCAACAAATTTAAAATCTTCATAGTGATCATTATTTTTGTTAACTATTATTATAATTTCAATTTCATAACTTTCTGCCAATCACAATCAAATATCTTTAATTATATTAAGGGGGAGAGGAATATTATATAAATGCAATAAATTTACTACTTTAAGATTATTTATAACTATCGATTTTGCTTTACTTTATTATATAATAAAAAATTACGGAAAGATGTCCAAAATTTATGTTAAGTATCTTTTCCAAAGTGATTAATTAAGAGGATTAAATATTATTGAACAAAATTTAAAAGTAGTTAGTGTTAAAATAATTGAAATCCTTTTCATAATCAATTGTCAGTCGAATTATTTTAAAATTGATCATCTCTAACAAACAATAATTTAGATTCTACTCATTGGAAACATCATATAAGAATAATAATTAAAAATAATTAATTAGGCATTCCAAATAGTATTTTGATATTTAAAAGACTAATCAAATTAGATTATGTTAATAATAAATTTATACCTTAAAAATTAGTTAATTAAATGATGAATTAGGATAAATTTTATGATCAAAATATGTTAAACTTAACTTTACCAATAAATAGATTCAGTTCTCTAAAAAATCAAATTTGATAGTGATTTTAATAATTACTTAAATTCTAGATTAATTTTAAAATACAAGAAATATTTTTAAGATTATTTAATAGAAATTCTCACATAACTAAAGAGTGAAAAAACACAAATTTTATTAATATTTTTTTTCTTAAAAAAAGGTTAATCATAATATTAGTATTGATTCATCAACTTCTAGATACCCTATACTTTGTTTATTAAAAGTCATTAACAAATTATAATAATATTTTGAAAAAAATTGAATAATCTTCCTTAACAGTTTGAGATATTTTTCATAAATTATGGATACTTTTATTTAAAGATGGTAGAGTAACAATTTTACAAACCTTCAAAATATTATGATGTAGTATTAAGTATTGTTATATTATTGAAGAAGTTAAATAATATTAAACAATTATTGAATATAAATCAATATAATTTTGATTTCGAAGAGTTGCTATAAAATTTTAGAAGATTTTTAAGTCATCCTATTATATGTATATGATCAACGTATTCTAATAGTATATTAATGATTTAATTTTATGTGGAAAGAAAATTCAGTAAATTATAAGTAGGATTAATCCTAGTTGAGTAATTTGGAGATATTTGATTCAGTATGATTTTAAGTATTGAAATGAAAAAAATTTAGAGAAATTCATATATAATAGAGATTAAAAGTGAAATAAGAATAGTAGTATTAATAAATAGGGAATACATAAAGTAATCAACTAAAATGGAAAATAATTAAGAGTAGATAGAGAGAGAAAATGAAATTGATAATTTAGTACTATATTTAGTTATATATAAATTATTACTAAACCTTAAAGAATAGTAGAAAATCAAATAGAGTAAAAAAATTTATAATTCAAACTGGTTTTCAAGATTAAAAAAATAGGTTTCCATTTCAAATAATTTCTGTATATATTTTTTTTTTTTCAAACTTTTTTCTGACATCAACATTGTTTCTAGTAGAGAATGCACTTATTAATTATTCTCTTTAGACTTTAGCTTTGATAACTTCAGATCGATGAGTAGCTTAATTAGTTTCTTATTCTTGGAAATGGTGTAATTATCTACATAATTATAAGAATTACTTAAAAACTTGTTTATTTCCAAGTTAGACATCAGCTTAAGTAAGAATGTGATTGATTTTTGAGACAGCATTTTGTTTAAATTTTCTATGTTTAATTTGATTAGTAGAACATCTAGTATTTGTATCCATAAGATCAAAACTTGGTTTACTATATTATGAGTAATAATTATGATGAGTTTAAGGTCTTGGTTCTGTATTAGTTCTAATTGTAGATTAACGATTGCAAGGTTAAGTATTTAAAGTAAGAGCTGGATCATTTCTTTATAAATCAAATGACTTATCTTTAAAAGGAGCTTCCTTTATTAAAAAAATAAATAAACTTGTTTTTCATCTTATTCTGTATTAAGAGGATGAACATCTCCAAAAGCATTAGTGATTTCTTTAATTAATTCAGGTACTGACTTTTATGCAGTAGGTACCAATTATTTACTAGCAAAGAATTGTTCAAATTAAGTTAATAATTCTTCTCTACCTTTAAATTTATTGCGTTATAAGACTTTTTATAAATTTGAAAGTCTTGATTGTTATATTATTCCATTATAATATCTGTCTGACCATAATGTATTATCATACCTATAAAAGATATATTAATATACATGACTCCTTAATTCTTTTTAAATGTATTCAAATATTCATTTTAAATTCTGTTGTTTTTTGTTTATTAGATTACTTGATTGTAATCAGCTTTCTCTGATATACTTTATCCTAAACCTTTAGCTTTTTTTAATTATAGATAATATAAATCCAATGTGGCATTTTTAGTATAAGTTTAAAATGTTTTACGTCTTCTCAAAAATTGTTTATCAGTTACGATTAAAGGAACTTGAAGAATATGTTTAAATTTTTCTTTTGCTGTTTATTTCTAAATGATGAATTAACAAATACTTTAAATTCCTTAACATATTAAATTTCAGCATCTTCAGTAATTTTATTTAACCAGGAAGATTTGAATGAAACACCAAGTTATTCTTCCTGTACTCTTTACCAAAAATTCGAATGTAGTTGATTTTTATCGATTACATGATTATTCATATATATATATTAATTATGAAACTTTATATAGTGTTTTTGGTAATTTGTATAGTTACCACATAAAAAGATAATGGCGAATTATCTTAAGAAGATTAAACACTTTTAGATAGTTTGTTTAAAGATAAATTTGGAATGAATGTAATGAATGATATATAAAGTGAATACAAAAAAGATTCTGGTAATTTGTAAATTATTTATTTTGAGAAAGTAAGGATTAATTGAGTAGAATTGAAATTTTATTAAATACAATTGAGAGATAGATTGCCTAAGATGAATAGGATGATCTAGAATAATTATCTTAAGAATAAGAACTATGTATTAAATAAAAACGAATTCTATAATAGATAATTAATAATTGGAGAGTTTGAAAGAGAAGATCGCTGAAGCCTAATATGATTATAGTAGCATTGGAGCTACAATTAGATTATTAGAAGATTAATCAAATAGATATGAAACATAAATAAACGAGAAAGAAAATATTGTTAATGAATATGAATCTACACTCACTTAATTAGAAGAGATTAGATAACATGAAGTATATAATATAATGATTGAACATTTGTTTAGAGTGCATATTTCGATATAACAAGAGAAGATTCTTTTGCTATTTGTAGTCTTATTAAAAGAGCTAGATATTTGATTAGAGAATTACTACCAAAAAATAATAGGAATGTTGCCCTTGTCTAATAGTATACTTATGAAGACAATTCTCATCAATTCTCAAGTTCTGATGTCTTATAATAAATGAAAGATCTTGAAATAGAAGCTTAAGAGACACTTTAAAATAATTAACCATTCCTTAAGATCATAAGTTTTTAATATCAATTAATTTAAAAGATGAATTTGTAAGTGTATCTACTCAAACTGAAGCTGTCATTGACACTGTTAGAGCTAATGCCATTATTAATTTATTATAACAATTATATGATTAAGTAGATAATACTAATAGAATCTAATTAACTGCAGAAGATGATAGAGAAAATCTTCATTAAAGAGTGAAGGATCATATAAATGAAGAATTAGATTATTTACACTTATAAGTTTAGAAAATATCTATTATATTTATAGCTCTCCATTTTAGATGATGAATAAGATGGTGTTGAAGCTCATATAATTGCAGCTTAAATGGATTAAAAGGATGGTGAATAAAGATTAGCTAATCTGAAATAATCATTCCAAGATTTATAAAAATGCAAAGAAGATTCAAAAGTATTTATAATAATATTCAAGGTCAATTATGGAGTTAGATCTAAAGAAAGAAAAGAACAATTAAAATTATTGAGAAAAGTTAGAGATGTCTTATTAAATGAATTTGATGCTGTTAGATGTTACATTGAAGATATTCTAAGTAGAAGTTTAAGTTAAGCATGATATTTTTATGATTAATCTAAATATTATATATAAGAGTCCACTCTTAACTATTAGTATAATGCATATAATTCATACAAAAATACAAAATTCATTAAATTGGCAATGTAGTATTTTCTCTACTCAACTTAATTCTACATTTTTTAGACATATCCAATATTAATTGAATAAGTACACAGCATATCACTATTAATATGATTGAAAGTAATGTTGCTATTAGAATACGTTTTGATTGATTATCTTTGCTTTATAAACCTATAGTTATTCATTTATTTTACCTAATAATGTATTTATTGTGGTTCCTTCTAAATAATTTGCTATTTCTAATAGAAACAATTATTAATTGTTCTGAACTTTATTCAATTATTATTCCTAGAATTGGTTACTAGAACCAATTTACAATACTTCGATATTGTCAGTTTCTTCTATTGGCAGTTGAATTGAGTATGCTAAGACTAGTAAATAAATTAAAATAAACATGTTAAATTATTTATGAACGTTTTTGAAAATTAATTTTTATTATATATTAATATTATCAATACTTTTTTATACAAAAAAGAACAGAGAAATGTTCAAATCAAGAGGAAAAAGAAAAATTGTTTGATAAACATTAAATAATATATATCTTCACCTTCATAATATTATTCAACATCCATCTAATCCTCGCTTAAGGCTTGAAATATTCCTTTTTTTCCAGAGTTCCATCTTTATTTTATGTCATCACCATTAAATAGTATTTGTACAAATATTGGGGTCATCCAAAATCCCTATTTTTGCACCTTAAATTTCCAAATCTACTAAGAACTTAGAATTCTATTTTAGAACAAAAATAATAATCATTTAGTTTATAATGATAATAATTGAAACAATCCAAAATCATTCATAACACATCAATAAACCAATTGACTCATATTCAGTTTTTGTTGATCAAAAAAATTAAAAATTATATTTTTTAATATTACTAAATCAATCAATACTATCATCTTTTGGCTTTATATAATTAACCAAAGATTAATCAGAAAATATTTTACTATTTTAAGTAAATTTAAACAAGATAACATAATTAATTGAATTATAACCAATTTAAAAAAAATATATCAATCATTGAATACTTTTTATTTTTTTTGAATGAATTCTCTACATATTGGACATTTGTCTTAATCATTTGAGCATTCTTAACAACTGTTTAAATGAAAACAAGGCTAAAATATTATATTTGCTTTTCTATCTTTGCAGATATAACATGTTAATGTTTGATGTTATTGAGAAACTAAAACTTTAGTTATTTCTTTATTGAAATCTTAGTTTATTTTATTATAAGATTTATATAACCAAGTTGAAAGACTTACAATAACTCCTAACTTAAATAGCAATCCAAAGAAATATGTTAAAGTAAATTGAAAACGGAAATCTGAGTAATCTTTGAGTTATCCTAATTGCCTAATTCTATAACATCTCAATACTTAATTGACAGGATTATAAACGAAATCCCCAAAAATTAATATTTATTTGTTGTACTAATAAATATTTAAATAAATAAATACAGGAAGGCCAGCTTATATATCTTTTTTAGCCATGTTTAAACCAAACATAATAGATTTAAAGAAACCCATTTTCTCTTAATATATAATGATGCCTTTTTCCATGTTAAATGTAAATTAATTAAGTGTATTAATTTGAATTTCCATATTTAAAGGAGTTTTTAAATTGAAAATTGGGGCTCTGTCAATAATATTGTTGGTAAAATAAGTTTAAGGATTATCTCTTAATCCTAAATGAGAAATGAGGAAAAATTATTATAAAAGTGGATTGGATTCTTTTAAATTTTTAATTCTTTGAGGCATTCCAGTTAAGTACATTTTAGGGAATATTTGTAATCCTTTGTATGAGCCTTGTTAATTTTTAATTTTTAATAATAAGAAATTAAGGCAAGAATTCTCTCCAAATAGAGTTTTGAATTTACTAAGCTAGAAAGTTAAGTGTAATAGTTTACCTGAGTTAGAAATGATTTAGTGAAGTAATAAATACAATAAACAGCTCCAGAATACAACATGTAAATAGGTTTCATTATAGAATAATAGTTAATTTAATAATAATTTATAAAATGTCAAATAGTTAAGAGAGAGAACAAGAATTAAAGTAAATTCGTAGAGAGATGTTGAAAGATGCGGAATAAAATGCATAAAAGTAAAGATTTGGATTGTTTTCTTCACCTGTTCCTTTAGGATTGGGAGATGATAGTATAGAGATGAGAAAGAGAAGTAAAAGAATGAAAATAAATCGTCTTAGTATAAAGAGGAGAGAATGGTAAACCGATAACAGAACCATCTAATATGAAGGTGAGTGCTACTCGTACTGGGAGAATTAGATCATCATATTTTGGACCCTTGAGTTTTACAACAGTTGGTGATCCATACATAGATCCAGAAAAAGTGGTTGCACATTATGAGAAATAGCAAAAGAAGTTATATAATAAGGAGACTCCATTTAAACCTGCCTCTGGTTATAAGGAATTGATGGGGAGTTCTTATTAACATATGAAGGATTATGATTATAAGAAAGTGGAGAGTAGAAAATAATCTGATGGAAGAGTGTATTCTGCACCTCGTAATGTTACTACTAATCCAAGATGTAAGGTAATGGATAAATCAATACCATATATGATGGATGAATACAATAGATATAGTGATTTCGAAAGAGTATTTAAATTGTTATCATTTAGAAAGCAAGAATGGAAAGTAAGAGTAAGGAAAAAGAATAACCATTTAGAAGTACTGTTTAAGGTGGATATACTTTTGATAAAGATAAGAATTTATTTGGAGATACTAAGATGCCATAGACAAGTTAGAGAAAATCTCCTTCAATTAAATAAGCTAAACATGAATCTGCTTTTATACCAGCAAATGGATTAAAAAAAGGATTTAATGGATTATTCGGTCATTATGAATACAAACCTGATCCTATGAAAGAAATCAAACGATAATTTAGTTAGAAAAAAGAAAGAGAATGTTTTAAGTAAGAATAAGAATATTCTTTTAGACCTACAGATTTAGGAAATAAGACCAGACCTAATCCAACAATTTCCTGTTTCAAAATGAATATTAGGAGAGAAATGGCTGTTAATTATTGATTTTAGTATTTAGTTTTATATTTTGTATATATTAATTAATTATTATATAAATATTAATATTATTATATAATAAAAATATTATAGATTTAAGATTTAGATGGAAACTATGATAAAATGACGTAGTATACAATTATTTTTTTTATAATGATTAACATCATAATTAATCACATTCGCACTATTCGATTTCATAATATGAAACTAGATTAGGTGAAATCAAAAGAATGAAAATAGTTAAATAAATTAACATGAACATTTTGAGTGAAATAAAGAAATAGGTGGAAATAGAAATGAAAAAGATTAAAAAGGTACCTATTCCAAATAAAACGATAACTTCTTCTTTAAAGAGAGAATTAATTGATTTGCTGAATCAAGGGATGTTGTTGAAAGATGCAGCAAAAAAATTAAATCTGACTTATCATGAGGCTAAAATAGCATATAATCAATAAAAGAGAAGATCTATGAATAATTAGAGTGAAACAGAATCTACAGTCTACTCTCTCCGAACTGCTGGAGTTAATACTTTAAAAGAGTTCCCAAAACACTTTTTTTTGTAATAGAGTGTCAATAATAGCTTGGTATCTGTGAGACGGCTATTCAATATATTGGTTTTGAACCCAAAAATATAATAATGACTTTTAATTTAATTTATAATAATACTACGTCATAAATTTAATAATGAACAAGATCAAAACAATTCTAGGGTTCCTTACTCTTTTTCCTTCTTAAGTGTTTCGAAATAGCCATAAATAATAGTTACTGATAAAAGTATTCCAGTTCCTAAAATAATTAATACAACTAAATACCTGAGCCAATAGCACCTAAGAAATCAGCTAAAATAGTCAAAGCTCCAATGCACATTCCACCAAAGGAAGCAGCAATAGGAATATATCTTTTGAGTACTTCTTTCATAGAAGAATCTCTATATCCAACAATTTACATATCTTATTCTTTGAGTTATTTGGCAACCTTAAAAAATAATATAAATTAATTAATACATCTTTAGGTGATGATCCAGAGACATCAATCCAAGTTTTAGAGAAGACTGCACAAGTTCCAAGAATGAAAGCAGTGTATAATACAGTATGGATTGGATCAAAGATTGCTTCAGATATTGATCTTGGAGGGGAGACATAATATACTAATCCACCAATAGGAACAGTTTATCCACTTTCCAATTCTTACCAATGTCCAAGTAATCTAATCAAGAAATTGCCTCGGAAATTTCTATATAAAATTTGAGACAGGAAATATAGGTTTGAAACTAAAGCAGTTTAAAGTATGATAGGAATATTTGATGTATAAAACAATTTTATTGGATAAGATGTTAAACCTCCTCTTACTTTGTTATTTTTTATAGGAATATCAACTTTGAACCCTTAGAAGTAAATAACAATCATGAAAACTAAAACAGTAGCTAATAAATTAGTGAGATTTGGTAATGAATCTCTCATGATGGCTGATTAGATAGCTGTAATTTTATCATCTCTAATGAATAATCCATGGAAGAGTGCAATAATTGCTCCTTCATATTCTAATCCAAGTTCAGTTCTATGAGTTATTGGAGAGAATGCTTTCCACATAATATTTTCACAAATATTAATTGCAATAAATAAAGAGGTTCCTGAATTACCTATACCATAACCTTTAGATAGTAATTCATCAATCATAATCATAACAATTGCTGAGAAGACTAATTATATGATTATTAAAATAGCATTGCCAGCTCCCAATTTATCTAAATCACCATACATTCCAGACCATACATATGCAAAAGCTTCACCAAAAGCAATTAAAATTCCTAATAATTTTTATGCACCTGAATAAAGTTGTTTATCCTCTTTTACATTCTAATCAACATCAATTAACTTTGCACCTGCTAACAATTACATAATCATTGATGCTGTTACCATTGGTGAAATACCTAATTCCATCAATGTTCCTCTATTTGATGCCAATATAACTCTTAACCAATAAAAAGGATCTCCAGCAGATGCTTTATATATTCCATACAATGGAATTTATGAACAAATTAAATATAAAAGTGTTGCAATAGCTGTCCATAATGCTCTGTATTTAAACAATATCTAATTTATATAATCAAATATAAAGAAATACTCTTCTTTCTGGCTCAGCTACATCTGGAATTATAGCCATTGCTGGTCTCATGTAATTCAAGATCTTAGTTTTACTTGGCATTAATTTTATTAATGAAATCTATGTACTCATTTCTCATTTTATTTCACATCATTCACACGTGTGAATTATATTATTATATGGATAATATTTAATAAAGAGAAACTTTAGGCTTATTTTTAAGATTCACCAGTGTTTGCTAAATTCGTTGTGGAATCTTGAACTCAAAAGATGACCAACTTAGTAAAGACAATCATCAATGTTTAGGTATACTGATAATTTATAAAATCTACAGAAAAATGTACTAATCATATGGTAGATTCTTTTAGAAGAATTCAAGATGCATACAAATGATTCAAATAAATTTAAACAAAAACAAAATATCATTATTTTATAACTTCATCAAACTTTGAACATAATTCTTAAAGAATTGTATTTGAATATTACATCGTGTACTTCCCACCTTTCTCAATAATTATTTTATGATCCATTAATTCTTTAAGGTTCTCTTTCAATTATATTTTACTAGATACTATCATCTCCTCTGACAGAACATCATATAAATCTTAAAAATTCAAACCCTCAAAATTATTATAAATATAATACATCTCTGCTTTCCAATACTTTTCCTGCAAAATAATATACAATGTTTTTTTGTTTCTGAGTCATACTTGATAAAACATACCATAATCCCTCTTCCTATTTCTATTTCCCCACCTGATCTTCAAATATTTATAATATCTCCTACACATAAGGTTTATTTGTGTGTACACATTAAAAGAAAGCTCTCTATATCTTACATATCATTGGATATCGATAATTGTCAAAACTACAAGCCATTCGAACATTTGGACAATTACTCAATTATCCTAATAATTTTTATGCTTGTTCATTCAACAAATGACGACCATCTATACTATGACCTATTATTATTATTGAATGAGGAGTGTTCTCTATTTATTTTATTATCTACTCTGAATTTTTTACATTTGAGTTTATTTTCAATGTTTCCCCTATTTTTTACAAGAACATCTTCATATTAACCAAAGGCTTAAATCCCTTCAATACAAAAAAGTATGACTATGGATTGCTCCTAATAAACATCTAGAACTTTATACTCCATTAATTCTTTCATTGCCTTCTCTAATAATTCAATCTTGCTTCCAATCCCATATACTATAACATTGAAATCATGATTTATTTATTGAACAATATCTGTTGATCCTATTATGTTCTCTTCAAACTTCTCTTTCTCAGCTTAATCAGCCAATCTCGCCTATAATTTTGTTAAATCGAAGTCTGAACTATCAAACTTAGTTATTTCAGTAGTGTCTTTTATTTTTTAAGATGAAATATAATCCTTCAATTTCCCATATTTCCTCTAATATTCTTCTCTTCCTCTCTCAAAATTCTCTAATTACATTAATTGTTATTTATAAATATTAATTCATTTTTTGTCAATGCTCATATCATATCATATTTATATCATCTAACTTAACACACTCATACAATCATATATAACAATTTTATTGTATTTCTCTTTCTTTAAAATCCAATAAATTAAATTATTTCTTTCTTATTCCAAATTTTTTAAACAATTAGTATCCTATTTTTTGACTACTCTTCAAAATTAAGTGTTTTATTAATCAATTAGATTTTATTAATCAATTCATAAAACAAATTTAATTTTATAACTTAAAACTTGAATTTCAAAGTTTACATATCATTATATATTGATAACTGGATTAAGTAAAAATCATAAAAAATTCTAAAGAAGAATTGTGATGATAAAATAATTTAAAAATTATAACCTCTTGTCTTGTCTTGTCTTTCTGGTTCAAATAATTAAAATAAAAATATTAAAAGAAATATGCAGTTATTTAACTTACCCATAAAAGTATCTTAAATTCTTTGTATTCTACATATTTATTTGTTAAAACATATGTAATTAGATCTAGCAAATATTTTTCAGTTTTTTGAATAAAAATAAAGTGATAATGTAAGAAGTGAATGAGATTTTATAGGTTTATTAATTATTTATACAAATTCATATTTTGCATACACTAAAAATGGCTAGTCATACAATCAGGTATGTAATGAAGTGATAGTTAAAAGCAAAGACATGGAGACTGACAAGTACTACTTAATTGATAATGTAACTGCAGAAGTTAAGCAAATCAATAAGAACGGTGACTATATTAAAAAGTTTAATATCGAACTAACTGGCAAAGCAAATTATAGTGAGAGAGTAGCCAAAGCATAAGGCGTAAATAATAATTGAGTAATTTAGGATTAAGCTTATATGCCTTACAGTACAAAAGTATTATAAACAAAGCCAAATCTTTATACTCCTTAAACTGACAAGTTTGATAGTTATGCTCAACTACCTCGCACGTTATAAGAACCCTATATAAATAATAGTCGTAAAAGACCCAAGACAACTCTTGAAGCAACCAAGTACTTGCTTGAAGGAAAGGAGAAAAATAAAAAGTATTAGATAGGCAAACAATTATAACATATAACTGGCACAATTCATGATTACTTCAAAGCCAAGAAAGAAGGCAAAATACAAATCTTAAAGATGAGGACAGAAACTAAAATGCAAGATTTTGTATCAGGGGGATCTGTTAAAATAATAAATGGACAAGAATTAAATCAACCTCAAATTATTCATAATCCTCCTCCAGAAAAAAGAGCAAAATCAGCTTCTAGAATCAAATGTGATACTATTGCAAACACAATTGAAACCAGAGCATAAACAAGTTAATAATCAAGAACAATTGTGCCTTTAGAAGAATAGAAACTGAAATCTATGTAATCTTATGGAACTTTAAATCAAGAATTGTAAAATACAGAATCAAAGGCTTTGTTTTAAAGTAGAACTTATATTCAGACATCTCAATCTAAAAGAAGTCAGAATGTGATTGACTAAAATGTTTAGTTATACAATGTACCTCATTTTTAAGAAAGATTAGATATCTTTAAAAAAGAGATTTAGAGTTTTACTTTGCCTCATCCTAAAGAGATATAATAGATCACTTCAAAAGGGAGATTCAATTGTCATTTGGCAGATAATAAAGAACATTATGTTTAAGATCGTATGATGATGAAACTATGTATATATATATTTTTGACACTAAGTCTAACCTGAATAATATAAGTAGAATGAAAGTCCAAAGAAATAAGAGATGGAAAAATAAAGAAGGATTTTGGCTAAGATGAAAGAAACTGAAATGTTGACTAGAAATTTAAAATTGAAGATATGAATTACTTTTCTGGGAAATATAATTAAAAATACGACATGTGTTTTTAATAAATAAAATAATTATGTCATTTTTTGGAAAAGTGTTTCTTCTAACAGCATTAGCTGGATACGGTTACCTTCTCTTAAGTGATCCAATCTTAGGAAAACAATTTGAAACAAAATATACTAATTTCTAATAATCACCATTAGTCAAACAAGTATAGAAAATATTAATTATTTATTCAAGTACATCCCAGCTGATGCTTTTAAATATGTTCCAACCATTTTAGCTAAATAAATAATTGGAGGTCTATTATCAAGTTCTGTCTTATTATTTATATGTGGAAGGTATTAATCATAATTTAATTTTTAGTTTTGTAATTTTCCCTATATTTGGTTTGTTATTACAAATTGCCATTCTAAGCAATCCATTATTTAATGATGATCTTCAAACAAAAGTTGAATGCTGTAAGATTGCTGCTTTGATCGGAGGCTTATTAATCTGGGCTTCATCCAATTGTTGTAAATCAAAGGCCACAGCAACTAAAGCAAAAGCAGATTGAAAAACATATAATTATGATATATATTTCATTAAAAGTCTTATAATTTAGGATGTATATACTTATCCCAGTCTCTTGGTCTTTCTATTTTACTTTCCCCTTCTACCCATCTCTTTCTTTATCCATTTTCCCAAACTCCAACTTAACTCTGTCCATCACTTAACACATACCTCCCTATTCCATGTTATTTCCCTTATAACCAATACCCTTCATAACAACGTCCATCATTCCATTTGTATACTCCAAATCCATGCTTTTTATCATTTAAATACTCTCCATCGTAATATCGTCCATCTGGCCAATAGTAAATGCCTCTCCCATTCATTTAATTGTGTTACCAAAAACCTTCATAGCGCTTTGTATGTAACAATCATCTTACCCTCCCATCAGGCCAATTATAAATTCCAAATCCATTCAATTTATTATCATTCCACATTCCTTTATATGTAGAACCATCAGTCCATTAATAACATCCAAATCCTTACTTCTTTCCATATCTATATTATCCTTCATATTTGGAATTATCAGCCCAGAATTCTTTACCTTACCCATGTTATAAATCTTCTAGCCATTCTCCATCATATTAAGCTCCATCTGTATGTATATATTTTCCTACTCCATTTGCTCTATCATTTTTCCATTCACCTTCATAATAATCCCCATCCACATGCCAAAACTTTCCTCTTCCATTTGCTTAATTAGCTGTCCATTCTCCTTCATACTTTGCTCCATCTGACCAAATTTATGTACCATAACCATCTCTCATATTACCAACCCATTCTCCTTCATATATTGCCCCACTTTTAAATACATACTTTGGTCTCTTTTCTCTAGGACCTTATTTATTTATTTCATCCTAATTTAAATCTTCCTAATTCCTTTTATTCATTCCATCCTTTTTTGGTATACTAGGATCATTTTATGACTCTTAGGTCAGTTAAGGTTATTGAATTTGAACACTGAAAGAAATTAATTAAGTAGGTGCTATTGATTAACTAGCTATAGGAGTTGGAGTTGGTGCTTCTGGTTAATATTTTTATTCCAACTTTTCATTCTTCATCAAATCTACTCCTTTACTCACTTATTATTATTATTTTCAATACATGAACTTTCATCATTTTCTTCTTCTGGTGGTTATTATGAATATTAATTCATATTCTAAGAACTCTGTTGTCTAATCTCTGATACAACTACTACCTACTCTTCTCTTTTTTAACAAGTTTAACACTATGAACATTAACTACCCATTTTTAATTATAAAATAATATATTATCATCTAAAGATCTTGTTTACTAAGTTATCTATAAATCTGGAAGCATAAATTTCTGGAGTTTGAGCAGAAACATTTAATTTAGAATTCATTGCCAATAATTATTTAGATGCTTTCTCTGCCATTTTGGATAAATTCCATTCCTAAAGATAGTCAATTATTGCTATATGATAATAGACATTTTAATCTTCTGATGAAGGAAATACATTTTAAGGTATCTCAACTAATCCATCTACATTTCTTTAATATTCTCCCCAATCTATTTTCATTATTAAAAGTGAATAATCTAATAAATACGTCTTTTTAAAAAACTCAGCATCTTTTATTAATTGTTATTTTACAAAATCACTTTAAGATTACTCAATTTTAACCCATTTCTCTTATGCATCAAAATCTACATCTTTTAATGTTATTTTAGAAAGATCAAAATCTTTCGGTTTACCTTTTAAAGCTTCTCTAGCAACTTCACTACCTTTTAAATCAAAAGTTCTCTTTATATAGGGACGAGGTACTTAAGATATATTTTTCATCAATACCATATGATATATTATACCACAACTAGATGAAATATAATTCATATCATAGGAAAAGATTCCATAAATCTTATTAATAAGTGAATCCTTATATTCACTCATATGATGAAAATATTCTGGCATTCTTTATCTAAAACTATTCAATTCTCTATCAGTGATTGTTTTTAAGATCCATTTATTATCATAACTAAAGAAAAAGAACTCTCCAGATTTACCACCATCTACATTAATCATATTTTCAATCAATTCAGCATTCTTTTCTAATGAAAAAGAATCATGAGCATCAATATCTAAATTATCAAATTTAAATAACTATTTACATATATATATTATAAATTACATAATAAAAATATTTAGGTGCCAAAGCAAACATTTTAGGATTCTTTCCTTTAGTATATTATGTTTCTTTAACATAAAAACTAAATTCTTTATTAAGTGCTGAATTATTGAGTCTATATTTTTCAAGAGTTCTTGCAATAGCAATTTATTCATCACTTAATGTTTCTCTTGTAAGAGGAGATTTCAGTGAAACATCATAATCTTCAGTAGTTCTAGCTTAAATCAACCATTATGAGTTTCCAACAACATCTATTTGTGATTCTTCAATATTCTCATCTAAATATTCGGTCATATTGTTGAAATATTAGATAATACCAGCTAAAACACTTCTTATTTAAAACATTCTGATGAATTTCTGAACTTCAACAAATTGTGTATCAACATCAACAATTTCTACTTCTTTTTTAGGTTATGGATAGAATGCTTTATGAACCATATTAACTATCTTACGTAATAAAGCTGGATTCTTAACTCTTTAATAACAAAGTATTCCTGATCCTAATGTATAAAATGAACATGTAGATATTAACATAACATTCTCTAAATTTGCTGGTTAATATGATGGATGTTCACTCGTCTATATGAAAGTACTCAGTAAAGTAAATAGAGATAGAATTATGGTTGAAATGATATACATGACGTATCTGATTAGCGAAGACTTTTTGTTGTTTCTAAATGTATCATCATTTGGTAAATTCTGATAGAAGTACCATATCGTATAAAGTGCTGATATGATATAAACAAATTCGAACACATAAAGAGCTAAAGGCAAATAGTTCCTTTCTAATATGATTATATTAATGCATTTATCTACTATCTTCTAAGTTGCTCTATGTTATATTTCTGGTTGAAATGCAAACAAAATCAATGATATACATAGAGTAAATACTAAACAAAAAGAATGAAGTAACATTTTAAACTTTGCATTTGTTTTTAAAACATTTGTTATCTCTTATCTAAAATAACTTCAACAACGATTACCTCATTGTGAAACAATATGCAAAATTGTATATAAATTAACCTAAGAATCCTATATTCTATGTAAAATCGACCCATCTACAATAAGATGTTTCATTTAAATTAGTATCAGGATTGCTAGGACTATTGACATCTGGACTTGACATCATCCAATATATTGAAGTACTTAATTAACATAGTCCTAATGCAAATACTATATCTCCTGGAGATTTTCGACCAGCCTTCCATGCTAAATATGTGAATACTATGAAGGAACTGCAAACTATGTTTACACATGCAAATGCAATAAGAGTGTAAAATTTCTAAGACATTTCAATAATATATATCAAAATTATAATCCACATTTGCCACTTCTGTTAATTTTCTGAATGTTTCTGATACTCTTGTTTTCATTATGTCTGGAAGAGTATGTTAATCTCTTTAAGAATTACTTTATCTCTATTTCTCATCATTCTAGAAAATCTATTAAGGATTTAATTATTTCTATTCTGTCCAATCTAAAACAAATGGAATCCATTATTAATCACCTTATGTTTATCCAAACAAAGCATACAATACCATCTTTAATTCTTATACATCTGATAACAATTTCTTATTTTAATATTATTTTAATAGTCGTTAACATTCCTCATTTGTTAAACTCTCCAATTACTATTGCAATTATACTAATTTTTAATTATAATCTTTTATCACATTATTTCCCTCAGAAGAATTATTTTAAGATTTAAAATTATTCTCCGCTGGTTCTATTAATTATTAAGGTTCCAATTCTTAATGTTCCCACTTTATTACATGAGCAAACGATGATGGATTCAAAGGATCTATCCCTTATACAAATACAGGCTTTTTTATAGATACTTTACTCTTCTTTAACATTAATTTCACTTGATTCTTTATCTATGATACACTCACCTATTATCTTTATGATGAAATTGTCTGTTTGGCTAAACTTGAATGTTATAATATCTATTAAGAATTATATTTCTAAGTTAACATTCTTGTTTCTTCTATATCCATCTCTAATTGGGAAGCCTAAAGTAAATATTATTTTGATTTTTCATCAAGATATTTTGGAAAATATTCTAATTTCACACCTTCATTTATTTTTCTCATATTCTTTATTATACTTATTAAACCTTCAGGAACTGATTAATTATTTGACTCTTAAAATTACTTCAAAAAAATATCTTTTAAAAGCATCTTACATCTTCTCTTTTTCTATCTCATATCATCTAATTCTTTTTATATTTATTATTATTTTTCACTATTTTATTACATTTATTATTTCAATGACTATATTTCTCTTATTCTTTATTTAATCTCTTAATCCCTTTGAAATCTTATTTTTTCAATAGTACCCATCAATGTTTTTTTATTATTAGGTACAACTTCACCCTATACTTACTATTAATCAGGAATCCATCCTTATCTTGCTCTTTCTTCCTTAATAAAAAATTTACGTCTTATATCTGATACCTCTTCTTCCAAATGATTCTAATCTTAAACTAATTAATTATTATCAATTCTCATTTAAAATATTATATTTTTATGTTCTTTTATTTATGTTTGTAATAATTAATAACTCTCCATTAGTTATTTTGCTGAAGATGATGTCTATTATTACTATGGAATATGAGTTGTTGGAAATGAAGTTGGTGGTCTATTTGAATAATGTTTAGCTCTAGTTAACACAATATCATAATCTATGTATTATGCAGGATTACTAAAATATTCAGTTATTCCTTTAAAATTATTGAGTGTTTTTTATTTAAGAGCATGAGATTAATCTCTAAATATTTATGTAGTTTCTTCATCTAATTTTTATATATTCCAATTTGATTTATGCTTTCGATTAATATTCATTTTATCTAACTTTTTTTTAACTTTTTATAATAATAAACTATTTAGAATTTGTTTATTCATTTCAATTCTAACTTAATCCAAAGTTTTAAGTACATTATTACCTGATTCTTTATTTGGTCTAAGCATTTAGAATTTCACTTAAACATCTTGATTTGTTTCATCATTTTTATAAAATTATTTTTCAATAGGTTTCATTATTTGATTAATAATATTTTAATTGATCTATGGACCATTATCAAGATTGAATTCATGTTCAATAACTTTATGATTATCATTTTATTTAACTTATTCGAAAGCATAAGTCTTTTTTTTTGAGATAATATTTTCATGCCATTAATCTAATTATTCTAATAATGGATCAATTTCATTATCTAATAAAATATTAATATATGTGATACCATTACCATTTTTTTTTAAATTCTTTTTTTAATCATCTTATGCATCACCTAAATCAACTACATTCCTCATCCGAATAATTTTTCTGTCTTGATACTGATATCATTGATTACCTCGTTAGGCTGGATCAGTTTCTTCAAATTAATTTTATGTTTTAGCCTTTGTCAAACTCCGCTTAGGAAGTAAAGTGGAAGATGTGGTTTAGATTATTTTTTTCATAAATAAATTAATATTATGTCTGGGATAAGACAAGAAATGGAATTGGTAAAATAAGGATCTAAATCAACTAAATCAAACAAATAAGCATTAAGACGAACTGGAACAATTTTATCTGAAAAATCTAGTTCTTTTGAAGACAGTCGAGTGACTTTGTTACTATTTGAAAAATACCGAATTGTTGAGATGACTAGATTTTGTGTTATATTTGCATGCTAAATCTTAGCTATCTTATAGGTATTCATAATATCTTATAGTTTTCTCTTTTCTCAGTATGAAAGCTCTTTTTAGGATTAATTTGAACAGAAATTTGATAGTGAGACAACTCTTCTCTTATATCTTATTTTCCTTTAAACACTTGTGGCAAGTAAAGCATATAATTATAGAATAGTCACTCTTACTTTAACCTCTTATTAAGTCCTATTAGCTTATTAAAAGAAAGCTATGATGATAACTCCATAGGCTAGTCTTTTAGATTCAAATCTTATATATGGTCTTATTATTGAAGTATTATTGATGCTACCATCACCAACTCCATTCACTTAAAGAATCAAAGTTGGATTTCATGAAAGATATTCAGGAACATAACGATACTATTATTTAAATGAAATCCTAACTTATATTCTTACATGCAGAGTTGTTTTATTAATTAAAATTGCACTTAAATTTTAAGCATTTTACAGTAGTCAAATTGGCAGATTATGGTTTAATATATCAATTCTATTTTTAGCCGTCTATATTCTACTGATTTTGATACGCATTTAATATTTAAAATATGTATGAAAGATATTCCTGGATATACTTTAATGGGTTTATTTGGTGCAGGAATGCTGTTATTTGGATATAGTATGGAAATAGCAGAACGAGCACTTTTGAGAGATGAAACTTCCTTTACCAATTATAATGTTGGATAATCTCTATGGGTAACTCTTATTACAATTGCTACTGTTGGTTATGGTGATTTTTATCCTACTACTGATTTAGGACGTATATCTATGGCTGTTTGTGTTTTTTGGGGAGTTTCAAATACTTCTCTTTTTACTGCTATGCTCTATTCAATGTTATAAGCAGAAACTAGTGAAGAATTAGTTTGGGCTCTACTTGAAAAAACTAATGTCAGAAATATCATGAAAGACTTAAGTTAATTCTTATTTGTTAGAATACAAAGACTTAAAATTAAAGCTCAATCATCATTAACTACTGATATTAATCTTTTTTCAGAATAAGTTGAAAAAATATAAGAATCATTAAAATCTATTAGTTAAATGAGAAGACAATATAGAGATATTGATGGAGAAGCTACCATGGCTATGGTTAAAAGGAAATTTAAAGATATTAATAACATGTTTGAAGAACATCTTACAATCTTAAAAGAATCTAAACGTTTGCAACTTATAAACAATATCAATTTATAATATTGCCAAGGTTTCAATTTTAGTTCTGATAAAAAAAACAAATAAAGCTCTCCTCATATCTAAACCTATCAAACTGATGACAAATAAAGTAAAGATGAGGCCTTTTTTGCTAATCTTTAAGACAATGAATCCAATCTGCTTTTGATGGACTTTCGTGATTGACTATATTTTATAAAAACATTATTAATTTTATCTTCTTTTTATTTTTATCAACTCTTCTATTTTTATTAAATTCATCCATTAAATATTAAAAAATATATAGTATCTTTACATTTTTTACAAAAAAATAATTTATTGACAACATAATTTAAGTTCTAGAATTCTAATTAAATCAATATAATAATTTAAGTTTTTATTACTTCTATTTTTTATTAATTATTTAGAATTTGTATTTCTAAGTTTATTCAAATAGTTTTTAAGCAAAAACTAGAATCGAAATAATCTTTCTCAATGATTTAAGACATTGTTTTAATTATTTATTATAAGTTATGTAATTTATTTAAATCTATTGGTATAAAAATTCATTCTTCAATATCTTATAATTCTTTAACATATTCAAACTTAAGTTTTTTAACAACTTAATATTGACCCTTGTCTAATGCAGCCAAACAATAGATGAAAATTATTTCACTCTCTTAGAAGCTGCCTCTTGTGTTATTATAATTGATCAATAATTGTTTTTCAGTTAATATCCCTTATAAATATTTTTAATAATCAGACTTAATATGTTCTGATAAAAAGCTTCCTTCCCTCCTAATATAGAAATTATAAAATATACAATTGTTCTTGAATAAATTTTTTGATTTCCTCTTTGGTATAATAGTACTTTATACACCTTAATCTCCCAGTATTTTCTTAAATTCCTACTGTTGATGGAGCTATTCTAGCTTTTGTTAAATCTTAAAAACTTATTATTTCCGAACTTTAAATAGCGCTCCTCGCCTATTATTATTAAATTTAAATAAATTATTAATGTTAAATAGGTTAAACCGTTTAAGCCATATACCTTCTATCATCTTACCTATTTACATTATTAGTGGAAAAAAATAATTTGAGTTACGATTTGGGTTTTATTATTGTTGAAAATCTGGTACTTTTATTAAATTCATCTTATAAATTATCCAAAGTTATTCTTTTTTCAGGATCATAAAGTATCATTTTTTCAATTAAATTAATAATTTATTCACTAATTCCTGAAATAGGCCCAATCTAAAAGGGTTCCTTTTTAATATGATTGATAAATTAAATCGTATCATCATAATCGTTTTTAAATGGAAGTTTACCCATAATCAATTTTATTAAAACCATTCCAAGCTAATATTGAACTAAATAAATAATACAGAATAAATATCTGAAACGACTTAATCAATTTTTCCTTTATTTTTTTGTATTGTCACTTCTTCTTAATTTGGGAAATGTTCTGGGGCCACATACCCAAAATTTGTATTATTAGCAGAAGTAAACTTTGATAAAAAATCTCCTAATTTATACTAAGGAGAACCATTAAACTTTTTTACAAAGATATTGTTTGGATTTATTCTTCCATGACCAAGTTTCTCTTAAAGGCTATGTTAATTATGCAATAAAATTTAGTATCCACTCAAAATTTATTTCATAAATATCCTTATCTTATAATCATTATATAATTCAGTCTATTATTCCAAGGACTCTCCACATTTCTCCATTATAATAATAAATTATGATTCAAAAGGAATTTATTCGACATGATAAATTTTAACTAAGTATTATGTTTAACTGGCCATATTATATGCAGATTAAACTAGTTTTTCATCTAATTTTTAATAACTATTTGTTGAAGAATACTTATTTAGAGAAATAATTTTACTTTTGCGTAACATAGATTCAAAGGGGATACAATATTTTTACATTCATAAATTTGGCTATATGGATTCTAAAAAATCTATTTCGATAAATCGACTTCAAATTGAGAATTATCACCAAAAAGCTTGGTTTTCATTATTTTTATTTATTTTGATAGAATTACAATTCAAGCTAATTATATATATTAATTTATAATCTAATTTATTAAATGAGAATAGACACTAATAAAATAATATTTTTTGTAAATAAATAAAGAAGCATAACTTTAAACTTTTATCATTTAGTTAAAAAATTAATAATAAATATTCTTTAAACTATTTCATTGAATTTTTCAATTCATATCATTTTGAACACTGTTAAAGAATTCATTTATGAATCAATTAAGATGAAGAAGAAACTTGATCCTCTAAATTAATCGTATTACTTAATTTATATCAATTATGTAGATTCACAAAATTANCTCGCCTATTATTATTAAATTTAAATAAATTATTAATGTTAAATAGGTTAAACCGTTTAAGCCATATACCTTCTATCATCTTACCTATTTACATTATTAGTGGAAAAAAATAATTTGAGTTACGATTTGGGTTTTATTATTGTTGAAAATCTGGTACTTTTATTAAATTCATCTTATAAATTATCCAAAGTTATTCTTTTTTCAGGATCATAAAGTATCATTTTTTCAATTAAATTAATAATTTATTCACTAATTCCTGAAATAGGCCCAATCTAAAAGGGTTCCTTTTTAATATGATTGATAAATTAAATCGTATCATCATAATCGTTTTTAAATGGAAGTTTACCCATAATCAATTTTATTAAAACCATTCCAAGCTAATATTGAACTAAATAAATAATACAGAATAAATATCTGAAACGACTTAATCAATTTTTCCTTTATTTTTTTGTATTGTCACTTCTTCTTAATTTGGGAAATGTTCTGGGGCCACATACCCAAAATTTGTATTATTAGCAGAAGTAAACTTTGATAAAAAATCTCCTAATTTATACTAAGGAGAACCATTAAACTTTTTTACAAAGATATTGTTTGGATTTATTCTTCCATGACCAAGTTTCTCTTAAAGGCTATGTTAATTATGCAATAAAATTTAGTATCCACTCAAAATTTATTTCATAAATATCCTTATCTTATAATCATTATATAATTCAGTCTATTATTCCAAGGACTCTCCACATTTCTCCATTATAATAATAAATTATGATTCAAAAGGAATTTATTCGACATGATAAATTTTAACTAAGTATTATGTTTAACTGGCCATATTATATGCAGATTAAACTAGTTTTTCATCTAATTTTTAATAACTATTTGTTGAAGAATACTTATTTAGAGAAATAATTTTACTTTTGCGTAACATAGATTCAAAGGGGATACAATATTTTTACATTCATAAATTTGGCTATATGGATTCTAAAAAATCTATTTCGATAAATCGACTTCAAATTGAGAATTATCACCAAAAAGCTTGGTTTTCATTATTTTTATTTATTTTGATAGAATTACAATTCAAGCTAATTATATATATTAATTTATAATCTAATTTATTAAATGAGAATAGACACTAATAAAATAATATTTTTTGTAAATAAATAAAGAAGCATAACTTTAAACTTTTATCATTTAGTTAAAAAATTAATAATAAATATTCTTTAAACTATTTCATTGAATTTTTCAATTCATATCATTTTGAACACTGTTAAAGAATTCATTTATGAATCAATTAAGATGAAGAAGAAACTTGATCCTCTAAATTAATCGTATTACTTAATTTATATCAATTATGTAGATTCACAAAATTATTTTAAGACATTCTACAATTTCTAAAATAAAAAATACTAATAAAGTTGAATAAAAAAAGTTTCCTACATAAATTTTAATCTTTCAGTATAATTAAAGTCCTTGAAAAAAATTAAGAGATAAAATTTTTTTTTAAAAAATTAAAACTCACAGGTTATGAGGTCTAAGTAAAATCAATATTTAGAGATATAAATATTAGTAAATATATAATTAAAATCAATTATTTTTGATTTTATTAATAATCGGTAGTCTAGTTTAATTTGCTTGAAATTTAATCCAAAAATTTCCTCCATACGGTTAGAATTATAAAATTAAAAATTATAAATATTTAAGCAAATAAATTTTTAAAGATTCACGTAAATGAGTTCTTATTTCAAACTAATATATATTTCAAATCATCACTTATTACTTCTCATATAAAACTTAATAGACTATTTTGTTCTTATTTATATAAAAAAATGGAAATGAATCTATACAACTCTAACTACTATCACTTACTTTTAAGTATTTGATTCAAACATAAAAATTATAATATTTTCAGTTTTCTATTAATTGGGAAAAAATACTTTAGGTTATAAATGAAGATTTCATCTGTTAAAAAAAACAAACATTTGGACCTTCTTAATCTAATAATATCTTCTATCATATAACCAAAAATGATTCTTGTTGTATCATAATTAAAATTATTTTATCAATTCCAAGAGATAATAATTTATTTATTACCTTATCTATTTATAGACAATTTTAATGTGCAATCTTTGATTACTTGATACAACTATTTCTTCATTAACAGAAGGAAGTACAATACAGTTAATACGATCTGTGTGTCCTTTTAATTTTTTGATATATTATGGATTAGCTATCATATTAATACATGCGATCACAATATTTGCATCATTAGATTCTGATATGTTATATGATTTTTGTTTTAGTTTATTTAAAGTAGACCAATAATCTGAATGGTTAATGATAAAATTTGCTTTATCAAGAACTCCATTTTTAAATGAAAATCTTTCTTATAGAACATTTATAGCCTAATAATATAAAATTATTTTCTTAATTTATAGCCATGGCTCTAAACGATTAATCTTAGAAATTTAATTTTTAAATAATTTGTAATAGTAAAATCTTATTTAAGTAATTTAAATGAAATCTTTATGCATAGAAAAGATCTAACAATATTATAAACGTAAATTAATCTAAAATTATGACTTCCATAACTGAGAAAAAAGGTATCATATATTCATTATCTTTAAATAAGTTATTTTTACTTAATCTTTTAGTTTTTTTCAAACTAAGGATATTTCTATAATTTTTTTAGATGTAATTTTAATTAAATAATTCAATAAAAATACTGATGGGAATAATGGCTTTATAACATAGTATATTAAATCTGNAGATATAAATATTAGTAAATATATAATTAAAATCAATTATTTTTGATTTTATTAATAATCGGTAGTCTAGTTTAATTTGCTTGAAATTTAATCCAAAAATTTCCTCCATACGGTTAGAATTATAAAATTAAAAATTATAAATATTTAAGCAAATAAATTTTTAAAGATTCACGTAAATGAGTTCTTATTTCAAACTAATATATATTTCAAATCATCACTTATTACTTCTCATATAAAACTTAATAGACTATTTTGTTCTTATTTATATAAAAAAATGGAAATGAATCTATACAACTCTAACTACTATCACTTACTTTTAAGTATTTGATTCAAACATAAAAATTATAATATTTTCAGTTTTCTATTAATTGGGAAAAAATACTTTAGGTTATAAATGAAGATTTCATCTGTTAAAAAAAACAAACATTTGGACCTTCTTAATCTAATAATATCTTCTATCATATAACCAAAAATGATTCTTGTTGTATCATAATTAAAATTATTTTATCAATTCCAAGAGATAATAATTTATTTATTACCTTATCTATTTATAGACAATTTTAATGTGCAATCTTTGATTACTTGATACAACTATTTCTTCATTAACAGAAGGAAGTACAATACAGTTAATACGATCTGTGTGTCCTTTTAATTTTTTGATATATTATGGATTAGCTATCATATTAATACATGCGATCACAATATTTGCATCATTAGATTCTGATATGTTATATGATTTTTGTTTTAGTTTATTTAAAGTAGACCAATAATCTGAATGGTTAATGATAAAATTTGCTTTATCAAGAACTCCATTTTTAAATGAAAATCTTTCTTATAGAACATTTATAGCCTAATAATATAAAATTATTTTCTTAATTTATAGCCATGGCTCTAAACGATTAATCTTAGAAATTTAATTTTTAAATAATTTGTAATAGTAAAATCTTATTTAAGTAATTTAAATGAAATCTTTATGCATAGAAAAGATCTAACAATATTATAAACGTAAATTAATCTAAAATTATGACTTCCATAACTGAGAAAAAAGGTATCATATATTCATTATCTTTAAATAAGTTATTTTTACTTAATCTTTTAGTTTTTTTCAAACTAAGGATATTTCTATAATTTTTTTAGATGTAATTTTAATTAAATAATTCAATAAAAATACTGATGGGAATAATGGCTTTATAACATAGTATATTAAATCTGATATTGCAATTATAGATTTATTTCTTTAAATTAAGACATAATTTTAAAAGCTTTATATAAATATCATAAATATTTATATTAATTTAATTTCAATAATTCTATATCAAAAACTGACACTCACTTACAATTTGAGAATGTAATCTAATTTAAAAATAATTAATCTAATCATATAGGTGTAGAAAAATTGGGAACCTTGTTTTAGTAATGATGTTTATTTTTGATTATTATATTTTTAATTATTTTAGTATAATGAGATAATAAGAATGAAATAATAAAAATGGATAATATAAAAAATTTAAAAAAATAATAAGCAGAACCACCCATCAATAAACTTGCTCTTTAACACTATTAATAAAGTTAGGTAAAGTGTTGATCCTATAAATAATTCAGAATTTTATTTAAAATAATTAAATAGATAAGGCTATGGAAGAGATTAATAAAGCCTTAAAGATTGATCCAAAATATGTCGATGCTTATCAAATGAGAGGTATAATTAATTAATATAAATTATTAGGGTTAATATAATTTAAAAGAGATAATAAACTTAATGCCTTAGATGATATGAATAAAGCAATATTTCTTAACCCAAACTTAGTTTCTAGTTATTATCATAGAGGTATTAATAAAAGTGATCTAGCAACTATTTATTAAAAGAATTAAATGCTTAATTCAGCATTAGATGATTGTGATAAAGCTATAAAACTTAATCCTGAATATGCTTTGGCTTACAGTAAAAAAGGTGAATAAAACAATTTAACTTATTAGGATCTTTAATGAAAGAAAGTGGAAAGTTTGATGAAGCTTTAGAATTTTATTAAAAAGCAATAGACTTAGATTAGTAATGCATAAAAGCTTATTTAAATAGAGGTAAAAATTAATAAAATTATATAAAGCACTTTTATTTAAAGAAATATAATAACCTGAGAAAGCTCTTAAAGATTATAATAAAGCAATTGAGATCAATTAGAAAAATGCAAATGCATATTTTAATAGAGGTTATTAAATATATAAAATTATAGGAGTCTTGTTAAAAGATATGGGAGAATGGTAATAGGCTTTATTAGATTATGATAAGGCAATAGAATTAAATCCAAAAAATACTACTGCTTATTTAAATAGAGGTAATTTAATATAATAATATATAAAGGTGTTTTATTAAGCAATATGAATAGGATAGAAAAAGCATTAAAAGATTATGATAAGGCAATTGAATTAAATCCAGATTATACAAAATCTTATTTAAATAGAGGTTTTTTGATATTTTTTTAATTTGTAGCTCTTCTTTATAAAGATATGGATTAAATTGATAAAGCTCTATAAGATTGTAATTCAATGATAAAGATAAACAAGAATGATGGAAATGCTTATTTTTATCGTGGTAAAATATATATAATTAATAATAATAATAAGGATTTTTGTAGGATCAAATGGATTTGATGGAATAAGCACTTTCTGATTATAATAAAGCAATTGATTTAAATCCATTGGATTCAAGAGCATATCTGAATAGAGGTAATTTTATTCTAAATAATATAGGTCTATTATATTGGAGAATGAATGAATAGGAAAAATCGTTAAAGGATTGTTTATCAGCATTAGAATTATGTCCAAATAATCCACTTTATCTAACCATAATAGGAGATATTTATTATTAAAATTTAGAATATGAAAAGGTTCATTACTATTTCACCTAAGCATCTAAAATGATTTAAGGAATGCAACCAGATGATTAAGTTAAATGGAATTTATCTGATGGAAATATCAATTTTATAAAAATAAAATTATAAATATTATAAGAGATAGAAAGTGATATATTTATAGCAAAAAGACAAATAGAACTTTTACCAAAAATATCTTAAAAAGATTAAGATTAAGCGAATAAATATTTTGAATAAGTTGAAAGAATTGAAAGATCAGTTTCAGTTATTGTTAAACCTAGCAATGAAAACTAGAAACCAGATACATAAACATAAATGATTAAATAATTCTAAGAAATGTAAAAATAATTAAAAGAATTATAATAATAGATGTTAAAATAAAGTGAAGTTATAAATAAAATATAAAATTTAGATAATTTTTAAATCGAATTTATGATGGAAGATTTAAAAAAACCAAATAATAATCATTAATACATTTATTATAAATCATTATTTTGGCGTTTATATTTCTATTTGCATGCCATGTCGGAACTTTCAACTAATTTATTTTAAATTAATAAAGATGCTGTTGTTGAAAGTATTTCAGAAAAAATGGTTGGTTTATTACTAAAAACATTTAAAGCTGGATCTAAAACTGTAGAGTAATTACCCATCATTGGATAAGCTTTTAATATTATTAATTCTGCATTAGATTTTGGAGTAGAATATTAAAAGGATGTTAAATTTTAAAGAAGAATAATTAGTCTTACTAATATTATGAAAATATTTGCAATAACTCCCACTGAATTAGAAAAAGAAGTTTAATTTGCTGCTATTGAATTAAGTAAATTATAAGAACCTGGACTAAAGGAAATCCCTATTTCTAAATTTACATCTTTTGTAGAAAAGTTATCTTTACTAGAAAGAGCTTCAGAAGAATATAGTAGAGATCCATATTGGAAAAAGGGAATAGAAGACTCTATAATTATATTAAAATACTTAGAAGAAAATAATAATAATATAATATAAGAAAATTAGTTTAAAAAACTTAGATAAATATTTATTGATGCTATTTTGAAAAATAAAAATCTTAATTCTGATATCAAAAAAAATAAACAGAATATCAGTAAAGATAAAGATAATAATACATGTAATATTCAATGATGTATTAATGAATTTTTGATTTTAAATAATAATTATTTAATGTTATAAATAATATTATTAATTAAACGTTATTATTATTTTCAAACTCTAATTTTATTTTATTTTTAATTTATATAATTTCAGAATTAGCATTTCTTGATTAATAATTCCTTATTCTAAATTTCAATGAATCAAATATATTTTTAATATTTAGGCATTTATTGGATTTGCTTGGTCTTATGCTGTCGTAGTGAATACTAAATAAAGGACAGAATTTCTTTCTGATTCAAATAATGATATTATTCTCACAGATTCTTAACTCATGTCACTTTGCAATATTGACTTTAATTGACTTATTATACCTATCAATCAAGTATTTTATTTAAATGTCTACAATAGTGTTTCATTTCACTCAATACTTATTTGAGTTTTAATTTTGAGGAATTTATTTCTAAAAATATAGGAAAAAACATAAAATTTCTTCAATTTTTTAATTTCCTCTTTTGGGGCTAAATTAGGAGATTATTCAATTTTAACAAACTTAGTAATATAATTTATATTCTTATTCTTTTGATTAAACTCACATGAAAAGCTTAAGTTTTATAAAAAATAATAATAAAAATTAAAACTCTTATATATATATAGATTAGAAATGATAGAAAAGGTAAAATTAAATTAATTTATTTTTTAAAATAAATATTTTTACTATAGATTTAATTTTAAATTAGATGAGAAAGAGTTTGTAGGTGAAATGTTATTTCTATTTTACTTTTATATCAAACAGACAGGAAAAATCAATTAACCGTTACAAATTATTTTAATAAAGATATATAATTTATTTAATAATCTTTTATAATCTCTTCTATAATTTAAGATGATAAGTAATTTACTAAAGATGATTTATGCAAAAAACATAATAAGTACTAAAAGTTTCTTTTATTCAATTTTATTTCTTAATTTAATATAAAATTCATGAATATTATTATGATTAATAAATAAATTTCAAAATAATAAATAATAATAGTATGGGTTATGCTAAAAATTTAATTAATATAAAGATTAATACAATATACTTAGTAATACTTAATTTTTTGATAATAAAAATTAAACATAGAAAATATTTGGAATTGTAAATTAGTTGTCTGTGCAATTAAATAAGATATATTTGAATTAATTTTTTATAAAGTTTGTGTAAAATAAAACTTATTAAAAATTTTAGCTTTTTAAGTATTAATTAAAATGAACTATTTATGTGATGATGAATTACATTCAGAAGATGAAATATATTCTGATTATGAATAAGAATTGAATAATCCTAATTAAGCTATGACCTTAGAATAGTAAAATGAACTTGAAGAATCGATTTAATTTTACAATAAATAAATAGAGACTTACAAAGGGCAAGCTAATCCGCATATTTGTAAAAGTATAAAGATTATGTTTAATATTTAAAGTTAGAGCCTTAAAATAATTAAATAAATTAGATGAGGCACGATAGTGTTGGGAATTTTATTTAGAAAATTTTTTAAACAATAGAGATTCTTGGAATTATGATTAATTCAAATGTATAAATTAATAACAATAACATTAGATGACTTTTTAATAAGTTTGGGGTGGGAAGAATTACTTATGGAAACGATTGAAGAAGGAATAAGGGATTCAAATAAAAATTAAAGATATTTATAATTTAAGGGTAATAAAATAAAAGTATTCTAAAGGACAATATTTAGAGAAAAAAAATAAGTTAGATGAGGCTATTTAATGTTGGAAGAAAGGAATTGAAATAAACAATCTTAATTTGGTATTCTATTCGAAATTAGGTATTTAAAAATAATATCGAATAGCTGATACTCTAAAGAAATAAGGTAAAATGGATGAAGTTATAGAATGTTGGAATTCTGGAATTTTAAATAATAATAAAAGTTAATATTCTTAATGTTATTTTTATAAAGAAAAATGTAAGTATCATTTTGTAAACTTTAGCTAAAGCATTATTTAAATAATAGAGATATGAAGAAGTTATAGAATGCTGGAAAGAAGCTATCTATTAAAATAAATATTGCTGGTCGTTTTATTATGAAGCAAGTAATAATAATGATTAATATTTTTAGTTAAATTTTTAATGTAATTGGGAAAATTCAGAGAGTTATTGGAACTCTTGAATTACGGAATTGATAATAATAAATAATAAATCGACTTTTATCAATTTAAAGGTTGCATAATATTAATATCAATATTAGCTAGTACTTTAACAAAGTTAAAAAGATATGATGAAGTTAATTAATGTTGGGAGGAAGGAATTAATAGAAATATAGAAGATATTACTTTTTATGATAAAAAAGGTAAATTTTAAAATATAATTTTAGCAAAATTATTATTGAAGTAAGGTAAATTTTAAGAATTAATTGAATTATGGAATAAAGGAGTTAATAATAACAAAACTAATATTTATTTTTATGAAGAAAAAAGTATATAAAATTAATAAACATTAGTCAAGGTTTTAAAAAAATATGGTAATTTATAAGAAGTTCTTGACTGTTGGGACTTTGGAATTAAATATAATAGTAATAATATACAGTTCTATTAAAATAAATGTATATTTTTATACTAATATCACTTATAAAGATTAGGTTTTAAAGAAACATGGGAAATGGTATGAAGTTATTTAGTTATGGAATTAAGCAATTTAAAAAAAAAAGGATAGCATTTAATTCTATTAGAAGAATAGTTTAAAAATAATTCAAATATATTATTAGTTTAAGTGTTAGAATCATATGGGAGACTTGCAGAAATTAACGAATGTTTAGATTATGGGATTGAAAAGAATCAAAATAATATTGAGTTTTATAGATTGAAGGGTAATATAAAATTCAAAATTTTTAGCTTAAATCTTAACAAAATAAAGGAAATGGGAAGAAGTTATTGATTTTTGGAGTGAAGCAATTCAAAATAATTAGAATTAATATTATTACTATGAAGAAAAAAGTGATATATAAATTTTTTAATTTTAGTCAAATTCCTACAAAAATAAGGAAAATAAAACGAGGCAATTGAATTGTTGAATAAAGGAAACAAACTTAACATTGAAAATTAGGTCTATTATTCTTAGTAAAGTAATATTAGTACAATAATTAGTATCTTCATTAATAAAATAACATTAATGGGTATTATCTATTATACGTTGTGATTAAGCTAATCAGCATTGTTAGCCCAAGGGTAAATTATTTTAAGACTAAAAAGGTATTTAATTTAATTTTCTTAGTTATTTCCTTACAATCATTAAATCTATATAAAAAAGCTCTTATATGTTATCGATTTACCAATAATACATATTTTCAAAAACTCCTTAAATAAAAATTATGAATCTTTCATATATTCATTTTCTTAATGCAATTAATTAAAAATAAATTGAATATTTTTTTTACTTAAGCTTTTGAATTCTTTTATCGAAAGTGAGCAAAAAAATAATATAAAAGAAATTAATACAATTTTTTAACTTTTCGGGATAGTATAATCATGTGATTTCAAAAATGACCTTTATTTAATTAATAATATCGCCAAAAAAAATAGAGATTTAATTTAATTGTTTGCAAATTAATAGAGAAGAAAATTTATTATAATATTGAATTTTCATTAACTCTAAAGATTTCATAATTTTTATACAAATTTAAGTACTGTTATAATTTATATTCAAATTTTTACATCTGTTTAGTTTGATAATAATCATTTTACAATGACTTTAATTTCACTTACAAAAAATTTAATTATTAAGAATATTACTTCAATAAATTTAAAATTTTGAGCTTCAAAAGTTCAAAGCATCAATTTAAAGAATTTCTAATCTTGCATAATGCAATCAAAATCAAATAATTTCAACCATTTAACTTTTTAGTGGTTCTATATCTGCTAACGTTTAACTAAATTAAGAATAGTTAAAAAAAATAAAATTGAAAAAAATAAAAAAGCAATTCATTAATCTAATTAAGTATAGATCTGTATTTACAAGCAGTCATGATATTAAAACTTTATAAAAGCTTCATAAAAAATTTTAATTAGAAATATTATTTATTGTTATCTGATGTATTATAAACAGAATCTAAACAAAACCAAAAATTTGGATCTTGATTTCATAATGACTTTATTTAAAGTTTGATAACAAGCCATCTTTATAATTTTACAAATTCTGAAAGTTTTTGAATAAATAATTCTAACTCAATTAAAAAATTAACTTTTATAGTAGACAAAGATTAATTTTGAATATTTTGAATTTTTGGTAGATATAGTTTATGAATATTGGAAAAATGAAATGCTTAAAATTTATTGTGCAAGAAGAAGAATTAATTTTGACTTTTTTGATAAAATTTTTTATTTGGTTTGGACTAAAATAATAATTTTGATTAATTAAATAAAATTGATTTGATTTAACTTCATGCAATTATTTATTTATCAACTTTTTTCTACCATTTACCAATTTTTTAGCCATTATTATCATATAATCCTATGAAAAGTTATTGAGTCCACATACCAAAATCTCCATCTATCTCAATCCATTATCCATTCTTAATCCCATTTTTTCCATAAGATCCACCACCACTAAAAATATTATTTAATATAATATATACATTATTTTTCCTTCATATTTAGTATCCCATGAACCTTACTTCATTCCTTCTTTATATTAGCCTGTGTAAGTGACTTTTCTTCTCTAATCAAACTCTTCATCTAATTCTTACCATATTCCTTCCTTAATTTATTCCTGTCCATATGATCCACCACCTCTAACCTGTTCTTATAAAATATTTACATTGTTTCATTCCCATATTTAATTTCCCATCTACCTATCTTCATCCCTTTAGAGTTATAACTACCATGATAAGTCACTTAGCCATCTCTAGTAAATACTTTATCTAATTCTTCCCATATTCCTTCCTTAATTTATTCTTCTCCAAATGATCCACCACCTCTAACCAATTCTTATGAAATATTTACATTGTTTTATTCTCATATTTAAATTCCCATTTACCTACTTTCATACCTTTTATATTGTATTCACCTTCAAAAGTGACTAATGCATCTTTTGAAAATTGATCCCACAACTCTACCCACTTTCCAAATTTAATTTTAGATGAACTTCGATTAAAATCTCCTCCTTCACTATATTGAATTATGAAATTTACATTTATAAGAATTTTTTGTCTTCGTTTTCCCTCCAAAGCCGTTCCCAACTACTATAGTTTTTACCATAATTATTATTATAACTTACATTTGGTTTATCTCCCATCAATTCAATCCATTTTCCAATCTTAATTTTACATCCATTAATCTCTTACTATCCAACATCACTACTATATTTTCACCATTATTTACATTTACAAACAATTTTTTTCTTACGTTTCTTTCCAAAAATAAATATGATCCCACCTTCCCACTTTTTTGCCATTTTCATATTGACCAGTCAAAGCAACTTATTTATTATAACTAAACTCATCTTTCAATTCTATCCATTAATCAAATTTAATTCCCTCTTTAAACTTTCCTCCGTTACTAAAATACATCCAATTTTATTTTGATTACATTATGCAGAAATCTTAGTTGAAATTTTCTCTCCATAAATGATCCCATCTGCCTTCTTTTTTGCTATTTTTATAATGACCAACCAAAGCAACCTGTTTATTGTTACTAAACTCATCTTTCAATTCTATCCATTCACCAATTTTTCCTAACCAATCATATTTCCCACCATTACTAAATTACCATGCTAAATTATACATTATATTTCCTGAAATATTATAATTCCATTATCCAATTCTTTGATTATTCAAATAATATCCTTCTTCTTAAATCAACCTTATTCAATAGAATATTAGTTAATTACCTTCCAATACTTCCATCAACCTTTTTTATTTCTCTTTATACTCCATTTTTTTTACAATCATCATAAGATATAATTGGCTAATTAATTTTGAATTTGGAATTTAATTTTTGCAAACTACTAATTAATGTTTTGTTAAAAATATTTACTCTTTTATAAAAGATACTTTTTGAGTGAGCTCTGTTATGCTCAAATGGCAGTTGTTCATTGTTGAGTCTGTTTAATTTTATAAATGTTTTAATTATTCATAAAATTTCTTTTTAGCAGTCATAGTTTCTTATGATCTTCCTTCCAAAATGTAAACAAGAGTGTTCAAATTTGAATCTGATAATGTCGAAATATTTTTATTTTAATTAGTAAAATTTATATAATCTTAATCTTGTTCTTTAATTAAATCGTGTATCTGTTTAATTTTATTTCTCATATCTAAAAAAATCTTATTAATCATGCTTTCATATTGGAAAAGCTAAGAATTAAAATTATCAAATAATTGAGTATATTCAGATGTTTTTTAAATATTTTCTTTAACCAGCTTTTTCTCAATGTATGAAAAAAGTAGATCAATTGGCACTGCTTATGTCATTTCATGATTATTAAGGCATTCATAGCAAAGTTTTCGTTGTTGACAATAATGAGGCGCTAAGCATATAACCGAGAGCTTTTTTTCAGAGTGGACAGCACAATTCATTAATTTTATTTATGATTTTCTATTACTTTAATCTCTTAATTTGTCTTTTAAAAAAATTTATTGTTATAAAATTTATCTGATGCACCTGTCCTATATGAGTTAATTTTATTTCTGTTTTATCCTCAAAAATATACCTTTTTGTATTTATTTTTTCTCTAGAATGAAAGTGTTTATGAACAAAATAGTAAAAAAATGGTTTAGGAAAAATGTAATTAAAAAATGAAAGTTTTTTATCTAATTCATACGATTTCATTTTTAATAGTTAATTTAAAGAACGTCTTATATTTATTAAATGTTTACTCGTCAGGTTATGAGAGATAACTATCTGTTAGTCCTTCTTTTCCATAATAATTTTAATCCAATTAGATTGCTTTATTTTTTAATTTCAAAACATAAGGTTAATGATACAGATCATTTACTTTAGGACTAACCAATGCATTCTTATCAGTTATATGTTAATTAAACTGTCCTGGTTATAATAATTATAGCATTATGTTGATGATGTAATAAAAATATATTAATAATAAAAACAATTTATTTCATACATTGTTATAATATAATAAATCATATTTTATTAATAAAATTTAAGATAATTTTAATTAAGATATTACATAAATTGATAACTATTCCATTTATGTAGAAAAACTCTTTATTGATATCGTTATTTGATTTAAATTGTAATCTAAATTTGTCATAAATTTAGTCAAAAAGATCAAAGTTGAATTCATCAAATTTATCCTCTGCTAATTTTTTTTTTTACCTTTTTTCATTGATAATTGCTGAATTTTATATTTGAAAAATGTAATTCAAATATAACTTACTTAATAAATTAATTTTTAATCCATACTTCTTGTACTCCACATTGATTAGTATGTTTATAATGATGATAAGATTGAATCACCAATCCAAACTGAAAATTTTCTCTCTGGCGGAGTTACAACTTTAATTTTCATATTATATTGTGCAAGTGATGTTATTTCTTTACACAATCTTCGTAGAAATCCTGGGTAAAATTGTTGTACCTCCAAATAATGAAACATTCTTATAACTAATATAAATTATTTCAATTCCTTCCTAAAATAAATATCACAATTCTTAATTGATTTGATAGTTAAATCATGGATAACTCACGTTTTTAATATTTCTTCATTTCTTCTTCATAATCAAATGCAACATAACATAATTTCTCTTTCATATCTCTAACAATTTCCATCTCATTTTATGATGTGAATTCATAATTCAATTCATTCAAAATGTAAACCAAGTATTCTGTACAAGATCTTCCTGCTAAATCCATTCTAGGTCTTAATCTATGTGTTTGCAAATAAAAAATGATATTATTGAATACTTATAAATAGAAAATTAAATCAATTAAAATTTATTATATAATCCCAAAATATTTTTTAATAATAAATATTCCCTATAATTTCCTAAAATTAGATGTTGCCAAAATGAGAGGAATCATATACTGTAACATTGTTAACGACAGTAAATAATAAAATATTAAATACCTTGAAATGCCTATCAATATTAAATTTCATCTATAATGGTAATACAAATTTGAAGAATTCATATGGATCTAATGAAAAAAAATTATAAAGATATTTCAGATGGGTAATATTAATCATTAAAATAAATTAACTATGTAAAAAGATTCATAATTTAGACTTTTAAGTGATGTCTGATTTTCGGCTTATTGCAAAAAAAGACTTGTTTAACTCATAGAAGTTCAATGACTAATATAAATTGCATTAAAGAACCTTAATATCGATTCCAAGCCAATCAACTATTAGGGAGCTTGAGTCCATCTAAACTTAAATCTACAAACATAACTTGCAAGTATTCGTTTTAGTAGCCACCAACACACTTTTTCGGATCAAAAAAGCTGAGATAAAATGCATAAATCTTTTCTTCTGCAATTTTATTTGTATCTAAAAGTTCTTGCGTTTGTTCATCTGTAAATTTTTTCGTCATTAAAAAATGATTCAATATTAGGTAAATCATTCAAAAAGCATGCCTAATTTGAATAGCTAACTTTGGGTAACTTACATTTATTTTTTATTTCAACTTTTTTAATTTTTAAACATTTATCATTATATAGAATTGTATTATTAAATTATTTAATTAATATATTGTGATGTATAAAAATTTAGTTTAATAAAAAAATGAGTTCATATTTCTAAATGTTAAACTATATAGATAAAAAATCATTCTTTTTAATGATTATTAAAGTCTCTATTAACCTTAAACATTTAAACTAATTAAGTTTTCTATTCAATATCAATGACTATTAAGAAAACAATACTTAAATTGGTTATATAATTTAATAGGTAATAAAGGAGTCTAAAGTTACTAATTTGAAATTGAAAGTTGATACTTAGATAAGTCATTACCTAATTTATAATGAAAAAGCATCCAGCTCTAAGAGTGATCTAAACTGTTATATTTTGTTTGCTGATGAGCGCAATTAAGTGGACATTACTTGTGATTCGGGAATTTTGGTTACATTTTCAGTCATCCAATCAAATTTAATATTTTAAATTGTCAAATTTTTTTTATCACTTTAATAGATTACTAGAGACAGTAATTAATTGTATATTCTGAATTTACAATATCGTAAATTTAAGGAATTTATCTTAACATTTAATTACATATTCAAATTTAAATTTAATTTAAGCAAAATTAACCACAAAATTAAAATGAACAATCCAAAATGATTCTTAATAAAATAGTATTTATTTATAATCATTACTATTACTCACCAATACACTAACATTTTCTGTGAACTATTGTTGGACCACTTTCATCGTATTCACTTCTGTTAATCCACATTGATTAAAATGTTGATAATGATGATAAGATTGATCCACCAATCCAAGCTGAATAATTTCTTTCAGGTTGAGCAACAACTTTAATTTTTATATTTTATGGTGCTAGTGATGCTAATTCTTTACCCAATCTTTCTTTAAATCCTGGGAACAATGTTGTACCTCCAGATAATACAACATTTTAATAACTTAAATATAAATTTAAATTATTACAGGTCCTTTCTAACTTCAATATCACTGTTCATAATTGATTTGTATGTTAATTCATGGATACCTAATTCAAAAGGTTTAATTTTATTTGGTTTAAAAAGTATTTCAGGACATCGAAACCTTTAATTTTTCATATTCACACTATTTCCATCTGGTAATTCATATGATCTATTATTAGCTATACTTTCTTAATATTTCTTCATTTCTTCTTCATAATCAAGTGCAACATAACATAATTTCTCTTTCATATCTCTAACAATTTCCATCTCATTTTATGATGTGAATTCATAATCCAATTCATTCAAAATATTAGCCAAATATTTTGTGCAGGCACTTCCTGCGAAATCAGTTTTAAGAACAGCTTCTGAGAAGCCATAACATTCATAGATTGGGACTGTGTGTGAANTACTTAGATAAGTCATTACCTAATTTATAATGAAAAAGCATCCAGCTCTAAGAGTGATCTAAACTGTTATATTTTGTTTGCTGATGAGCGCAATTAAGTGGACATTACTTGTGATTCGGGAATTTTGGTTACATTTTCAGTCATCCAATCAAATTTAATATTTTAAATTGTCAAATTTTTTTTATCACTTTAATAGATTACTAGAGACAGTAATTAATTGTATATTCTGAATTTACAATATCGTAAATTTAAGGAATTTATCTTAACATTTAATTACATATTCAAATTTAAATTTAATTTAAGCAAAATTAACCACAAAATTAAAATGAACAATCCAAAATGATTCTTAATAAAATAGTATTTATTTATAATCATTACTATTACTCACCAATACACTAACATTTTCTGTGAACTATTGTTGGACCACTTTCATCGTATTCACTTCTGTTAATCCACATTGATTAAAATGTTGATAATGATGATAAGATTGATCCACCAATCCAAGCTGAATAATTTCTTTCAGGTTGAGCAACAACTTTAATTTTTATATTTTATGGTGCTAGTGATGCTAATTCTTTACCCAATCTTTCTTTAAATCCTGGGAACAATGTTGTACCTCCAGATAATACAACATTTTAATAACTTAAATATAAATTTAAATTATTACAGGTCCTTTCTAACTTCAATATCACTGTTCATAATTGATTTGTATGTTAATTCATGGATACCTAATTCAAAAGGTTTAATTTTATTTGGTTTAAAAAGTATTTCAGGACATCGAAACCTTTAATTTTTCATATTCACACTATTTCCATCTGGTAATTCATATGATCTATTATTAGCTATACTTTCTTAATATTTCTTCATTTCTTCTTCATAATCAAGTGCAACATAACATAATTTCTCTTTCATATCTCTAACAATTTCCATCTCATTTTATGATGTGAATTCATAATCCAATTCATTCAAAATATTAGCCAAATATTTTGTGCAGGCACTTCCTGCGAAATCAGTTTTAAGAACAGCTTCTGAGAAGCCATAACATTCATAGATTGGGACTGTGTGTGAAACACCTTCTCCACAATTTACAACAATACCAGTTGTTCTTCCACTACTATAGAGTGAGAGGAGAGCTTGAATAGCAACATAGAATGATGGAACATTGAATGTTTCAAATAAGCTTTGTGTCATCTTTTCTCTATTATTTTTTGAATTCGTTGGTATTTCAGTCAAAAGAACTGGATGATCTTCTGGATAAACTCTTAATTCATTAAAGAATACATAATGCCAGATTCTTTCCATATCTACATAATTTATAAATATTCCATACCATCCCAACAATTGACAATACCATTATTAATTGGATATTAGAGTTCTAAGACACATCTTTTTGCATAAGCCTCATCACCAACATAGACTGCATCTATCTAATGCTATCCTGGCTTTTTGCATCTTCCTACAACTGCTGGGAAGCAGCATCTTAAATCTTCTGTAATACCTGCTTTGCAATACTTTGATCCATTATCAATAATAATTGCTCGATTTTGTTCATCCATGAGTTTTGCAAACAAATAAATGATTTTATTGAATATTATGATAATTCTATTATTTTTTTATAGTTCAAACTAAAATCAATTAAATAATATGGAATCAACTATTTCCTTTTAAACACTATAAGCTCCATCATATAAGCACTAATTCTGTAATTCATCAAATATAAATATATTCATACTTATGTATTTGTCTATCTCAATCTCCTGGCCTTCTTAAATAAACATTAATCTAATAGAATCTTTGATTTATATTAAACTTTACAAATAACTATTCTTAGTTATAACTATTATTTTCATATTATATTTTACTATTTAATATTTGGTTTTTACTACATTTACTACTCACTACCTACGTAGTAATATGGTCGGGGCCGTTACAAAAAACTGACTTTTGGCTGATGGGGTTGGTCTTTACACACCCCTTTCACAACCTGGTGCTAGTATTAAGGTTGGGGCCGTTAGGAATTTTTCCAATTTTGAATCCCCAACGCCAACCCCAACCCCTGTTAGGGGATGCGGA